GAGACACCGTTCGAACAAATGTGGAAACACTTCCGCTGGTCATTCAGATCGATTTACAGCGACTTGACGAGACGTTTGACTGGTTTGGTGGACTCAGCAGCTTTCTTAATATGAGCGCGTCCATGACTTCCAGTCCATCACCAACAACAAAGTCTATACAGACCCTGTCACCAAAACCCCGCGGCGTTCGATTTGACACGCCAATTGATCCAAAAGACAAGTCAGCCTCAGCGCAGAACAAGATCAATTTGAGAGTCGGGGGAGCATTGATAGAACTTGTCGGCAAAGATTGCAGCGTAGCTGCCGAGACCAGCGCTTTAAAGGTCGTCAGCAGGGACGAAGGTATTGGCATTGGTTGTAGTAGACTACGCATTTCGGGGCCATATCTAAAGCATTCGTTGTCAGACCCGGCCATTAGTGCAGAAATCGGAGGCATGCGGCTAGAGTTTCTTATGGCGCCAAAGGACACGGACCTTGAAAAGCTGCTTGAGCTCATCATTCCCTCCAAAGTCAAGTTTGACCACGAGAATGATGAAGTTATGGTCGACACCCTCCTGCGACAGAGGAGGAAAGGCTCTGTGTTGAGAGCCACTTTGGACACCGTTAACGTGTCTGTCAAGAACATTGGCCAGCTTTCTGCCCTCCCAGCCCTTGGCGAGGAGATTGCCAAATTGGCAGCAGTCGCCAAATATCTGCCAGAGGATGACCGGCCTGGCCTGCTCACACTGACCCGGGTACAGAAGCTCTCCCTCAATTGCGAACTTGTCCCAAATATTGGCCATATTAGTTGCGACATTCGAGGCCTCGAGGTTGGCCAAATTACCGTTCCATCTCTGATTGCTGTTGCTGTTCACGGCATCAACGTTCGGCGAAATAGGAATGAGGAACTCATTGGCTCTAGTCTTTTAGAAGGCGCACCGGATTCAACAACGAACGGCCCGGTTCTTATGGTCCGAATTATTGGAGATGAGATTGAGCCCATTATAAAACTCAAACTCCAGGATCTGAGATTTGAATACAGGGTCGCCACTATCATGGACTTTCTCGATCTTGGAAGCGATGCTACCCCGCAAGATTTTGAAGCTAGTCTTGCAGCATCGGTTGCAAACTTGGGGGATCAAGCTCATACAGCTCTTTCAGGCCGGCCAGCTACACCTAACGCTGAGAAGCCCGCAGCTCCCAACAAACCCACGATTCTCGACCTGGCTTTGCGAGATTGCGTCATTGGACTGAACCCTTACCGTTTGCCATCGAAGATGATTGTGGCACTCACTGATGCGCACGTGGAGGCTGTATTGCCTAATACCGGCAGGACGAAAGTTTCAGTTGGCGTTAACAAGGCCTCCATTCTCTTAACGGATGACGTCAAACAGATTCAGAGCATGGGAGGGCAGGCTGAAAGCCCAAGAGTTCGATCGTCGTCTCCCGTCTCTCCGCAGGTAGAAGAACTCTGCGCTCTTGGGTTTGTAGATATCTGCTATATATCATCAGCAAGCGTCGTTGCTGTCGTCATCCCCGATCCGGAGAGCGAGACAAAAATCGAAGTCGAGGTACGAGACGATCTCTTGGTGCTGGAAACCTGTGCCGACTCCACACAAACGCTCATTACCTTGGCCAACGCCTTGAAGCCTCCGACTCCGCCCTCGAAAGAGAACAAATACAGAACAAAGGTCCTCCCAGTCCAAGATCTTCTAGCCTCCATCTCTGCTGAGGCATTTGGACGGCCGGAAGGTGAATACGACTTTGACCAAGATTTTGCAGGAGCACAAGAGATGGTGGGAAGCGGCTCTGAAGATGAATTTGGGAGTGGCAGACTACTCCCAGTAGACTCTAGGTTTTATGGGTCTCAATCAGCAGGTGAAGAATTATTTGACGCAACAAAGAGCATGGAATCATCACAGGACGCTTTGATGGAAGATACGCATGAAGGCGTCTTGTTAACGGGATTCAGCCAGTCTCACAGTGAATTATCCCAGAGCAATGACGACCTGGTGATACATGACAACTTCTATGACGACAACACGCCTGAAGAACATGCAGCGATGGTATGGAACTCAAACAACAATTCTTACGACAGAGCACCTGCCAATCTCATACATGCTAGTCCTGTCAAGGTTTCGGTACGCGACGTGCATGTTATCTGGAACTTGTTCGATGGGTATGATTGGGCTGGCACTCGCGATGTCATTGCAAAGGCAGTTGAGGATGTGGAACTGAAAGCTACCGAGCGCCAGTCTCGGCGATCCGGTGTGCAGGTTTACGAGGAGGAGACTGATGATGAGGAAACCATCGGAGATTTTCTCTTCAACTCTATTTACATTGAAATACCCTCCAACCGCGATCCTCGGGACCTAACGCGGGCCATCAATGAAGGTCTGAATGATAACGCGACAGAAACGGAGTCTGTAGCGACAACCGCCATGACAATGAATACGACACGAACCGCACGACGCAGCCATCCCAAGTCCAAACGCTTGCGACTACATCGCAGCAAGCACCACAAAATCACGTTTGAGCTACAGGGCGTGAATGTTGACATGGTCATGTTCCCGGCTGGCGGTGTAGAGACGGTCAGCAGTATCGACGCCCGGGTTCAAAATTTCGATATTTTCGATCACGTCCCTACATCGACATGGAAGAAGTTCGCGACATACGACCAAGATCACGGAGAACGTGAAATGGGCACCAGCATGATCCACATCGAGCTGCTGAATGTCAAGCCGATTGCAGAACTGGCTGCCTCGGAAATCGTCCTCCGTGCAACAGTCTTGCCACTACGACTGCATGTGGATCAAGATGCCCTGGACTTCATTACTCGGTTCTTTGAGTTCAAGGACGATAAAGTACCTGTTCATGCATCGCCAAGCGATGTCCCCTTCCTTCAGCGCGCGGAGGTGATGGACATTCCAGTCAAGCTCGACTTCAAGCCGAAGAGGGTTGATTATGGCGGCCTGCGATCTGGTCACACCACCGAATTTATGAACTTCATCGTGCTGGAAGAGTCCCGAATGGTTCTCCGTCACACCATCATTTACGGCGTTGCAGGCTTTGATCGCCTTGGCAAAACATTAAATGACATTTGGATGCCGGATGTCCGAAACAATCAACTACCTGGAGTTGTAGCTGGGCTTGCGCCTGTTCGATCTCTCGTAAATATTGGCAGCGGGTTCAAAGACTTGGTTGAGATTCCTTTGCGGGAATACCGAAAGGATGGTAGGGTCATACGAAGTATTTCAAAAGGAGCAGTGGCATTTGCCAAGACGACTGGCACAGAACTTGTCAAACTCGGCGCCAAACTTGCTGTTGGAACGCAGTATGCTCTCCAGGGAGCAGAAGACATGCTTACCCAGCGTGGTCAGGCAGAAGGCAGTTGGGAGGATGACGACGTGGACCCGGAAGACAAGAAACACATATCATTGTATGCGGACCAACCCGCGGGCGTCTTGCAGGGTATTCGCGGTGGATTTAGGTCGCTCACAAGAGACGTCAACCTGGCACGAGATGCCATCATCGCAGTGCCTGGCGAGGTCATGGCAACACAATCAGCGAGTGGTGCTGCCAAGGTCATGTGGAAGAGAGCGCCAACCATCATATTCCGGCCCGCAGTTGGTGTGACCAAGGCCATAGGACAGACACTTATGGGAGCGACCAATGCCTTGGACCAGGATAACAAGCGGCGGATTAGCGAGGTAAGTTTGCTCGCTCGCTCTACTGTTTGACCATGCTAGAGTGCTAACTTGATGAATTAGAAATACAAGCATTAAGCATTTGGAGCGAAGACCATTTTTCATATGAGCAATGACATAACTAGCGACTATTGCCACCCTCTTTTTATTTTTCCTTTATGTGTGTATGCATTGTTTGGCGTCGGTACGGCTTTGGAGGTGCTGCTTAGACTGGAGCAAGATTTGGATGTGTTTTCTCCAAGGCGATTCAGTTATACCCTTTAGTAACCACCGTCTAATATCATATATATTTCCCACTTATTTAGAATTATATTTTAACTCTTTTGCCCCTCTCCCGCGCCAAAATAAAAGCTGATCAAACTGAATTCTTCCTTGGTAGTGTCTAGGCTGTATTAGCTGCCATACTCGTCCGTCTTATCTAAGATCACTGCCCGAGTGAGCGTCTGTTACACGGAGGTGACGTTGTAATAAAGGCACGGGTCTTGGACCCGACGATAGTTACACAGGGGCTCGACACCTAGTTGAGCCCTTGGGCTTCCAGGCTCGCTTGCTCACGGCTGCTTGGTAGAAGTAAGGGTTATCCGCCCTTGGAGGTCTTGAGAAAACCAAGGATCTTTGGTATTCAAGCGAATTATTAGCTGAATACGAATTCGTTTCAATATCAAAGGTCCTTGGCCGTCTCAAGGCGTCAAAGGGCGGATGACGCTTATTTATATCAAGCAGGTGAGCAAGCGAGCCCAAGGCCTCAACTAGGTCTCGAGCCATTGGGCAACTATCATCGGGCTCAAGGTGCGGCCCGCGCCTTGATGGCAACGTGACGTCGATGTAACAGCGGCCCTTGACCGAATGTCACTGACAGCCAGCTCTCCTGGCACTGGGCAGAGCAAGCAGCCTCGATGCCGTATTAACCGATGTCCAAAGCTCCCCATGTCGTCCCACAAGAGATCAACCCCACCAATCTCTCGCATACATGGACTCATCATCTTGGCATACAATTGGGCTTTCCGGGCACCTCTTGCCCCGCAGCTGACGTTGGCAAGTTTGCAACTCCGTTTCCTCTTTGCTGGCCTGCGCTCCCATCAGCAATCACACTCTGTGACAAGGGCTCGGCAAGAGGGCTTGGAGCAATAGCTCAATTCAACTAATAACAGTCTTTGGTATCAAAGGTCCTTGGTTTTCCTCAAGACCTTGAGGGACCGAAGACGTCTATTTATACAATAAGTCGGTGAGGGCCTTCTGCCCTAATCCCGCGACGGTAGCCCTCGTGTAACGGGCCATTTCCGTGCAACACACCCAGCCTCACCGAAAAGCAAAATGGCCACGCGCTACGACTCCCAGACCCTGTTCAGGGTCGACAACCTCGTGGCCGTCATCACCGGCGGCGGCTCCGGCCTCGGCAGGATCACCGCCCACGCGCTGGTCGCCAACGGCGCAAAGAGGGTGTACATCCTCGGGCGCCGCGCGGCGTCGCTGGAAACCACAAAGGCGACCTCTTCCCGCCCGGAAAACATGACGCCCATCGTCTGCGACGTGACGTCCAAGGAGGCGCTGCGCGCGGCGGCAGACAAGGTGCGCCAAGACTGCGGCTACTGCGACGTGGTCTTTGCCAACAGCGGCGTCAGCACGGCAGATGCCTCGCAGTACCTTAACCCACGGGACAAGCTGGACATCAAGGACCTCCAGGAGGGGCTGTGGCAGCACGCCACGGAGCACTTTACGCAGTCGTTCCACGTCAACGTCACGGGGGTGTTTTACACCACGGTTGCGTTTCTCGACCTGCTCGACGAGGGGAACCGGCGCGGCGGGGTGCCGCAGAAGTCGCAGGTAGTGGTGGTGACGTCCTTGGGGGGGTTTGCTCGTCGGCCGGCGGCGAGCTTTGCCTACGGGGCGAGTAAGGCCGGCGTGGGGCATATGGCCAAGCAGCTTGCGACGGTGTTGGCGCCGTACAAGATTCGGGTGAATAGCATTGCTCCGGGGTTTTACCCCAGCGAGATGACGGCGAATGCAGGCTTTATGAGGGACGCTGAGGATCCGAGGAGGGAGGGGAGTCTTGCTGGTAGTCTTGTGCCGCTGGAGAGGGTGGGCAGCGAGGAGGACATGGCTGGTGCTATCTTGTTCCTGGCGAGTAGGGCTGGTGGCTATGTGGATGGGAACGTGTTGCTTACGGATGGTGGTCGGGCGAGTATCATGCCTTGCACGTACTAGTTGGCTTGGGCGTCAGTTGCTCTAGTCTGATTGAATCTCGGCTTTTTCCTTATCGCAGACGCTGGGAAAGGGTGGGACGGCGAGTCTGGAATGTGCTCACTCGGCTAGTATATCGTGAAGGCGAACCGTTTCCTCTTTCTCATGGTTGGTTATTATGCTCTTGCCATGGTTTCATTGAATTAGTTTCATGGGTGCAACATGTGTGTTTTTTAAGCAAGGTGTTACACGGATGACACGTTGCCATGAAGGCACGGGCCGAACCTTGAACCCGACGATTGTTACGCAAGAGCTCTGATCACGAGACCTAGGGTAAGGTCCCTCACCGCCTCTTAATATAAATAAAGGTCTTCCGCCCTCAGGGCTTTAAGGAAAACTAAGGACCTTTGATATCAAAGCAAAGTATTAGCTCAATACGAATATTGTTCCAAGCCCCTAAATACTAGGCCCTTGTCACACAAGGTGTCGTTATAAATTAAAGTGTCTGATCGTTTACGGCTGGCAGTGCTGAGTCTGAGGTGTCCGAGGGCCCCGACTGCTGAATGAGCGCCGTAGACGTATCAATACAACTAGTTGACATTACTCTTCGAGTCTGTTAACATTGACAAGTACTAAAGACGGAGTGTACTGGTGCGATCCACCGTATCCGAGGCCGGGCCGGACGGGACCATGCTCCACTTCTCCGGGCCGCCACCAGGTAAAGACCAACATTGCTGCCCAATGCGGTTCGTGGAATCATAGATACCAAAGACGGACCCGTAATAGGAAAGCTTACTGGTTCAGTGTCAAGTTTTGCGAACCTCAAGCCCTCGACAGTCGATACATAGCTGTGGGCCATGTCGGATCCTAACGCCTACATAATCGGCCGGATTTGCGATATTCATCTGCCAGCTCATTGTTGCAATGGAGCCTTCTACTTCTGTCTTCGACCCTTCTTGAGGCATTTCAATGCAGCCAGCCTTGCAAGGTGGCGGTTCAAGAACCCCGCTTCCCCTGATTACAGGTCTAACTCAGGCACCAGTGACTACCTGCGGTCACGCTCGATACAGGGTAAAGTATTTACAGCACATCTACCATGTAATTCAACGGTACATGATACACCGTGGCTGTGAATGAATAACATAATCTATCCATTAACTTCATTCCCCTAGAGTCAGTGGCACACATCTTTGAAGCATGTGTATCCGAATATGGCAACAACAGCCAGCCACAAACAGAGCCTGCATAATATACGAGACTTGCAGATTGACCGATTCCATTAGTGTGAATAGGACCAGGAAGTTAATGAGAGAAGAAGTAGACTAGATCTTGCGCGATTAGTTGGGAATTGGATAGAAATACCTTGCTGCCAGCTACCTGATAATCGTTCCCCAACCAAACTCTTGTGCTCAAATAAATAAACTGCCTCTAAATTCTACATTTCCATTCAAGTCCTCCCTCCTAGTAAACCTGTCAACATGTCGAGCGAGGCTGATAACACCGTACCTGTCCAGGAAATTGATGAAGCTGAGTTTGAGATGCCTGGGTAAGTTAGATGTATCATTTTGACTCCTCCGTGCTTACCAGCCATAATGTCAGATTAAATGGAACGTCAAAGGGGGAAAGGATCGCATAGAGACACGCGCTATTGGGGTAGACCACGCTCTCAGCGGTAGACCGTAAGCAACGCATCATTTTCCCTAACTAAATACTATTACTAAGTAATTCATAGCCACATCAAGTCCATCACAATTAGATCTGCCCCTGTGACATTGCATGTCTAGATGTGAGTAGAAATTCCGATCGCGCTCAGTAGAGAATATGCAAAACTGATTATTTTAGTTCCGACTGGCCAAGTGGCCCTCCGTACAGGTCAATTCCGGGTCCCACGAATGGCGAACATGCAATTGACCTTGGAAGAATTGGGTCTTTCCGCTTTGAAAACCGCTAGTCTTGAAACACTTGAAATTTCTACTATTAGATCTAGGTCTAACTAGTATGAAGGACTTTGGTGTTGATGACGAAATGGAAATAGTCTGTAGCAGGCTAGCTAACGTTCTATTCTTAGTCCTAGTCTGCCTGTTTACTTGGACTCCCTTTACCACATATTGTTAGGCTACATTCTTTTACCTTGACAATACGAAGGCCATTGACCCTCAATTTTCGCGCACTTGGCAATATCTCAATTTTTGAATAATGCGTAGTATAGTTCCAATAATTTCTGACCTGGGAATTACCAAAGGTCTCGTCAATTACTTCTCCTAATCCTTGTAGCAGGCAAGGCGTAAGGTCCAAGGGACCAGGTATGACTTCTGGCCCAGACGAACCACCAAACTTGAGCCGATAGCCTCCGTCAGATGCGGGTGTGAAGCCATCAGCATGGAGAAGCATGCCCTCATCAGCTAGAAGCGTGCTTGCAAGTCGATCGAATTGCAGAGGAGGAATCAGAATGCCTTGAGGGTACGGTTGCCTAGTATATGGTCAATTCTCACGGGCAAGTTGTGAGACCTTTATTTGGTAGCGTTAATAAGCAATGCTACATTGCTCACAAGTTTCTTTCCCTGGATAATAATCCCTTTCCCGACTCAAACGATCTTTGGACAATGACTGTATAGTTTCCAGAAGCTTGGAGTCTCAAAGTCTTATTCGGTCCACGAAAAGCTAGATTCTGCAATACCTTTTATTAAATGGGTGGTCTGCCCATACGTGGTGGACCAACAGGACCGCACACGAGGTCCTGGCAAAACCAACTATTACAGGAATTGGGTACTGGGCCGGTAAATTCAACTAAGAAAGACGACGCTGATCGCTTACAAGCATAAAACGCCGCTCAAGAAACCATCGCATTAACGAGAAATAAAATTGGCACCTCGGCTTGTCAGATACTTTCGTGGCAAAGAACTAATATGCATTTCTAGTTTTCAGAAGAGGCGAGGTGCTACGTAGTGTTATTGCTACCATCAGTATCATTATAGGTCGCGTTGAGTCCTAGTGCAGCGTGGGTTGACGTAACAAGGTCTTCTTGGTCTTTTAATTTAATAGATGCTGCTGGAGGAACTTTGATTTCCATCACACATGGAATCTAATAATATCGATAAGTGTGATTTTCACTTAATAATTTTTGTCAACAGACAAGACCTTTAATCCAACGAGCTAGAAGCTAGTAAGGGGGGGGACCAGCTATCAGAATCTGGTCCGGAAGTCCAACACCTAGGTCGATGCGAATAATTCTATATTCACAATAACTATAATTACAGTTATACACGAATAGTTTTCTCTATACACTAATGTTTATGTGTTAACATATATAATTTATGCCTTTTACATTTCTGTGCCCCCCTCTACTATCCCGGCTGGGCCCAGCCGGTGCTGGATTACATCTAGCCGTCTGAAATGTGAGAGAAAAAAAGAATTATTACTGAAAAGAGTTTAATCACACTTTTGAGGGGTCTCTGTGTAGGTATATATAAAAATGTAGGTCCGTAGCCAGCTAACCAGCGGGATGACAATTTTTGCAGCACAAACGGCACAACTCCTTCCTTCACGGGTTGCCCGCGGACTTTTCCAATGCTACACTTTTCATCCTCATGATGCACTGTTCTAAAGCGAGGGGTCTGGCATGTGGTGGCGGAGGCAATCCTCCTTGGACCAAAGGCCAGTCTTCTCAGCTAGCCAGATGTTGTCAAGCCTATTGCGTTCGCCTCGGCCCTCAAGTAGACTACAAGTCCAGTCTGTTCCACATTGTTCCTCTAGCTCTTCCAAAGCTGGCTTGCACATTTTAAACGCAAGACACTCGTCGTCTGTACTGGACTTTGGATACCAGGGAATCTTTTGTCCGGGGTCTCGCACATGGCGAGCCAGGCAAGCCTCCTCATTCGCAAAGCCAGAATTGTCAATTAGCCACTTTTCATTCGAGTTGCTCAGTACATTGCAGCTCCATGTTGTTCCGCACTTTTGTTCAAGCTCTTTGAAAGACGGCTTGTTCGATTCGAGTTCGAAGCACTCTTCGGTCGTGAGGGATTTTTCAAGCCAGGGGAGGAGGTCCTTAGGTTCCGGGCAGACGGGCTTGGCCTGGGGCAAGGCAGTGACCAGAGCGAGGGTGCTTGCTAGAAGAACAGCTGACTTCATGGTTGAATGTTCGTGAAATTAATCCTAGGTGTATAAAGAAGGAGTAGTATTGAGTGTTGGTGGACTAGGGAAGAGACTAAAGAGGCGGGGAAAACTCGATACTTATAGATGATAACGTAGCAGTATACTATGCAGTGTTTCTTCTTGCAACTCATTGCCTTCGACTACTCTTACTACCAGCGAGCATGGGGGCTTTGGAAGTCGCACTAGTCATGGCCTCAATATTACGCCGGACTCATTCAAGTACCTACCATGGCGTGGTTTGAGCTCCGATTTATGACCCGATCCTTTGCCGAGATTAGTCCTTTCCATCTCTAGGCAGTGTAATTATATGCTAGCAAAAACATCCAAGGTATTCTTCGCATTTGTATTCTTCAACCTATGCTAATATTGGTGCCAGACCAGAAGTGCATCAGGTCAGGCCCAATTATATAAACACTGTTTGTCCGGCCGTACCCAAACCAGAGAATCGTGACATACCGAAGGAAACACCGTAACAGCTCAGGGTATTGCAGAATAGATACATAATTGCTTGAAGCATAATTCCGCGATAAATATCCTCTTGGCGGGCCACGTACTGCCTCAACTCTACTTTGACTCGCAGAAGCTTGGCAGAACAAAATATTTTTTGGAAAACGTAATACTAACAGATAGATAGCATGATGAAAGCCACTTTGTTTTCTTGGCAGTGTCGGTATCTTCAGCGAAGGAGAAAAACAGTACAAGGCAGGGTCAAAAAGACGGCTGAGCGGAAATGAGCATTATGGAATGCAACCATGGAGTTTAGGCCACGTAGCAATTCCAAGTGCGCCCGCCAAGCAGGCTAGCAAGCTGCCTTGCGCGCCCCTCGCATTTCAAGTATGGTACCGGTTCGTATGGCCCTATCTTGGCGTGCCGCTTCCACGATGGCGAGAGTCGGGCATGAGGACAAATTTAAATGGACATGGGGCCGGGTTCCACACCGACGACGACCCGAACCTTGCCCGTCCCGATCAGGGGATGTAGATACCCGGACCTCGTCACGGACAGAGCATTGACGAAAAAACTATATTACTGCAGTTTTTGTATTGTAGTTTACAGTATAATAGAATTCGTGTAATATAATATAGTTTTTACGCTGATATTCGCGTCGTCAAAACAAGCGATTAGACACTTCCTGCAAGTATGTGAGGGATAATAGACTTGGACTTACAGGCATCTCCCAGCTTTTATACTTGGGATAACTCTTGTTTTGAGTTATTATTGGAGTTTATCTTTCCCTGTAAACTCTATTAGTTACAAGTCCCTTTCACATTAAAGCTGATTAGGCTTACTACGTGATGTCTCCTCCAAGCTGCGTAAATGTATTCCTGCAGAGCCATTAAAGCCTGCTCTGAAAATCTCTGCTTGCGAGCTCCAAAATGGTTTGTTCCCAGACACCCCGTGATGGCCCAAAGCAAGCAGTCACCACCTCTCTAAAAACATAGAATAGCCTTGTCCCGAATTTGCCACTTCGGGACAAGACTAATTTTCGAAGCAGATCATTCTATCGCAGTCTAGAAAACTTGTTTCTCCCTCCTCGCCACCTGTTATTGTAGCCGAAAGTCTTATAGCTTGAATTTAACATGGAGTTATATTGCTAAATATTACTTCAAGTAACCTGATTTGAGCGACGGATCCAATTTGGTGTCAGGAAACGTAGTTTGAAAAAGATAACCGCCGGACTAGTAACTTTGGCGGCGGCAGAGGACAACCACAAATCGGCTCATCAACAACTTTTTTTCCGTTTTCTCCCGGCGGGAGCAACGCTACAGTAACACTAATACGAAGCACGATACAGTGACCGCCGCCATCACAACCCCAAGGGTGGAACTCGCCAGTTTACCTCCATTTGACTGTTTTGAAGTAGTTGTAGTCGGGGCTGCAATTGTGCGAGTGATTGAAGGTGAGCTCGTAGAATCCGGACTGGTTGTCTGAGACGTCCCAAGGGTCCTCCTCGCAGACGCACCAGTGCCACTGCCAGAGTCGCTTGCGGCGGTACCAAATGTAGCGAAGATGGATACTGTTATCTCGGTCGTAAAGCAAAACGGCAAGGTGTACCCTGAATATCTACCGCCAACATACTGCGCAACTGCGCAGTCCGGGTTACTATAGTCATTACTTTTTTTTGCAACCCATTAACTATTATGCTAACTGGCATGGCGTGTACTTGGGCTAACTCACCAGTATATAACCCCCAGGTCACCAGTCGTTACTGTCGCGGTTTCTGAAGAAGATGAGTAAGGTATGCATTCGCTGACCAGGACGCAGTCTGAACTACAACAGCCAAATAGAGAGGAGACGGTGTTGACATGGCACCAATAGCCATCGTCACAAGTGAGAGACTCAGCTGAGGCAGCGTGGTTAGCGAAAAGAGCTTATCTTTTGGACATGAGACTTATTAGAACCACACTATTACCTACCTTCAACGCCGCTGATATATCCATTGACATGTTGATTCAACATCTTGGCGTCTAAAGAGCCCAGGATGAAAATCAGGCGCAGGTGTGGGGGAGGGCGGTGCCGCTGGTCTTGTCAGGGCAAGTGGGCAGATTAGTAGTCTGGTCTGGTAGTATTTATGGAGTAAATATTAACATACCCAGCCCTAGCACGAGTGCCATTTTGTGCTATAAGCACACTTATAAATTTTATAAAATACTGTAGGAAATTGAGAAGCATTTTATTCCTACTTTCTACTTTCTTAGAGGTAAGATAGGTAGTATAGTTTGAATAGATTGTTTAGTTGCTAGAAAAGTACGACGCTTAGATATATATCTTGCCGTGTGCTCTCTGTGGCTACAAGTGTTCTGAGGTGAATGTGTCTACACATATAGACAAAGGGAGTCCGGTACGTAAAGTAAGATAAACTGTAAAGCTGGACTACTGTGGCTGCTTAACTTTGAGCCACGTTAAAGCATGGGATTAAGCCTTTTACCTGACAGTCTAGCTAGAGGGCCTGTAGCTTGTGTGATTTTATTATACAGCCTCTGACTGCATAATGTCAGCTACATATGTAAGCTGAGGTTAATTGAATTATGCTAGGATTAGCAGCGAGGTAGACTGCGTAAAATGCTCGACTCCATCCTGATGTAACCCTAGCAGACACTGCATGTCAGATAGCACACAATAATAGTTGGCGTAAAAATTTTAACCAAGCTGAAAGACTTGTGGCAGGATACTCTTTATCGGATATCCACTCTGATATCTTGATAAGGCGGAATAGGAAGAGGCTATTGCCACGCTGGGAGCGCTGCTCGCCTATTATTTATGGAATTTAGGCGGCGGATACAATCGCTTAATAAAAATGTATTTATCTTTATTATTTAACCACTTGTACAGTACAATTTTTCACAGCCCGTTTAATATCTTTGCTATAAATGACTTAAAGAAACCCGAAGGGGTTAGGTTGCAAAGTACAGAGATTAATCCCTTCTATTACTGGCCTTATCTGTTTCTTTTTGATACATAGATGCTCCTGGATATATTATATATGGAGGACGACTTCATACAGGGTTCAGTGCTACTTAGATTCCTTGGTAGGTAAATTAATCCGCTTTCCCTGGACACGACGCCTAAGCTGACTCGTGAGTCGTGACAACGGGAACCAATAGAGCCATTATGTACACCACCGACCTCTAGATGCACCTGCAGTCCTACGGGTAGCCACGAATTAAGCGCAGGAATAGCTGCCAGAGTTTCACCTCGTTGTAAAGTGCCGAGACTGGTCGTCCGGATTGTACACCGTCACCCAGTTACATTTATGACACACCAGCAGATGCTGTAAATATGTTGGCGGGGCGGTTTCTTGAAAGGCGACGAGTGCGAAAGCCACTTTACGCCAGGTTCAATGTTAAATCTCATCACTGCCACTATACGCCGATTCTCCTGGCCTATTATTAAGATGCCGCTTAAGCTAGAAGCCGGTATTTAAGTGCCGATGCAAGCGCTCCCGTTTTGGTCGCAGATACCAACTTAATTGCCAAGATGGCTGGCATTCACCCAGCGTATCTAAACGAGTGGCTGATCTGCGAATACTTTTACCAAATTAGTCCAACAATGGGCTAACCCAGCTCCGAGCACGGCTGGAAAGGTCCCCTCTATTGGCAGGAAGTTTATGTTCACAGAAGGGCCATGCAAAAACAGGCCTGTCGTGTGGCTCTACTCTAGCTGTTGTCGCCATTGTGGCAGTACCTTGTCCGCATTCTACCTTTCTAGTATGTAATTAAAGCCAAATTATGGGGAGAGGCGGGCACCGCGACTGTATAACAGACTATGAGTGTATACAATCTTTAATGGGCATTGCAAGACCGATGTGGCTCTTATTCCACGAAGCCTAAACTGATACCTTATGCTAGGTAAATCTCGAAGAGGTAAGAAGGCATTCAGCCTTACCCCCAAGACCAAGCGTCACCGAATCTGAATTAAGAAACGGCAACCAGTGCAATGTCTCGGTGGCTATACTGTACACTGACGGCAACGGGCCAAAGCTGGACGAGGGTGGCGCGTCTTGCTGTGCCCCTTTCCGATCCAAAATGACTATCAGTTGCCTTTTTGACTCTTGGAAACGTCCCCTGTACACCATCTTTGACAAAGCACTTCCAAAGTCGCCAATTGTGGCCGGCCTCAACGTTTGCTTCGACAATGGCAACCGTCTTTGACAAGATCCACCAGACTCTAAGTTTGCCATGGTATATATGTACCTTTTATTCGGGCTTCACGACGGACCCTTTTCGGTATAGCTCCATCGTGGCCGTACGCTTTGCATATTTGGCTATATATGCATAACTCGTATCTTGTCGCTAGCCTTACTTGCCTTGTGCGTGTTGGTGCTGTCCGCGCAATTACTACAAATGCATACTGGTAGCTGCATAGAATTATACCTGCTACTACTAAAGGCCTTGTTTTCTTACTATACATTCGCTACCTTGTCAAGGATTTGATCTCTCCCCTATAGGCTTCCTTTTCAACAGCCTAGCATAAGTAACATCCAGTACATGAAGAATGCACAACGGATGCCCCGGAGAAGGCAACGTCGGCTTTTTTTTTAGAAACATGGGGAATGTACAGTAAAGACAAATCAGGCTAATATAGCAGGTGTGCGCTGAACCCTCGAAACGATAAAAATTGACTTTTGGCAAAAAGTCTCTGCAGCAAAAGCTCCCGTCCACAAAGGACGCACTTTCACATAGCACCACGCCACGCTGTATCATTGAGGTGTGGCGGGCAGCCCAGCTGAACTTGTCCAGCACCACTTGACTCTATGCACATATGTATGCTTACACTTTTATTCACAGGGCTTGAACCTTGGATGAAAATTTGCCCAATCCGCTTGCTCTATTAATACTCCCTACATTCATGCTCAATCGAGCTATGCCAACGTTGAGCAGACGAAAAAAAAAGTATATAAAGTTAAATTTGGGTGCTAGTAGATATTGACTATATTAATGATATATCCAAATATCACTGCCCTTCTTTCTTGCTAGGTGATGGAGCACAATGACGCGAAAATGCTCCTAGGCTCACATGCTCAGACTTTTATTATTATTACGCTGCTTATAGCAAGTATAGGCATAACAGGCGCCAAAGCCAGCTGCCTTGGTGTTACCAATGTGGCTGCCTATTTACAGCCAACTGCAGGAAAGACACCCGGGGCTGGCCCTTTGATAACGCCAGCCCCGGCACCCCATGCTGAGCTCTTTAAACGCGATGTGCTTCCATCGACATGTGGATACATTAACGGCGCTTCAGGCAGGCAATAGTCTATTTAGTCTACAATTCCTCTTCTACAACTAAATCTTTCCCTAGATTCAGCTATTACCTGCTCACAGGGCGAGTGGTGCCAGGTGAGGGCGGTTGATAAGGCATTTGGCTGTTGCAGCAGTGCGCAACATTGCACCATCGTCAGGACATGTGTAGCTTACAGGCCTGGCTTGGAATCGGCAACAATAACCAGTAGGAACGGAACGACATATTGGTAAGTAAGCTCAAGTAATCAAAAGTGGTCACGTCTCTACACGTGAATTAGTCCAAGGAGCTAATCCGCCGAGACGGCAGCACCGACTCGGCAACGCCTGCTTGCGCAATTAGGCCGTACGTCGGCACTGCTTACCCCAGCTATACTTGGCCATTCTGCGAGAACGGCATCTACACTAGTGTCCGTCTTTGACGACTTTACTTCGACTACACCCAGCTCTACCAGTTCCACAACTCCCTACCCTTCAACCACAACTCCTCCTCCGCCTCCGCCCCCTCCAACGACAAACGTGGGCGTCATTGTAGGAGGTGTCGTGGGAGGACTAGGTAAGAGACAGCCTGAACCGTCCTTGTCCATCCTGAAGCCAATAAAAAGCTGATTTTGTTCTTCTTAGCCGGTCTAGCTTTACTCGGCCTTGTAGGCTGCTTCCTCTTTCGTCGACACAAGAAAAAGGCTTCAACTTCTAGCCCTCAACAGCCGTTTGTTTCCCAGCATTATCCGCCTACTGGAAACCAGTTTTTACAGGGTTACAGTCTAAATAATGACTACACGCGTCATTCTAGCGCGGCTACAGCGCCAGTAGATGTGGCAACCAGACCAGGTTCAGCGGGATATAAATACCAACCAAGCGGTGAGGGAAGTACCATGTCAGCCTCGCCCCAGCCGGCTTCTTCCTATGGTTATGACTTTAACCAGGGGGTTGAACAAGGCAAGGCCACTTACGAGATGCCTAATGAAAGACCAGCAAGACCACCACAGGAGATGCCGGGGAGTCCTTGAGCATGGGGATTCAGGATGCTGTGCAGGTCACTTTTGGTACTAGTGGAAAGTTGAAGGCACAACCAGGGACTAATTGTAATTTTATGGGAGATGGAGGGCAAGTTGATCCACGTAAAGCCCAAAATACCTTTTTGTCCAACTCTTTTGCACTTGCAGTGTTATTTAATGATCTATTTGGCCTTGCTGGCCTTGTTGGCCCCTTTTGTGGCCAGTTTAGGAGCTTTCTTACTGCTGCGCTTGGGCTCCGCGTTCATGGAAGCCTTTTTTTCTAAGTTTGTTTCTATGATAACATTGGCTGAGGCTATCGCGAGATGGCCTTAACTAGCGGGCCGTAGCGCGGTATTAATTATACTAAGATAGTCTATTTTGAAAGGAACGCCCGGGCTTAGGGCTGATGCCCGGGCACGTGTTCAGGCTGTTGTAACCAACAAGTCCCGTATGGTGAGGCCCCTTTGTTGGGCTTCACGATCTGTTGGGCCTTTTCCGTGTAAATAGGACTAGATGGTAAATGGTAAACTCTTGTGCTCTAGATTCTAAATCTCCTTGGGCGTGAAGACCTTCTTGGTTCTTATGAGGAGTGCTGCCCGGCGACAGGACCCGCGAGAGTGATATGAGTTACATATGTCAACTGGTATGGTCTCCCTAGCCATTAGTTAAGGGGCGCGGGTGTATGTCTGGTGGGCACGGGCGATCACTTTGGACACATCATGGAAGTTGGGGCATACATGTAAGGTCTGGTAGCACCTAAGGTTACCACCAACGTAGTCGCAGTGCTACTAGCAACAATTCCACAAACACCAGATGGTGCCACGTTGCCAGTAACAGCCTGGGTTGGATGACTGGTACATATAACCTCCAGCACTCGTACCATAGCGGCTACCAGTCACGCCAATGTGCGCCATGGCGGTTACCAGCAATCTCCAGGGCCAAGTATCGTTCGGTACCAGTCACGACATTTGGCAAGCTACCAGCACATACGGCTACCTGCAACAGCCGTCAACGGAGCATTTGGTGGTGACTTCCAGGGATCATCCAGATTGCAACCACGCTCCTTAGCAGCATACGGAGCCTTCAGGTCCTTCTTGGCAGAAGAAATGACCAGACCCAACAAAGTCTGGGAAATGTACAGCTAGTACAATCTTCGGGACTTGCGCAACTCGTTTCTCTTTTTAATCTCTTTGTTGCCTCTATTGATTGCTCTAGTTAGCCATCGGGTGATTATCATCCGTTGTCTGAGAGCCTGCCATGCTTAGGCTGCTTCTCAACCCAGGATAATTACTATTTCACATCCTCCCCGGCCTTTTCCCAGATGTGCGGATTTAGTCTCTCTCCACAGACGTCTGTTAAAGTGCAAATAGGAGCCGTGACAAAGCTTCTTAGCGGAACGCCCTACTCGCAGTGCGTCTCGTCGCGAATATCAAGCCTTCTCTCCTTTGTTTCCCAAGCAAACGCGCCCCGTGCTTCGACATCTGATAACCTGATGGTTTCTAGCGTCGAGAAATTGACCTTTGGCCCAGCGCCTAATATCCTCATCGTTCATTCTGTCCGCATGCTCTAATATGGGAAGGGTCTCGTCGGAGATGACCTGTGAAATAGCTTGCCACGAGCTCCCCAACAGGGACTCATTAGTACACTTCAGGTAAAGAATTGTGACAATAACTACTACGGCTAAATGCGTCACGGTAAGAGCCGTGGCGGCGATAAGTCCCGTCCACTTCATTGGGATCAACGCCGTTGAGGAGAACGAAACCAATGCCTCTGACTTGTTGTCCAATCGTAGAAAATCCACATAGTAGACCATCTGAGTAATTCTTGCCAACAGTACTTGGAGTGCCAAAGCCGGGCTTTTCGTATCATGTAATGTGTCTTGGAAGGGATGTATATGAGATATGTATGCGTTCTTGTCGATGCTTTGGTTCCCTTCAGAGAGTATTATACCCGCATCTGTACTTCCGTTCTCCAAATCACTTCTTCTCAATGTATCTTCAAGAACCTCGTCAAAATAGAAGGTCGTGTCCCACATTCCCGTCTTATTAGGGAAATCTTGCCATTGGGACCTCGGCGATAGGGTCAGCACTCGCCTTGTCTCGAAACTCTCGGGTATCAATGACGCGCCTAGCTGATGCCGGGCTGCCTCTGTATTGTATCTTTTAGCTTCGTAGTCCCAGGTCAACCTGGGCTCAGGATTATCCCAAGCGCTATGGATGTCGACAATGAAGGTCTTTGGTGTGAGGTTAGTCATGCAGGCTGTGATCCGGAGAGTCTCCGTCGCTTCCTCTCCCGCTGCCATCACCCAGGGTCCGTCGTTGCGGACAACCTTGCAATCTTGGTTATGAGTTATTCTCAGTATTGGAGACGCAGAAACAATGTCCAAAATCATGAACATTCTTGATCCCTTGGGATGGCCGACCTCGTTTGGAGAAATGTTGATGCCATCATCGACAGCAGGAACAACCAAAGGATCTTCCAGCAGTATCGTCCAATTTTTTGAATCTACAGCACACAGGCTCGATTCCCCGGCCGTAACTTCTGTATATACTGTCGGTGTTACTAAAGCGCAGGTAAAATTAATATAATTCTCCGGTTCAGCCTCTTTCAATATTGGGTATATCGTAGTCTCCATAGCTATTTGGCCCGACAAGGCCCAACGAGGAGCATTGGATATCTGGATGAGACCAAGATTTAGCAAAGAAGGTTTCGCACAGACTACGCGGTTGTCGATAACATGAGCCGGGCCGCGGAATTTTCGTAATCTGGTTCGTTGAGCCTCGTCCTCAAAGGGGAGGAAAGCTCGATAAGTGTGTCCCGTATCATCAAAACTCGCTCCTTTAGTAAACGGTTCAGAAGACTCAGCAAATGTCCAACTGGCCGCAGGTGGGAGTTCCCAGTAGTTGGCGTTGATTCCATCTAATCTTATTCTTTTATGTATAAAGATCCGGACGTCAGTAGAGTTATCTATATTAGCGAATGTACCCTCCGCAAAGTCGGTCGTGAGGATAGCGGAGAGAAATTGGGAGGCTACCGTCAAGACGACTTCAAGGACCACAAGCGTGTATATCAAAAATGATGTAGCATCTTTAGGCCTGGAGCGTACCGTAGACAACAAGTTGCTTGGGCCGACACTGACAGCCCTGATGATGGAGTAGAATGGTGCCTTCAGCAAAGGGGCGCCAACTGTCTCCAGGATTATTCCCGCAAGCATCCCAGTAGCCACACTTGACTGGAGGCCTATAACTGTCCTTAAGCCTGCTGTACATAAGGCAACGAGAGTGGTTACTCGGTTTGCTCGGAAGATGTACACCCAGGGTGTTTCTGCCGGGCCTCCATCAGCCGCTCTCATCGATGATTTCCAGAGAATCCATAGGATAAGCAATACTAAAAGTAGTATCGCTGAGCCAAGAAGCAGGATGATGAAGCTCATGAGACCGAAGCGTTGCCATGTTTTCTTCTTTTTGGGCTTAGGCGGCCGTTGTCCGACGTCTTCGCCGTCGTCGTCTTCTTCCGTGGGGGGAGGTAGGGGCACCAGAGACACATAGTCGTGCGAGGACGTTGTCGCGACCCTGCGTGGCGCCATTTAGATAGCCGGGACTTGAGAGAAGAGAGGATTGATCCTGTTTGGGTTCTCACACAAACGTCAAATATAAATCATGAGGAATGGGAGTCTCTTTGTGGACTTGTCGTTAGAGTTTCTGTACGGCATGTTTATAACGTGTAGATTCCACAGCCTGTTGCCGTCTGGTAGCAGCATGAGTGAAGCCCCTTTTCAGTTGCAGTACAAGGGCAATTCATTGGCACAGCCAGCCGCCATCGTTACTGTGGCATAACTCTGTCTCATATTTGAGTGGCCTACAATACCTTGTCACCTGCATATTTGTGGACGTGGCAGAGACAGTTTACCAAAGCCAATCCGCTTGACGCCGTATTTCAAGGCTGCCAACTAAGACATGGACTGATATATGATATCCTATGAGATAACTACTACTCCGCCACACCAAGACGTGCCTGCACGCAGCGCCACGCAGTGAATAGAAGCCTTGAATCATCATTATTGGCCTTCATTGGCGGTTTCTAAAGCTGCCTTGACAAGCCGCAGCCTTGAACAAAAACTCTAATATTAGAATTTTCTTGTACAGGAGAGCGAAGACAAAGCGCTCAATCTTCTTGGGCAACACCGAGAGACTTTCGCCCAGAAGAAGGCAGTGAGTCAATGACGAAGGAAAATATGCCTGACTCGCTCTGCGAAGGACTACAGACTCTAGGCAAGTAGTCGATTAATGCGCTTTCCGACCGCTTTTTGTGGGAGCGTTGCTAGCCTCATCAGGCGACCAACGGCGTATTGAAGCCTAATTCTCCTTGCCCGACAGGAGATATGTCTTGCTTTTAGATGACGTCGAAGGACCGTCGGGTCAGTTCCGGCATGGGACCCCAGATGCCAAATATACACTTGCATTCGGCAGACATTTTATGCTTCTGAAAAACCGGGATCTTGCCCAGCGATCCTTTCGGCGGCATGCCATATTTCCCGCCTCGTAATTCTATAGCTTCTATATTCCCTAATCAAATATCACCTTTGTAATGCATCCGGTCCTGGCATGATACCCTTATCCCGTGCTTGTGGTGGTGGTCGGCCATGGTGACCGTGCTGTTGGGCAATACCCTCTTATTATGATGCGTTTTACCAGAACACTGGGAACATATTACCGGTCAAGAAAACACATGGAGTAGCTGTGCTTGAAAAGACTGGAGGGCGTTCGTCCTTGGCCGAATACAGTCGCCAGTGTCGCCGCAGTTGCTTCCGATGTAGGCAATTGGCTACGTCAGTGCCATAATCTCGTCATAACGCCCGAGCGAGTCCAGGATACGACTCCCGTTAGGACCCAAGCCTATTAATGCATTGAGGTACAGATTAATGTCTCCTCTGACCCCAAGTAAGAGGTAGTCGATGTCCGCATGTTGAAGGGCGTTGGCCAAGGTACGACCTGCCACGTCGCCGCGGACCAGATATACGAAGCTAAAACGACATCTGAAATTTCTGTTTAGGCCGAATATCCAGTCACATAAGTAATGCGAGCTTCGTTATAAGTGACATAGGACACTAAATCTCGTTGAACGATGGCAAGGGAACCAGCGCATAGTAAGGAAGAGTTGATAGTTGGGAGCGAACATTCGAAGTTGGCTCCTGCACCAGCAACAGCATCACCTTTGTCATCTTTGACCGCGCCGGCAACCATAGATTTTCCGGAAACTCGGGGTCTTCTTTGACACATTCGGTTTACCCAAATGAATGGTGTTTCTACGGGGTCCTATCAACCAGGGCTAGCGACCCAACTCCTTTTAACCTCAATTATACGACATTTTGGAGCCCAGAGGGAACCAGAAAGAGTTTAAAACGGAAACGATCCTCATATTATCTCTTGCTGGTAAATATGCACAACTATGGGAAATGAACGATGACCCCGTAACTTATTTTTCGTCGACAAAATCAGGCATTACCCTCAACATGTACGCCTATCAAACAGTACGCCTTGGATAACACCAACTGTGAGCACATTCGTCCCACCACCAGGCGACATTCATATATTCTCTTGCCCAAGAGACAGCTTACCATTCATCTACAGCAGGCTTAACGTTGAAGCAAGTCCAAGGACGAGCTCCAGTGAAGAAGAATGCTGCCAACTTAATGCAATGATGAACTCGCCGGACGTCTTACATCACCCGAGTGAAATCGCGATAGTCACATTCTCTATGTGCCAGATACGATGATGACGACCGTATCCAAGCTTAGGTTGTCGGTTGCAGAGAGGGCCAGCTACCATCGAACATCTGTCCACTAGCTGAGTCTTTTGACACAGCGCAAGCGTGCTTAGCTGTTCGTAACCACAAGTTTGCAGTGTAGAAAGGCAGTCGAATCATGGCAGACCAAGTCACTTGTACTAGTCTGTAGCGTGAGAGGCAGCGAATGAAGCCAGATAAGAGAGTCGCGCTTCGTTCCCGTTCCACATGTCCAAACGTTCTTATACTGACAGTCCGTTGAACAGTCGGGACTCTATGGATTTGGCGGTATTGACCAAAATGACCCAAATCTGCTTCTCAGTCCAGGCCTGGTGGCGCGTAGTCGCCAAAGAGGGCATCAAGTTGTTCAACGGCCAGACAATGGGCTTTGTGCATCTCCTGGTATATACACCAACCACCCTGAAATCGCCTCTCAACTATGACTTTGATGAAGACCGTTTCGCTTTTACGAGCAGCGCTGCCCACCAGGCTAGAAAGGCGCACTAGCTTATAACGACGTATGAGGCTTCCTGCTATTTGATACAAAGCCGGGGAGACTGCGGTACATACCCTGGACATGTTCGGAGCGCCGGTTTTCCACTACACCCAGTTACTGAACCGTTACGAGTGCCGAGGAGAATACATGACGGTTAGAGGTCTCGTGTCAGTGCAATTGACCATGTGGCCAATCTGTATCCTAATGCCACGAAACATCACGCCACTTTCCACTTAATGGAACAGTGGGGGGTTGTCTGGGGCGCATTTAGGGGACAGGTAGCCTCGAGGCTTGTAGCACGGTCATGACCATGGTAGATTGAACTATGTACTTACAATATGGAACAAGTCAAGTGTGACATACCATATAGTCGACCGTACAGTATACCTACGCGGTGGGACTTTGATCTAAAGTCTCTGGTACCACAGTTTCCAGAGAAATGCAGCCGTGGGAACCCGGACAAACCTGCCCCGAAATCGGCCCCGTTTACTTTGCTGACGTCAAGTATGTATCCATGTCTTGACCTCATTTCACGGTGAGAATGGCTGGTTATTCAGACTCATTTATATGTCCTGCGTCGGGCCTTCTCATCCGCCCGCGCGTTGACCGAGCAAAAGGCATTTGACGACTTGCCCCCGAAACTTGTCCCTCTTCTCGTCCCAGGCGAACAGTAGCGATATACTTGACCGCGACAAGCCAATACCTGCCCGCCAGCATGAAGCTTCTCGATGTGGTGGACCAGTTGCCTATTCTGTCCTTTTGGGCATAGCTCTCCGTCAACCCCGACAAGTTCCGACCAAACTCAGCTCAATAAATAAAATACTTGACAAATATTCCCCCCTCACTTTTCTTTTTCATCCCTCCTCTTCTGCATCTCTTCTACCCTCTTCTAGTCCCGGCGTCGTGGTGTCGCGCACACGCTGCCCAGCCCAGCCCGACCCTTCCAGACCGCCAGTCCAGATCAGCATCAAGGAAAAAGGGGGACCAAACCAGCGACCACGCCGCAATTGATTCGCAATTTCTTGGCCGTCAGAAATAAAAACACACCAACCGCTCCTACGCGCCGCAGCCCACAATGATAGTCACGCGGGCCATCTCGCTCACCAATTTCCTCGTCGCCAGCTCAGCGCTAGGGTTCCAAGTGTTCGTCCTGTACCCGTGGCACAAGGAATTGGACGCCGGCTTCGAGGAGCTCAAGAAGGAGCATCTCAAGGTCCTCAACGCCGTGGGGAGCAGCCTCAGCGAGCAGCAGCGGAGGGGCTTCATGGACAAGCTCAACGACATGAAGAGCCAGAGCGCCAAGAGGTGGTGGTTCTTCTAGGCTACGCTTCCCATCTCGTTTTTCCGTCCCGGCTTGGAGAGGCGATGCGCCGTGAGACTAAACGATGAGCAGAATGCCAAATTTCTCGTCGACTAGACACTCGGCGTTTCGGCGCGTTGGACGGGGCTGAGTTCTGCGCGACGGATGCCGACTTGACTGCGCAGCTTGTGCTGCGCGTCTCCGTTTTGTCGAGAAATAAAACGTCAATCCCTTCGAATTGGATACAGAGACGCTGTGGAAATGCCCGGTTTTTTTAAATGCGTCCTGGTTGGAGACTTGGAGACCTGGGCTGTGGTTGAATTGCACACAAGAGTTTACCGATCTAGTCACACACTCGACTAGGTTCTTTTGTCGCTCGAATCTCTTTTTCTGCTGGAAAACGATACCCTCATTATGTGGAAGCTTCATGCGGCGAATAGTACTGGCTCTTTCTGTGGCAACGGGCTCCTTTGTACGGCCTCTTCTCTCCTGGTCTCGCGGCGATGGGCCAAAAATACGCGACTGGGCTCAAAAGCGGCAGACGTCTCCAGGCTGTATGCTACCTTTGTTTGCTCAGGTGAAACTGCCATCTTGCGGCGCTTGTGATTTGGACTGAGGTCTGGAAAGCGGTTTATAAGTAGATGGCCGGTAGCTAATATATCCTATTGACGTTCTACCACTCGAATGGAGTTTCGATCAACTTGCAACGTACACTGTTTTTTATGCTAAAACTAATATTTAACATACTAGCCCTGGTAAGGACTTGCTGGGCCGGTCACATTGGCAACTCCCGTTTGGCAAGGTCTTTGTGGTGGTTTGCCTGGGCAGGTCGAGTATTCCGCGTAGCCAAAGGCCACAATCACCAGTTTCCTACTACAGCGGGTGCGAATTGAATCTTTACCGCTTTGGGCTCCCTGCCGGCCCCATTTTCCGCAAAATACCCCGCGGTCCGTCCATCACGGGCGGCAGAGCTGGACGACGGCGCCGGTGGACGGGGCGGCGCCTTGGTCTCTACTGGCGTGTGAACAAATACCAGGGAAAACTGGAACGTTGTAGCCAACCGTATTAGATTGATCCGGTGTCTGATCTGTTGGTGAACCTGAAGCACCATATTCCGAGGCCATGTCGCTTGTTCTGGTTGTGCAACTGCCGACAGGTTTACTCTCAAGTTGCTACACCGAATCCTCAGCACCAGATGGCTGCTTTGAAGGAGAAAGCTCAATGAGGGCAAAAGGATAGCCAAGATTCGTTTCGTTCAGGGGAATATAAGGGGTACTCGCTGCCGCAATTAGAGCGGCGCTGTTTTTGTGACAGAGTTTTGCAGTATCAATGTTCCCGCTAACCCATGATGCCGAGGTGACAACTGGTATTTCACGATGACAGTATAGTGCAACTAAATATTGTATATTGCATGAAACAATGTTTTATGTTCAACTTGTATGCAAGAAACCCTTTGATCCAGTCCTGCCTTCTATAGAACTTCCGCGGTGGCACAGGCAACGCCGCCATTTGCCAACTTTGCGCAACGCATTCTATTCGTCTTGAGTGGAAATTCGATGATATATTGCCAGCCGAGGGTGCGTTACGTCTCTCAGGCCCAATTCATGTATTTTGACACCATGATGCAACCGGGTGACCGGGAAATGGAAAATGCGGAAGAAAGAGGAGTGCCTCGTGTTCCCGCATCACTCCCTCAAGACTTCGAGTTCGTCTCCTTCCTTTGAATCAGGTCGAATGCTTTGACAGTGACCCAGGCAACGGCCACCACCGTCACCGCGAGCCGGATTTCCCTGGCAAACTGCGCTGCGCCGGGCGGGAACAGAAAAGTATGGGCGTGGTTGATGGTCCCCGAATGTTGGGCCTGGAGGAGAAATTGCTCCATGGCGGCGCTGAAGAAAGGAAATGGGAAGCGGTGCCCCAATTATGCTGTGAATTTCCTGCGTCGTTGAAGCCGGGGCGCCAATTCGAAGGGTGAAAAGAAAAATCGGCTTCAAGCATCGGTAGCGCGCGCGACTGTTTGTGGGGCAACCGACAAGGTCAATTCAAATGTTGCCTAACCTGTACACTGTTCATCTCTAGAACCACGATGACAAGTCAAAACAAGAAACACGCATCAGGGAAGCATGGGAGCTTGTTGGGTAATGACTCGTATAGCAACCAGCATTCTACCGTTGGGGGAAGTTGTTTCGTCCAGCTTGGTTACGGGTAACGCTCTTTACAAATCAAGACAAGACAAGTTTCTCATCATGTCAAGTTTTTATCCACAAGAGTCCGGTTGCAAAAGGAAAAACCCTATACTCCGTAGAGGCCGAGTTTATACGGAGTATGCTCGTCGCACAAAACTGGGCAAATCAAGGCAATATATTGCTTACATGGCGGATCCTACGGCTGCAAGTAGCCAGACATGGAACGGAAACCACCGCAGTTACAACTAAAAGTATTTGTGTCAGGGGCCTGCACTTGAGCTTTGCCAAAGTCGTCAATGCATGGACATGCAGAAGCAAGATAAGCGGGGGGCAGCGCCGCGCATTGCCAGTGCTGGCTCAATTTACACCAGACCAGACATGACATTATTCGTGTCCCCGGGAAAGTAGTATCGCCCATCTCTCCCAAGTGATGATTCATGGCCATTTGCATCGCGATGCGGTTCGCAGATACGGTGACGTGCATATTTCCCTGCAGCAAGGCTAAACAGTGGGCTCGTGCGAAAGATGCGTGAGCCAAGAGGGCATACTTTGACTTATGTGTGACGTGGTCGATGGCGCGGGTTCTAGCTGCGCTGGAAAAAAGAAGATTGAAACGATGAACGAGCGGGGGTTTCCACCTCCAGCCGATGGGCTACTGTATAAAGCTCCCTCTGGACAGACGAGAAATTATCCGTCTTGCTGAGACTTGTTTCCTTCGTACTTGCCCGTATAGAGTCAGTGTCTCACAGGATGCCTCCCTCATTTGTTCTGAGCGCTATCCTGAGTATCGCGAGGTAAGCCAAGACATGTCGCCGTGTGTTCTTCCATCCCGGAAGCGCATCCACAAAGAAACCAACAATGTGGAAAAGGCGGCCTAAAGCAGACGCGGTTTTTGTAAAATAGATGGGCAACTAATATCTTCTAGTGCGACGGCTGCCGCTGCCGAGCTCAAGCCAACAAAATGTGCCACCAAGGTCACCATCGTGACCAAACTCACTGGAACTACGACGATATACAAATCCGTGGCCGCGGTCCCTTGGGAAGTCGACTGCAGGGATTGCGATTTGATAGTCGTCACAAAAACACTGGGGAGCCTAAAGGTATATTATCTGGCCAAATTGTGCATGCAGGAACAAGCACTTACAAGACTTCACTACAGCCTACGATTACCGTCACTTCTGACTTCATACTTATGCATCCCCCGATCTGTACCTGGTTCCCTGAAGCGCCCTCACAATCACCGGACCTCTCGTAGGGCCAAGCGAGCGTCATTGGACTCCGATTGACCTTGGCAGTCGAGGTTATTCTTGTTGGAGGGAAGGGCGCATTCTCTCGGCTTTGGCTTGCTGAATCTGTATCATATAATCTTGTCTATAATAGGATTCTTTACGTCCATGATTGAGGATGAAATATGAGAGTTTACCGGTCACTCCGTAACTCACGGGACAGCATTACGGTACGAGTCAGTGCCGAGGCTGGTCTGATCTAGCAAGCACCATAGTCAAACGCTCGGCGTAGTGCAGGCTATGCCATTATTCGTATAGGCAGCAGATGACGGGACTGACGCAAAGATGGCAAAATGAAGACTGCTGTAATCGACATTCTGCATCAGCATTTGAATTGGAAGCGTGGCTGTGCGGGTTCTAGATGCTGTGCGGGGACCGCTGTGGCGTCGGGACACGCACCTCTTGGGCTATTTTTGGTGCGTTGACATTGCTGCGAGGAGTCTGGAGTGCCAATTTGTCGCGAGGACACGCGTATCCAGACGACTAGGCCGAGGGCTCCACGTCAAACCGGTGCCGTCAACGTCATGAGAGACGACTGGCCCTCAAGAGCTCAAGGCTGACGATTACGGAGTACTCCGTAGCCGCATTCTCTTTGATGGCGGGCCAACCGGCGACGGGCTACCAGGAATACGAACAATGGGGCCATTGTGTTTTGCGTTCCTCATCTCGGCGCAGGATGGGCCGCTTTGTCAAGGGCCGCCGGGGCCGTTGCAAAGTTGGCCATGTGAGAGGCATCCCGATGCGCGTGCTGTGCTTCAGGCCGCCGAGTGCTTCGGGTGCAGCGCGTCAGATGGCGTGGCGGAGGCGCACGTAAAATGATAATCGACGGCCGTGTCCATGGTTGGCGTCTGGCATTTGGGTGTTGCCCCTGGGGCCAAAGGGCCAGGGCCCCTTCTTCTAGATTGTTTGACTGTCCCTGTTGAGATTCCGTTTCGGCGGAACGGCGCATGTGATGCGAATGCGGCAATGAAAGGGCCAATCCATTCATTGTTCTGAGAAGCCTCATCTCAAGTCTCGTGGGGGACGGGAGGGTCGCAAAGGAAAACTGGGCAGACCAGACGTCATCAAGAGTGTGGGCGTGGTTGGTGCGAGCATGAGTGGGTGGAGTGGATGGAGGATGAGACAAGCAATCAATGAGATTGGCCAGGCAGGCTCTGCTTGTGAAACATCTGGGGGCTCTGGCCTAGATGCCTGGCTTGCTTTGCTTTTGCTGCCCTCTAGTTGGTACGCGGTGCTCGGTACGTCCAAATGTCAAAGGCATGGCGGCGGATGGCGGCCTCGCAGCCTTCATCAATGTTGCCAGCTTCATTCCAATCCAGCACAAAAATGCCTCTGGTATTGGGCCCCGAGGCTTGGCCCGGCTGCAGAAATCCAGTCAGGGAGGGAGGACGGCGCACTGGGTCTGCCTGATGTGACGGTTGAGTTCGCTGAGGCGTAACTCAGACCTTGCGCGGCTCAGCTCAGATCGGAGACAAAGGAGAACTTGGACTACGGGGCGGAAATATTTTATTTCGCGCAGCAGACCCGTCATTGTAGCACCAGGCTTTGTGCATTGGGCCGTCTGTCCTCCTCACACGGAAGCACGGATCATTTTATCAGTCGCCGACATGTCCATACTCGGCATGCTGCATCGTGCCAGGAGCTCACTCGGTATGAAGACTTGCCTGCGGACTACGGACCGTACATACATACAACGCACATACCGTTGACACCCTCAGCCGCAGCCAATATTTGGACCAGAATGCCTAATGCCTCGCTCATAAAAAGGATCAATCGCTCGGCGTCGCCCCCGCCACACTGGCAACGCCAGCGGATGGAGCCACTTGCGAGGCAGGTGCGACCCTGGTCAAAGCTCCTTGTTCCTTCCCCCTGCCACTCGATAATTTGAAACCTGCCCGACGACTTTCTTTCCAGGGCTTGAAACTGTCATCCGGCTCAGGCGCTTTCTTTCAACCCCTTCGTTTTCCTGCCCATTTGAGCATTTCGCCTGCTCTTTTTGTTGCAGCTGTGCACTTGTCGGCATCGACGGCTGTTCTTCTCTACTGCGCATGTCCTAGTCTCGGCGTACCTAGCAACTTGCCCAAGCTACGCGCAGTGTGGGGGGCATATTGTATTGTATGTTTTTGAATGGCGACGTTGGACGTTGGGCCCAGGAAATCGCAATCTCCCAACGACAAGGTGCCATACAATTCCGACCTCAATTTGCAACAACTAGCACTTTCACCACCTCCGTCGACTGTTGTTCCGTGTACCCATCTCTGGTTACGCCACGCCTTTGAGCTGGTCAGGCGGAACTGCGACCCCGAGACAATAGTAACTGCCGAGCCCGCACGATAGCCTTGTCCGTCGATTCAACCCATCGTCACCGACGTCCGTCCGCAACATGTCGCAGTACAACAGACTCCCTGGGTATGGGGGTGATGGATACGCTGGTGATGGATACGATAGAGGCAAGTCTCGTTGAATCGTACACTTTTTCTTTTGTCTTGAGAGCCCTACTCCATTCAAACATCCATGTTCTCATGGATCAACCTCCGACTTGCACCCCCCCCTTTCACCCCTGCATTCCTAACATCATGCCCTCGAATGTCCAGAAATCCCGACCTAGTGGACACTGAACTACCTCTCCTTGTACGGTCTTTTGGCGACGTATTTGCTCATCGCCAAGCATACGCTAGTAGCCTTGATGGCCAGTTACCTCTGTCTGGTAAAATACCTGGCCTCCCCACGGTGTCAAAGTGGTCACTATCCTATCATCTCTTGTGGCTTCTGCCAACTTGGTCACCCCTATCGCATCTCTTACAGTCACCTCCCATGATCTCCATCGCCTTCCACCCCCTTCTTGCCTCTGCCACCTCTGCTCTTCTCTCTTCAGACCTTGCCCTCCCTGTTACTTGTTGACTTCCCATGACAAGCGGGACTGGCTCTCTAGTCTCAAGAGACAGCAGCAGCAAGCAGCACTGGCAATCCTAGTCGGCCGACAATCCGCTCCCTCGTGGCTGTATTCTCGCGCAATTGCTTTCACACGTTTCTTTCTCGGCTGGTCCCGGGGCCAATCTAACATTCGTACACAGAAATCGAGATGCAAAACCACGGCTTCAACGACGGGGCTTACGGAGGAAGGCGCTCACCCGCAGCGGGAACTGATGGATATCATGCAGATCAATACTATGACGATCGTGCAGGACATAATCTAGGTCCCTATAGTAATACCTCGCAGGGTCAGCTCTACCCAGCAGACTACTCGAGCGAAAGGCTGTATATGCAACCTCCGGTACGTTGGAAGGAATGACAAATGGCCTATACTGAAATAGCTTATGCTCATTTTCGCAGCAAAGTGTCACACAGAGCCCCAGTCCCGGGCCATACTATAACCACCAACAAGACCACGTCGTCAACCCGCAGCAAATACACGATCAAGGCGAATATTTCGATGGCTACAATCAAGGACAACCTCCTCAGGAGCATCAGGCATACGACGACGACGGCCAGCCATTGATACAAGATCAGCTCGGTTATTCAGACAACCCTCAACAGCACACCCAGATCCCAGCTGGAGGAATCAAACGATGGAAGACGGTCAAACAGGTCTTGCTGTACCGTGGTAACCTCGTTCTGGACTGTCCTGTTCCGCCCATCCTATTAAATCAGAATCCCCACAGCAAAGAGCGTGACGAGTTCACTCATATGCGATATTCCGCCGCAACATGCGATCCATCGGACTTCTATAACGAGAACTTCACCCTTCGCCAGAAGCTGTTCAGCTCGCCTCGCCACACCGAACTCTTCATCGTCGTTACCATGTACAACGAAGACGACATCTTATTCACTCGCACCATGATTGGCGTGTTCAAGAACATCGAGTATATGTGCAATCGCCCCAACAGTAAAACCTGGGGCAAAGACGCCTGGAAGAAGATTGTAGTGTGTGTTGTAAGCGATGGGCGCGCTAAAATTAATCCGCGAACGAAGGCTATCTTGTCCGGTATGGGTGTTTATCAGGAAGGTATCGCGAAGCAACAAGTCAACAATAAAGATGTGACGGCGCATATCTACGAGTACAGCACGCATACCCATCTGCAGCTCAAGAACGGGGTGGCTTCTCTTGTCCACAACCGACAGCCCGTGCAAATGCTCTTCTGTCTCAAGGAAAAGAACCAGAAGAAGATCAACTCACATCGTTGGTTCTTCCAGGCCTTTGGCCGCGTCCTGGACCCCAACATTTGCGTCCTTATCGATGCTGGTACACGTCCTGGAGGCAATTCCATCTATCATTTGTGGAAAGCTTTTGACCTGGAGCCCATGTGCGGTGGTGCTTGCGGCGAGATTAAGGCCATGTTGGGCACGGGCGGCAAAAACCTCGTCAATCCGCTTGTTGCCACGCAAAATTTTGAGTACAAGATGAGCAACATTCTCGACAAGCCTCTCGAATCTGCTTTCGGATTCATTTCCGTCTTGCCCGGCGCCTTCTCAGCGTACCGGTACGTTGCCCTGCAAAACGATAAGAACGGACAGGGGCCACTAGAAAAATACTTCTTGGGTGAGACACTGCATGGTGGGAGCAGTGCCGGACTCTTTGAATCAAACATGTACCTGGCCGAGGATCGAATTCTCTGCTTTGAACTCGTGACCAAGCGAAATTGCCATTGGATTCTTCAATATGTCAAATCGGCTACAGGAGAGACCGATGTACCGGATACAGTAACGGAACTGGTTCTTCAACGTCGTCGATGGCTAAATGGATCCTTCTTCGCTGCCATTTATGCTATTGCTCATTTCTATGAATTCTTCCGATCGAATCACTCCTTTTTCCGCAAACTGGCCTTCTTTGTCGAGTTCGTCTTCAACACAATTAATATGATCTTTGCCTGGTTTGCTATCGGCAACTTCTTCTTAGTTTTCAAGATTCTCACTACGAGTCTTGGCTCCGACGACTTGTTGGGCAGAACCGGAGAGATTCTTGGCGTTGTTTTTACTTGGCTTTATGGTGTATTTTTGATGACATGCTTCGTTCTCTCCATGGGTAATAGGCCAGCTGGTTCCGGGAGATTGTACACGGCAATGGTGTGGTTTTGGGCCATCATAATGATGTAAGAGTTGTCTCGAAAGCTCCAACGCCTCTCCTTACTAACAACGACAGATACTTGATGTTTGCTGCCATCTTCATTGCGGTCAAGGCTATTATAAAAGACGTCAACAGCGGCACAGCCTTTAGCATCAGCCAGCTGTTCAAGAATCCGGTCTTCTACACGCTCATCATATCCGTCATGTCCACGTTTGGTATTTGGCTCATTGCGTCGATTATCATGTTCGACCCGTGGCACATGGTTACTTCGTTCATTCAGTACATGTTGCTTACTCCCACCTACACCAACGTCCTGAACGTCTACGCCTTTTGCAATACTCACGATGTTTCATGGGGCACGAAAGGCGATGACAAGGTGGAAAAATTGCCCTCCGTCAACACCAAAGACGGCCAGGGTAAGACGGATCTACCTGATGAGGGTGATTTGAACGCTCAGTACCAGCGAGAGGTTGAAAAATTCAGCACCAAGTTCAAGGAAGTCAAGACGCCGCCGACCGCCGTCCAGCTGCAGGAAAAGCAAATGGATTACTACCGAGGTGTACGAACAGGTGTGGTGTTGATTTGGATGATTACCAACTTTGCTTTGGCTGCGTTGGTTCTCAGCTCGGCTGGATTGGAGAGGATCACGCCTGGGGGTGGAGACCAACAGCAAGAAGCGACAAATCGATCCAATATTTACATGACGATTGTGTTGTGGAGCGTGGCGGTGCTCAGCGGATTCAAATTTCTGGGAGCCATGTGGTTCTTGGTTGTTCGAATGTTCCGAGGGGTTTAGAGTGCAGTAGGGCTGTGCGGTTTCAGGCAAAGCTGCACGCAATGTAATGGCAGCGGTGATGATTTCTTTAATTATGTAACTACACTTCAGTTCTGGATTATACCCACATTGGAATGAAGGCAGCGACCCCGGTGGACGGTGCTGAAATCATGTTCGAAATGCACCACGGATAAATGGGGATATTTGCATCCGAACATATTTTGATCTAAACATGAACACGGAGTTTGATTATCACTTTTGTATACAATGCGACCAAAGATACAAGTCAAAGTGCGCTGCAACATTACAGTAAGCAACCTTGGTCTGTGGGTTGCGTCCATTCTCTGGTGGCAATTTGTGCAGACCTTGTTGAATGAACATTTCTCTGTCGACCTGTTCAATCCATGACACGCGGCTTTTAATCGCCTGTAGTCATGTCTGTTCTGAATCAACCTACAAGCTCGGGCATATGGCATTGCACATTGTAATCTTGTTTCTAGGCTGCTCTTGATTGTTTAGCTCCGGGACACATCTACCCACCCACATTCATTCAGGTGGGCGGTTTCGTCATTTGAACAGCGCTGAACACTAGACTTGGTCTTGTCGTTGATATCCATCACATGCACGAGTAATCCTAGCAATCAACTTGTAGCCTTGATTGGGAGTGTTGCTGGGCATGTAAGACAGAAAAGAATCAGATTGCGCTTTCCGACGCTTGGACGGAGACCAGCGTGCTTTCAACTCCCTTTTCCAGGTCTAGTCTATTCATTTGGACAGCTTTTTAGTCACCCTCCGCGTTTTGCGGGTGTTTGCTCCAGCGCACTGCTTAGGTACTATCGGGACATGATGTGTAGGCTCAACATGAGTCTGTAAGCTGCAACCCACTGGAAAGATACAGGTACGTGGGACAAAGCGGTGCTGCTCGTGGCCATGGCCGTAGTTTCGTCGAGTACGTCCCGAATATATGCATCGTTTCGTATGATGTAGTCTGTACCCTGCCGCGGATCGGTCGCTAGTGCATGTACACTTTAGTGCTGAGCTGTCGGGAATTTCCTGCCGGTCTGACGACATGTCTGGTGTGGAGGGCACGACGCCCGATGCAAGGTCGGGCAAACGCACACAATCCTAGAGTGTCAAGTTCAAAGATACAATTTCCAGGATGCTGCAGGAGCATACTGATGATTTCCTACGAGGCAGGCCAGTCTCTCGGCCGCAGGGCGTACATTCGCACAGGGAGCAGTCTTTGGGGCGGACGCTCCGGCAGCCCTCTCTGAAGCTCGGTCCTGACAACCACCAGGCCCGCCTCCTCAAAGATTCTGCAAAAGCTGCTATCCAACCTGGCAGTGTGTTAGGGGCATTAAAAAGCGCCAGTTTATGTATGCCTTCCCGGGGCGCGACGTACCTCGTGACGCTGCTGTCGGTGCTGTCGAAAACGTCTGTCGCGCTCGTGCTCAGGTTCTCCTTGACGACAATCAGGCCGGTGGCGGGCGTCAAGACGGTCTTGCAGAGCGCGAGAAACCGCACCAGCTGCTCGTCTGTCAGGTGGCCCAGGCACCACTGCGCCCAGACGAGGTCGTACTCTTGGCCCGCGGCGGGCTGCCACTCCTCGAGGCCGACGTTGGAGATGGCGCGCACGCCGGGCTTGCCCTGAAGCGCGGCGGTGAACTTGGCAATGGGCTCGACGACGTCGACGTGCTCGGAGACGCGGAGGAGCAGGCCCTCTGTCACTCTGCCGATCCTGTTTGCAGTGTGAGTCCCGGGCGCGGGAGGGCGCGCGTGGCGGCCGGCGGGCTTTGGGTTCGACTCACCCTGCTCCGCCCTCGAGCGTGCTGGTGAGCGTGCGGCGGTCGTGCTTTGTGCCGATGCCGAATCTTGCTAGGAAGGTTCGTGATCCTTGGAGGTCGATGCGGCTGATGGAGGAGAAGCCGCCGTGCGCGGGGATGCCCCCGAGCATTCCGTTGACATTTACCTGCGCGCGTTGCCAGTATTCCCTTCCATTGGAGGTGTTGATGCGTCCGTCGGGAGCTGCAGGACCTTCTTTTGATTCGGACATTGAGGGCAGAGATTGGTCAAGACTTGGGATTGTTGGTGGTGCTGGGGAGAATTGTTTTACACATTTTGACTGGCGTGGGGTATTAGTCAGCAAATCGTGGAGGTTGAACTGGCAAGAGTGCTTGTTTTTTTAGTGCAGAAATTGCAGGTTTGTACTCCGTAATCCACGTGGCAAAGACTCGATGTATCTTTCTTTATTGCCTAGTATATCGCGTTACTATTACTTTTTTCATTTTTTCAAATTTTTCCTTTCAACAACTATGCTTGTTTTCTAGTAGATGTACAGTACGCAACGCACTGCAAGTCATGTTGTAAAATGTTGGGTGGCAAAAAATGTTTACCTTGAGCTATGGTAGGGAACTTTCTAAACTCACAATAACATGGATGTGAGTGGTACCAGACATGAAATATGCCATCGAACGCGAGCTGGGCCGACAAGTTTACAAAAGTGATTTGGTGGGTCGTTGACGGCAATTTCCCCGAGGGTGCCGTATTGTATTGTGATTATTTGTCGTCTGACGCACAAGTTTGTCGTCTATTGATGTCACTACTCAGGAGCAAAGACGTCAACTATTTGCAACGCGCCATGACGGCACTAGTTGCAGGAAAAGAAAAGTAAGGGGAACAGGTGGGAATGCATCCATGAGCGACAAATTATGTCTCAGGCAAGTCATCAGAAAACACGGACACGATTCCGCCGGCCAACGAAGGCATGCTCCTAATTTTAGAGGCCTTGACCAACCGTCAACGCCATCCCGCGGGGGATGACTGGACCAGCATCAACATTGAATTGATGGCAGTTGCGCAGTTGCCACCGCCAACATTGAAATGACGTCGAGGCTTCGGCTGCCCGTGGCCGCCCGCAATCCATCAATGCAATAGTCTGGTACGAAACAGGCTGGCCTATATAAGGACATGGTCATTCCATGTGGCCGGCCCAGACTCTCCATGCTGCCATCGTCATCCATGCACAACACACATTCTACATGATCCGATATCATGAACACATCAAAAGACATGTACTATTTCATTCCTGGCCTCTGCGCCCTCGACCCTTGGGCACCCGAAGTCGACCCTGACACGCATATGTGGGTGCGCGCCATCCAAATTGACGACACGGACTTGATGTTTGAGGGTAAGTCGCTAAGCTCGTGGTTCGAAGACGACCGCAGCCTTGATCGCAGTAATCGCAGCAGACGCCACAGTAGCAGCAGCAGCAGTAGCAGCAGTAGCACCAGCACCAGCACCAGCCACAGCAGCGACAACGACAACCAACAAGGATAGGCGGAGGTCGCGGGTACATGACAATGGTCTTTACATATAATGTTGGAGCTTTATAGTTGGGTAGTAGTACAAATTAAGTACTGAATAGAGCTTGCGCCTTTTGTCTGCTACTCATCTCTGAGTAGCACACCGGGACAGACACTGCCTCTGTCAGACAAGTTAGGATTGTAGTCTGTAGACATGCTGCTAAAAATCGTCTGATTGTCCGGCTATTTCCGTCTCCTGAGATTGCTCGGCTAGAGCGCCCGTAGGAACCCGCGAGGATTGCCAGCAAGCGGACATGTTCACGGACCTGTTTCCCCGGCCTTGATGAATATTCGGTTTGATGCACCACGTCTTCCGCCCCAGGAGCAAGGCGACGATTGAATTATGCCATGCATGACATCATCAGAACAAGCGCCCGGTACTGCATGTCCCCAAGGCGGGCGTGCCAGCGGAGGCAAACTTGCTTTTCGGCCTTGACTCCGGATCTACCCACCAATAGGATGAGCGTACTGCAGAGCTGTCTGGCTCCCTGTGCGGTACATTGATCAACGGTCGGGAGAGCGTCATACCCCTCGGACTATAGTGTCTGGTCCGACCAGTTGACCCCATGTGGATGGAATCAGACGTCAACGGCTCTCCTAAGGGACCTACTATCCGCTCAACCTATTCATAATGCAAACCCCCCTAATGTTGTAACTATGGTGGCTGACAGAAAGACACTCCCCTCACCTGTCAACATCGCCGGCCCGGCATCTTTCTTGCCCTGCAATAGTCCATTGACCCTTGATTATGTATGACATGTTAATCACGGGGGTTTTAGAAGGCGGCTCTGCTGGAGGGAGCAAAATGACACTGGACCCTAGCCTGTTGAATCCCAAAGATATTGCGCTCTTTCAGCTCGCTCCGGCGTGGTCGTTTGATGAGGCTGGACCAGACTGGGCACCGTTTGATACTTCACCGCCGATGCCAGTCAAGGACACGCCGCAAGTGGCACCTCTTTTAGACCAGTCGAGCAAATCAGGCACGGGTCCCTGTGCTGGCACTTTGCCAGGCGACGGGAGCGGAACCAAGTCATCAAGTCCACACGGCCAGGATCAACTACAAAAGCGAAACGATACATTATCAAACCCTACAAGGTCAAGGCAGACCAGGCCCCGGAAGGCAACCGCCAGCTTGCCCAAGAGACAAAGAAGAGAACAGCGAACGGAAACAAAGAGCGGTAATGTGAACCGGGATCATGAGGCAACTACTCACCGCGAAGGTTCGCTGGAGCGCAACCGCATCGCCGCTTGTAAGTGTCGAAAGCGCAAGAAGAGGTGGGTGAATGATTTAGAAAAGAGAAACTCTTGGCTTGAGAAGCGCCATAAAGATCTGGGAATAGAGTATTTCCACCTCCTACAGGAAATATCTGAACTAAAGACCCTTATTATAAGCCATGCTAGTTGCCATGATGCCAATATCGACACTTGGCTGAACAATGAGGCTTCAAAGTATGTGTGTAAACTGGCGAGGGACGACACCAAGCGAGTATGTGGTCTGAAGCCTGCGCCGAGTCGAGATGGTAAGTAGTCCAAAGTCAAGCGGAGGAGTTATTGAGTATCTGATGGCTATGCATTTTACTAAAAAAGCTTCGCACTAGCGACGTCTATGTTAAAGGTGTCGTGGGAGAGTAGTTGATACACGGAGCCGTCAAACAGCTCTCTCCAAGTGGATAGTGAAGATTCAAATACTACTTTGGACTCGGATACTCCGCCAGAAGGCGATTTCGACGACCATGTAGCCCCATCTTGGATGTTCTAGGCACAGCACACCTATAGGCTTACAAGGGAAACTCTGAAAAAAGACAAGAAGAAAAATATGGGTAAGTGTTTGCATTTCCTCGTCACGGTGAAGGTATTTCCCCCGATTTTATGCGGGCCACTTGCTGACATTGTGTGGTTCAGATGCTATTAGCCTGCAATATTTTCGGGTGCCTGCGGAGGAAGGTTGCTTCAATCAATACAGGTATACGTATTGGTATGAACATGTGCAAGCTTTTGAATGATGACTCGAACGAGGTGATGTATTAGTGACCTTTGTGAGGAGATGGCCCCATTTGAGGACCTAGATAGCATGAGCTGGAGGTTAGGGCCTCCCCTTAGAATCTCTAACTCTCCTTTTTAATAATCTTGATCAGATTATATGTAATATTACTCGTGTACTCTCTGTAGAGTCTAGGCTAAATAGTAGGCTTGGTGTGGAATATCTAGGTATGTTAATAGATACAGCCAGTATCTAGAGGTTTGCTTCAGCTGGCCCGACTTATGTCTCTAGGTGTCTGCCTTTACATCTTGCCTGGGATAGTAAAACGATAAGCCTGTCATGAGTCTTAAATATCCACAACCATTGGACTCCGATGCTCATGATAGCTAGGTAAGAGCCTGAAGACCTAGTTGAAGCCCTAGGCTGCAATCCTCACAGCTGCTTTGTATAAATAAAACTTTTCTGTCCCCAAGGGCTCCAAGGACCTTTGATCAAGGACCTTTGATATCAAAGAGGACTATTACAGTTAAGTTGAGCCACTACTATTAGCCCTTATATTGAAGTCTTAAAAGATCTTGTCACACTCTGCAAAGTTGTTCTCAACGTGAGCACTTTATGAATGTACTACTCGGGCCGTCCTGAACGTGGGTTGAGAGCGACTTGTGAATACGGTAGATAATCTTATCCGCCTCGGAAATGCTGTGCCCGTGATTCTGTGAGCTCAAAAGGTCCGCGGTTTACCACACCTTGGGAACGCCCGTCGACAGTATCACGATGGACAGCTACGGATTGCATTGGATGTGGGATTGGTCATTGATTGAACCTATCTAGCTCAGAAATTGAGTCTCCTTTGTAGCGGAACATTGTAGATGACCCTCTCAATTGATCAAAGAAGACAGATGTGTTGTTGGATAGGGTTTATTAGCTAGCCTCTACATTGAAAGTCACCAGCTAGATTGAGCCTACTATACAAAAGGCCCGGCTCGTTTCCCCAATAGTCTAGACGATCCGATTCATGACTCACTCTTTGAAAATGCACAACTGCGAGTGCCTCCATAAAGATAAAATGCCAGACTGTCAGGTGCGTTCGTTCTAAGGGCCCGGAGTCTCTGAGCCTTCCTCTACATCTCGTAGTGAGTTGCCAACGGGGTTACCATCCTGCTCCTCCGGATCTAGCTTGACGGCGGCGTCGAGAGGAGAATACTTGCTCCTGCCCCTGATGGCCTTGCCGTACCTATGAAAAACAAACGGGACCACAGCCAGGACGCTCGCAGCACCTCCTATCAGTGACCCGCCACCGCCAACACCTAGGGTTTGAAACATCTTGGGCGTAAAAAGGGGAGCAAAAGCACTGCTAAGGGATCTCGCAAACGTATTCACAGCTATCGCTGAGGCGGCGCAGTCGACATATGAGTCGACGAGGTAGTTCATATAGGAGGTGAATGTAAGGATGAGAGCTGTAGAAAGAAACCCTCCAGCAATTGTAGGGACAGACCAGTGTATCGAGCTAGAAACGTCACATTAGCCATTTACTAGGCGAAGATATCACGAGGCCAACATACTTGTACTGTGCCGTCCATGAGAACCAAAACATGGTAATAGCAAAGCCAATCCCTCCGACCATTCCCATAATCAGACGGTCCTCCGGCTCGAGGGTATACCCAGCCTCAAGTTTGTTTTTCCGCCTTTTGGTGTCTAAAAAAATGATGACAGCCCCGACGACCGACCCTACAACTGTACCAAGCAGGGGAAGCTGCCCAACTCCCTCGTTCCAGCCACGCATCTGCTGAAAGACGATGGGATAAATGGTAAAGAGCATGAACTGAAGCGCAAATACAAGTGCCATGTATACAGCGCACAAGAACGAAATGGGATCGAGTAGAAGCGCCCACGGTCGTGTCAGTGCCGTCTTATAAATAGTGAATAGTGACATATTAGCCGCCTCGTATTCCGTCTGGACGTGTTCATATCCCCGAATCCCCGCCTTTCTGATCCTCCTTGCCCGCTCCAGAAGAATGATCGCCCCATTGGTCTCCGGGATAGTGAGCATGAACAGCATCGACACGCCAGCAAGACACAAGACGACATAGAAGCCCCAGCGCCAGTTCTTGTGGAGCACCAGGAAGCCAGAAATAATCGGCCCCAGCGACGGTCCGATCCAGACAGACGTCGAGAATATAGCCATGGCATTACCCCTTGCCAAGTTGTCCCATAGGTCGGCAAGAACGCCAGGTGCGTTGCTGAGAACCGCAGACACGCAGGCCCCTGCCAAAAACCTTGCCGTCAAAAGCGTCCCAAAGTTGGTCGCAAAGGCACAAAGAATGCTAAAAAGGACAAAGAAGGAAAAGGAGATGCGGAAGATGGGCCTGCGACCGTAAAACTCTGAGAGTGGTGCAAATATGAATGGACCTAGGCAGTAGCCGAGCAGAAAGAGAGTTACGGTGAGAGCTGCTACCCCCTCAGAGATGTGGAAGTCTCGAGAGATATGTTTGAGAGACCCGGACGGTATGGAGGAGGCCAGATTCCCGACCATGGCGAGGAGCGAGGTGCAGAGGGTGATGTACCATTTCCGGCTCTTTGACCAGTTTCGTGGATCGCCGGGATCGCCGGGGCCAAAGTCGACAAAGCCATGGCTGTTGGTATGCGGTACCGGTAAAGTGTTATGAGAGTCTGTAGATTGCACGGATTGACGAACGGCCTCCATGGTGAGCAGCTATTATCAGAATCTGTGCCTGGATGGTCGTCTTTGGCGCCGCATCACAAGACGGGGGCTTGTAAGAGCAAAGAAGCTGGGCTCATATACCCAAACACCGCTATTGCCCTATTGTCCACGCGTCCAGGGGTAGGAGTCTCATAACTTGCAAGATTCGTGCTCTCAGTATCAGAAAATATTCTTTCCAACGCCGTCAGTTATTTTGCGGAAAGGTTGAGGTAGGCGCAGTGCACAGTTGCTCGAGATGTGGCCGGAGAGTGTCTTTGGCCTCAAAGGCATAAATAACATATGGAAGCGAGGACTAGTTGATGTGGAGAGAATGGAGTCCTCAAATTAGAGTTTAAAAGCTCTTTTGCTAGTCTTAACATGCTGAACGGCCTCATGCTGGTTTCGGTACTGCTGCACTGCAGGGTATTGCTGCTGCCTGAGGTCGTGAGTTGCGTGGCGCGATTAGAGTTGGGATCCCGCTTATGGGCGGTATTGGAACGCTTTTTCTGTATCGTACGTGCTAGTAACTTGTGAGTAGCCAAAGAAACCTAAAGTTCTATGGCAGCGGGACCCTTTCAAGATCTAGTCGCTCACACAAGGCCTGGCTAGGATTGCACCAAGACCTGGTGAGTAGCAGTGTTATAATACATGTAGTTTTGTATAGTTCTATTCCTTTCTAATTTATAAAGAAACTGAATGCCGCTTTATCCAAGACATCCTAGGAAATTCGCCAATGTGAAAAGCAATATCTTTACTAACTATTAGACAGAACGACTCGAATCATAGTATCTCACATAACTACATCCTCTTGTTTTGGTAAATAGAGTTTCCTTACCTGAATTCTTTGACTAAACTCTAATTGACATCTGCTCAAAGCTCAGAATTGGTTCTCCGCACCTGAAAGCTAGGTCTTGAATCTCGGTACGTACTGCCGAGACATGGTGGTGAGGGCCGTTCTGTCACCTTTTCTGATGTGCTACATCTAACGGCAGACTTGTGGGAGTTGCCGGCGCCACCGGAGTGTATCTTGATTGACGTAATAATGGTAAGCTAACGCCCCTCGCTCCCGAGTCAAAAAAAAAAAAAAAAAAAGGGAAAAAAAAAGCTCTGAGTTCAAGCCATGCAACCCTAATGGGCATGCCATTCCCCAAGTACCAACGATGCCGATGCTGCTCCCTCCTCGCATCTATTCACAGCGCGCGAGCTGCAACATGTCAACGCGATGAGGGTATTGGACGAAATTGTTCTTCGCCTATCACAGTCATGACTGGAGCACTATCGGCGCGCATATAGCTTGACCCCCTCCATCTTCCACCAGAAAGAGTAGCATGCGTAATGACAGCGTCATGAGACTAAACTGTACAAGAGTAATACCACCGGCCCTTGACAAGTACGTCAAAGGCTGCGTAGGTATCAATTGATATCAGGGGGGTAGTGGCCTTTGTATCCTGTAGTGGCCATCTCCCCTGTTCCCGTACCGAATGCCTCCTGGTGTACACTTGTCATGCCTTTGCCCCCGACCAAAGCCAGCATAGTATAAAGTACCGAATTATTTTTCGATTTCCTGCCGTTAATCGTCAACTTTCCCGATTATGGTCTCAAATCGGCTTACGGAACTGGGCAACCAAGGCTGTGTGTCGGTTTGTTATTGGATAGGAAGGCTCGGAGAGACCGGAGGAGGAGCGCCTACCAGACCGCAGTCCGACTGGTTCCGCAGGATGCGGCGTAAGACACTTCCACCGCCTTGGCTCTCCAATAGACGTCCCTGAAGGACGGGCACAGGACGACTCATATGTGACTGGCTCAAACAGTTCCCAACCAATTCCGGTCCAGAGCGACAACACTAGGGTGGAGGATCCCGGTGATGTTAAAACGGCAGACTCTGCTGTGCAGCTAGATAAGGAGATGGCGGAACTGCCTTTCGCGTGTCCTCATGAAGTTTCTACCTAAAATTCCCTAGAGAAGGACGATAAGAAGCCATTAACAAGTCGAACAAGGTGAAGAGAAGAACTAGAGGGGGCAAAGCCTAGAGACATATATAAGGAACCAAGTGATGATCAATCCTTGGGTAAATAGGACGGAAGACGCTATTAGGCAAGAATGAGTTGTAGCCCATGTCTTCCCGTGGTGGACTGGTCTACATATATTAAGAGTGCAGTGAACGGGCCCCAAACACGGAGTTGATCAATGAAATTAAGACTCGATACAAGAATCCAAGTCTACCTTCTTCACAAAACGAAGGTTTGAACTGTCAACCGGCCGAGCTTAAACTCCAGCGGAGAACTCCATACAACGGCTAAACAGTATAACCATTAATATCCATCACATGCAGCGTGCTAATTTCGTGGCGGGCCATGCCAACAGCATCCTACACCAACCCATTTCTTTGGGCCACAGGGCAAATCAACCGTCGCGTCAAACTCGCCATCACAGAAATCAGGCACGATTGGGTCGCAGCTCAACCCTAGCTTTTCGCAAGGATTTCCTGGATAAGCGCCTAGCGCCCCTAGTTGCCTGGTTAGCTTACGGATATACAGGATCTTGAAATACAAACCAGAGATCGAAAGACTGACAATGTTAGCATCAAGTCCATTACATGTGAAGACGATATATACGTACCCAAGAATCGTGAGTGCGATGGTGTGTTTCATTGCGGGCTATGTATTGATATTTATTCAACTTGTTTTAGAACCGAAGGGGAAATAAGTAATTAACAAGGAAAAACTGTTAATAGATATTTTAAGGACGGACCTGCAATATATAGTCGAACAACTTGCAAGACTTGATTCAATGCCACACTAAAATTACTAGACAAGATTTCCTGACGGTTCAACAGCAAGACTTTAGTTTTGGGGGCAAAAGTGGATGATTCTATAATTTTAAGTTAGTCCAAGCAAGGTTTGTGGGATACCCGCAAAAAAGGGTTCGATCAAGATGGAAAAGATTTAAGTTTTATGTTATTGCCACTGATAAATCTACTATAAATTATAATTTCTGTAAGATATGCTGGCAAAAGTTTCTATAGTAGCAGTCGAACCTCATTTATCTGGAATAGAAACATGTTGAAAGTATAGCAAGTTGCCATAGTTCTGTTTGTTCTTGCTAGCTCTTGGTCGCACTGTCCCCTTTGCCTTACGCTTGTGAGCAGACCTTGCATAATGCAACCAGATGCTAAAGTGATACAGGTGTGCCAGAGTGCTATCAATCGTGCCATTGGATGTGAATATCACTGCCGAGATACCGCAGTAGGGAGTTTACTTGACGATCTAGGCTCCGCCGTGTTACCAACTCTGTAAGATACCACTAAGCGCTCCTCTTCCACTAAGACAATAATTAAAATTCTCGAGAACTGGTTGGTGGGCTGGGTTCTAGACATGACGTGTGCTTATATCTAATTTGCCTCCACGTTCGCTCTTAGAGGGCGCTTGCCCTGTAATCCTGCATTCCCTCCAGCCCAGACATTCCTGCAACCAAGCCGCAAACCTTTTATAATTCTTCAAGGTGTAGACTAAAGATGGATAAATAAGAAATTGATGGCTGTAACAGTTCGGTAAGTTGGATTAACTGACCCACGATAAACAAGGGTTTTAGGCGGCTTGAAGGCGATACTGCGGTCATGCAGGTGCGTTCTGCGCCTAGCGGCATCTTCTACAAAGATAAGGCGGTTTACCCCAGAGCCAAGTTATTTTTCACGGGCTGCCATTACCAAATGCAAATCAGATGTCTAGCGGACGTCCTAAGAGAAATTGTGAGCCGGAATACACCACTCCCGGGAAAGCGTTTACGATAAATACTCAAGGTATATTTCTCAGATCCTGAGCCAAATGCTTATACGGCTTTTTAGAGCCGAAATTCAAGCTTCAAGCCAGTTGTCTCGCCGTCTCCCCCTCCCATGTTGGAAGACTTTATTCGCCAAATACCCAGCGTGGTATTTCGACTAAGCAGACTCTATTCATGACACCGAACGGTCCACAGATTTGACTGTTCCCCCAGTATTGGCTATGTTCTTTAGTAACCGACCTTTACGATTGTCGAAAAGGAGCGTCAACTATAAATGGATACTCTTTTCCGTTCGTTTGTTCATTCATTCGCTCCCTTTAACACGCTCGTGTGTGAGAAGCCAAGCCACTGTATGTCCAACATATGAATGCCGTGTAATTGTCTAACCAAAGCTAAGGGGTTCAGACCCACAGCATGGGCGAGTCGAGCCTTACGCTCGCGACTTGATATTCTCCTAGCATCTAAGGTGGAATGAGGGTATTTGAAGAGATTTTACGGTGGCGTACTGAATGAAGGGATTGGCCACTTGATTCAGTCAAGTTCAACTCTGGGCGAAGCATTTCCTCCGCATATATGGTAGTTTTTAGGGGGTGGCTTATATTACATTCTTTCTAGAGAACTGCTGAAGCATTTTGGCCCATAATCTGGTGATGAAGGAGGGCAATGAGCCGAGTTACCATCTGTTGAATGAATTCTCATCCCCTAGTCTCGCTTATCACATGTAATATAGGCCACTGACACCGCAGGAGTGATTATTCCCTCGTGTCTAAATCAGTACATTCTATGAAACTAGTTTCAATAACTTGACCCCCCCGTCCAGACATATCTGATAACTGGTTTCGCAGCCCGCCAAGCTCCGTTTCTAGCTCTTGGGCACTGACGGCCCGTGAAGCGTTGTCAAAATCAATGAGCGTCGCCTTCCCTTTGTGAATGAGAAAGTTATGCTTGTTGGTATCCCCATGTTTAATGCCCAACTGGTGAAGTTTTGACAAAGCCCGATAACACAGAGTGTAATCTTCCGGTGTGGCATGACGACAGTCATCAATGCGGGCCATGACAAACCCAATAACCCTGCCTTGCTCAGTCAGGTGTCCAAGGAAATCCGGGCCAATCTGGTAGCCCTCTATCCATTGATAAGCTGCGGTCTCGGCTTCCAGCAGAGGCACCTCCCATGGGAATCGGGCGAACTTGGTGACAACCGGTGACCTGAAGCGGGGAGACGTAGCCTCGTAGACGTTGGAGCGGAGTTTTTGTCCCATGTGAAACTCTAGGTGGTCGATTTGAGTGGGATGCCAGGTCTTGGTGATTCCGGGGAGGTTTTTGTTGGAGATGGCGGAAAAGTGAGGAGCCCCCGTCTCGGGATTGCGCGAGATTCGGCCCTGGTTCCAGTCCCCGGGTGGAAGAGGTGGAAGCAGGGAGACGAGAGAAGGCTCGAAGCACATGTCATCTTGGCTAAATATGCCGGCATCAATGGTGATGTATTTGACCAGACTGTTGTTGACGAGGAGACGGAATTCGCTTTCGTCATCGGGATCAACGCTTGCTTGAAGTAGTTGGAGATTGGGGGGCCTGCTAGCCATCGTTGGCAGTGTCTGGTGCTCTCTTGATGTGGTTGACAGTGGTCTGGTCTGGTCAGGAAGTGGTCAATCTGGGCAACTGATATCAGGCGGGTGGATTGATTGGTCAGTTGGAAGTGCATTGATCTCTTCTGGCACAGCGCATCTGCAGACTCGTCAATGTTGCCGCCTACAACCAAGTTGCCCCGCATTAGAGCTTGACAAGCATCAACTCGCTCAATGTTGGTTCAATCTATTCTTATGGCACGGGTGAAATGCAGCAGCGCTCAAGTCAGCCTGGCCGGGCCGTGTAAAGGGCAATCGTGTGGTTGTAAGAAGTATGAAGAATTTCGCTAGTGCTTCCCAGCATCACTCCACCTCGTTCCGTCCATGTGGGTTTCTTCTGCTTCCTTTTAGATTTAGGCTGCTTGATGATTTCCATCAATTATATCCCCACATTGTATTATGTGCTGATCAAAAGATTCTGGCGCGAATTGCCGCCTCCAATGAAGGGGAAAGTCCCTGGACCTCCCACAGCCAACACAATAAAAGCCCCATTCCACCCCATCCTGCGACGTTCTGTTCAGCCACGGCACGCGAACAATCGCCACGAATCGAAGTGGATTTGCCGATTGCATATCAAAGGGATCCGCCACCGGAGGCATCCGCGTGCGACGTGAAGATCCGGACTGTTGTCCTTGCATCACCCTCATTCTATGAGCTTGGAGTTTCTTTGCCGCGACACCTGCCACGAATTCATCCATGGCGCCCGACGACCCGTGCCGGGCGATGCCAGCATCAAAGGCGGACTCATAGTCAACCAAGGTAGTTGTAGTAGCCTTCTTTTCGGTTGGCGAGTATATGCCAGGTATGACTCTCATGCAAGGCAGTGTTTGAATGATGGCTCTCTCCAATCCAAACTTCCGGCACGCCTGGTTGGGCCGCAGTGGTAGGTATCTCTTGTCCTGTGTAAAACAGAGGAAGCAAACCCGTCTGCAAGTGAGAATATAGAGGTAACCGCCGAAATCGCCACATTGTTCGCAAGCTGATGTGCGTAACTTGTCGAAGAGACTTTTACAGGTAATCCACCTGCTCGTTCCAATTCTCAGGATACCACGTAGCGCATACCTTGCGTTGGTGGTAATGGCCTTGTATTGTGGAAGATGGTCGGCCAACTCCTTAGCTCGTCTATTGGTGCATCGGAACGCCATGAAAGTGCTCAAGTCAAGTTGGATGAGAATCTCCTGAAGTAATTCTATTGGGAGACGGTCAAGGGCACCGAGGCTTGCAGTAGGCGGTGGGTCGAGGGAGTCGTTTTGAGGTTGAGCTTGCAAGGGAGGCAGGTTATCATCTAGGGTATGGTCGTTGAGGTTTAGTTTTGGGTACGTGAGATGAGGGTGCTTGTCCATTTTCCTCGTCTTGCGCAATACATGGCGAGGTGAAGTTGCCGAACGAAACACGTGCAGCGTTCGCGTCTGGAGCCATTCGCGCAGCTCGCACGTGACTAGTCATCAGCTTGAATGACCTCACCCCGCGCCCTTGTAAGTGCGAAGAAGCAATTAAGTTAACTACGAAAAAGCTAAAATTTCTCCTCTTTATGCGATAATATGAGCTATTATCAAGTGAGGTATCAGAATATTCCCTCGGCTCTGTATGCATAGAAGCGGCCAGACATGGCAGCTACGTTACGCTGCTACGTTTTCATGCCAAGGAGAAAATGTTCAGAAGATCTGTAGCATTTATCTTCATGAATTCCCTCCAGTAGCAAGTCAAGTAGATTCTAGGCCCTTTTGTTTTTTGTCTTCTATGGTGGAGATCTGATTGTTTTTCATGCCTATCTCTAACATAACATCTGACAGATATATCGTATTAGCTCTGGTGACTTTGGCTATCAAGGTAATATTTAAAACCAATAGGATTCTAAACGCTTACACACGCATCGACCTACACATATGCCACACCATGAGTTTTCAGCTTAAAGAATCCCGAATACAACGTCTCGTAGCAGAGCAAGGGGTCTAAGTCGTCAAGTGCCGCAACTTGTTGTCAAGCTGCTGAATTCACGGGTTTATTGTGACAAGGGCTTGTGTTCAAGGGCTTGGAACATTAATCAATATTCAGCTAATACTTCGCTTAAATATGAAAGGTCCTTGGTTTTCTCAAGACGTCGAAGGGCGGATGACCCTTATTTATATCAAACAGCGGTGAGACTCGTGAGAGGGCCGGCCTAGGTGTCTGAGGCCTCGATGTCCACTAGGACTCGAGCCCTTGTGTATCTATCGTGATGTTCAAGGTATGGCCCGTGCCTTTATGGCAACGTGACATTCGTGTAACATTTATATAGCCTCGTGACTAACATAATAAACGCTAACCCGACAACTCTTCAAGCTGGCCACTTATAAGCCATGTCAGACGTGGCCATATTTACTACACTTGTGGCTTTGTAATAGCCCCATGTAGCCGCACACACTTATACCTTTACAAACCCTCGGCACGGCCTCCCATGCCAGACGTCATGTCGCAACCACAGAGCTCGGCTATGCGCATGAGGATCCGTATACATGTCGGCGCCACGGCCCTGGCGGCGCTGACAGGATCATACGGTCCTAAATGGCCATGCATCCCACGAGACCACTCATGGCAGAGCCGCAGGCGACGATTGATGTTTTCCTGCCATGCCTCGGCATCCAGCCCCTCCTGAACTATCGACGCGACCAGAAGCCGCACCGGATTTGTCGAAGCGCCACCCTCGTCAACGGGCAGGGGCCTGTCCAAGTCGCATGGCAACGCATCGGCGCCGCAAAAGGGGGCAGGGCAGCAGACCACCGACTGCGACGGACTCGGAGACACCAACCCCCGTATGTACTTGTTGTGCCGGGGGCTCGACAGCGCATACAGCAAGCCAAACACGATGCCCATCTCCCGCGGGCGTCCCGAACAGACAACGAGGTGCTTGATCTGTCGTATATACATGGCGGCGCGCCCGAGATGGACGATCGGGTGGCCGGACCATACGTCCCTTGTCTCGGAAGGGTCCAGCAGCGCCGGAAACTGCCCGGCGACTTGGATAAAGGCCGCTATGTCACGGTTGTCCCGCGACACGCAGTCCGCCACCAGCATCCCGCTCCGGAACGCCATGACGTCGCGGAAAGCAGCCACGTCCCAGGCGCCCTCGTGGCGGGCCCGGGGCACCATGCTCCGGAGCGCAAAGTTGACCACGCCGCGGCCGTTGTGCCTCGGCAGCTCGTCCCGCGCGTCGTGCGGCCCGGCGCCGACGTACATGTGCTTCTCGGGGTTCACGCCGGCTTCCTGGTCGTCCGACTGCCGCGACGGCAGCCACGCGCACCACACCTTGATCACCGGGGGGACGGAGGACGGGTCGTACTCGGAGAACCAGCAGCTTGCAAACAGGACCATGGCGAGCGTGACCTCGCCCGAGATCCGGAGGCTGGCGGCGCTGCGTAGGAGCGGTGTTTTCAGGCTCGCGTCATGGCTGCGGCTTTGGATGAGCGCGGTCAGCAACGAAGTATACATCTCCACGGCCGTTGGGTCCAACTGTTTCTGGCGGTCGGGCTCGTAGCCCATGTCGGCCATGGCTCCGTGGAGAAGAAGCTGCACCGTGTTGCTCCCGTCTAGCCTGAGAAAGGATTGCAGCTGCCTCTGCAGGTCACCAAAACAGCGGTCCGTGGGCATCGTCAGACGATCAACGGCGGCATAAGCGTCTCCTGGGCGGCTGTAGAGGTGTATGAGAAGGTCCAGCATGGTGGCAAAGCTCAAGACTGTCTCGGGCATGCTGTGCCTTTTTCCGGAAAGTCGAATTGCAGTTGTAATGCGCTCCCATGTCTCTCCGCACGACGTATTCATGGTCCGGCACTGAGGGCATCTCTGCGTGCGTGTGCGTCGAGCGGCTTCAATGCACTGGCTGCGCGTCATGTAGAATGTACTCAATAGATTGCCGCAGGTGCTGCTCTTCATCTTGGGCTGCATCTTGATGGCATCGGCAGAGCCCCTCGGTTGGCTATTTGGATGGAATTCTGTGTGCTCATCTTTCGCAACATACCCGACAAGGTGTATTATATAGTGAGCACTACAGAGATTCGCACGCAACGCCAACTATTCGTACGTGTCTCTTCGGTCCCAATTCGTCTTGGTCGAGCTGCCGACGGGGCCGACTCTGAAAAGCTATTCCAATATATGCTACCTTGCGTCTTATTACGTTGGGGATTGGCTCAATCATGTCACAGGTCTGCCGCGTCGGCCCATAATCCTCGTCCCAGTGCCCACTTGCCGCAAAACCCACGAGATTAGCGAGAAGTATTGCGTCTCGAGAGTCGAGACTGACGCTCCCGCGTCAATAGTTCCTCGTTCGGCCCTCATCGCCAACAAAGACCGAGGAGGACGCGGCCCTTTGGGGGCTGCAACATTCGATCTGCAGCTTCTCTTCAGATCATCAAAAGCCCTTGGCTTCTCAAAGATCTCTGGTTCTTGAGGCTCTCCATGCGGGAGACAATGTAATCCGACCTCGGCCCTGTTTACAGAGAGTCGGTAACGTCTGGTGAGGGGTAGTGCCGTAAACGGGCCGTGTGATCAATCCCTTTATTAAGCAAAGCGAAAAGGGGAAACAATGTGCCTTTTAACTTTGCTTCTTTCATGAGTCTGGTGTCCCTGAGTGCTGCCATACCGCAATTACAAGCCTCAAATCAACTTATAATTGGTTTAAAGGACCTTGAGTTACTACTTTTAGCTTGAATTTTCAAATTGGGCCTTTTCATACCCTGCTGGAGCACCCAAAGACGCGTGTGATGGCCCTCATCCTAGCCCCAATCTTCAGGCCCAGAAAAAGCAAATATCATGACCATCGGACCTCCAATTATCGCCTGTTGGGCTCAACAGGAATATCTACAGGATGAGTACGCAAAGAGCCCCTCCGTTTCAGGGTCGTTGGCTATTTGGATTGAATTTTATGTGCTCATCACCACATAGTACCTGACTCATGGAGCAACAGTCTTGGAAGACGTCGTAGAGTAATGGACATGTAGCTACCTGTAGAAACATGCAGCCAGTCGCGTTCTTAAACCATCTCTTGCCAAGAGAAAAGTATAGTTGGCGATGCTCCATCCCGATCGTACCAAGGGCTGGGTGGCTGGATAATAGGGGACTGCGACGTTCGATCTACCGCTTCTCTTCGGATCGTCGAAGGCCCTGTTTATACAGAGAGTCGGCAAAGTGAGGGGTTGTCACACGGTCAGGGCCTGGCCAAAGGCATTGGACGTTCAAGGTTACACAACAGCAAAAGATATCACGGGAACCAGAGTCGCACCTTGAGCGAGGGCTGCCTCGGGCGCTAGTCCCCACCGATTTCTTGTATTTATAGAGACCTCTGGCCCCTCTCTTTGTGTATGTAACCCGTATGAATGCCTTTGTTGTGACGGGGCTTCGTTGGGCAGCGAAATGCTGCAACATGACGTCGACGCGCTTGAACGGGTGGCCAAGGATATAAATTCGTTCCTAGAATAAGTATAAATCAATTGCCCACAACCCCTCCGCTGCTATTTTCGCAACATGTTTCCCCAAACTTTCATGCTCGTTGTTACTGTGACAAGGGCTTCGGCTTGCAGCAATAAATCAATTCATCTACTAACAGTCTTTGGTATCAAAGGTCCTTGGTTTTCCTCAAGGCCTCATTGACTAAAGGGGTCTTTAACTACAAGAAGCCGGTGAGGGGCTTTTTCCTAGGTCTCATGACCGTAGTCCTTGTGTAACCGTGTGACAGTTACACGGATGCCACGTCGCCATAAAGGCGCGGGCCGTACGGAGTGCCTTGAATTGACCGCACATGACGGCAGTTACACAAGGTCTCGAGACCTAGTAGAGGCCTTAGGCACCTATGCCGGCCCATTCACCGGGGTTCGATATATGAGGGTCATCTGCCCCTCGAGGCCTTTAGGAAAACCGAGGACCCTCGATATCAAAGCGCGGTATTAGCTGAATATCGAATACTGTTCCAAGCCCCTAAACATTAGCCCTTGTCACACTCATGGTCTAAACACTCACGTCTCAAATGATGGATTTCTTCGTCCCCAGATTCTCAGCTATAGCCTTGCTACCTGCCCTGGTCCTCGTCTACTGGATCCCTCTCACGATATACAGGATATGCTTCCACCCTCTTTCACGATTCCCCGGCCCAAAACTAGCTGCATCCACCTCGTTGTATTCACATTATTTTAATTTCGTTCGAGGCGGCAATTTTATAAGGCATCTGGAATATCTACACGACGAGTATGGTAAGTACTAAGGGCATTTAAAGCCCAAGCATCTGTTGTGATTATGCCAATCAAAAGTCCACACAGGACCGATAGTAAGGACAGAGCCCAACGAGCTTCACATCCGAGATATAAAGGCCTATAGCACCGTCTTCAAAGTCGGAAGTCGCTTTGAAAAAGACCCCAGATTTTACGGTTTCCCCTTTGACGGTTCCCACTTCACCATGGCCACGTTGAAGCAGGCAAGACCTCGTCGAGACCTGCTCCAACCCCGACTATCCAAGGGCGCCATTGACAATGCTCAGCACGTCATGGAAAAGTCGGTGTGGAGGTTCATTGACCTCCTCGACCGGCACAGAAGTCACAGCGAGATTATAGACTTGTCTCTGGCCTATCGCTGCGTCACGTCCGACGTGTTGCTTGGATACGCATTCCACAGCCCCTTGGAGGCTCTCGACTATCCACGTTTCAACTATCCTCCAGCCGTGCACATGGATGCAGCAATCATGACATCGTTCCTCGCCAAAAACTTTCATCTCCTCTTCACACTCGTATGGAACCTCGCCTCTTGCCTGCCGCGCCCCTGGTTGAAGTATTTAGGAATCAGCTTTATTTTTGATATTCAAGACGTGAGACATTTTTGCTTTGCCTTTGCGCTTGTACGACTTGTGCTCATGTTTCCGTGTGCTTAGCATTGCGAAAAACTGATCCTAGACCTCAAACAGAGGAAGCAAGACGACCAACTGCTCTATCCAACAATGCTCGACATGTTGATGGATCCCGACCAAGAGAAATTCGGACCTCCCCTTCCGATGCGCGATCTAGTATCGGAAGCCACTGTGCTGTTGTCCGCCGGGAATACAGCCCCTTCGCTGACCCTGACACTCGGAACATTTTATGCTTTGAATAACCGCCACGTACTGGAGACGCTGCAGGACGAACTTTCCCATGCCATTCCTGACAAGCGCAAACTTCCTCCCCTGGATACGCTGCGACAATTGCCATACCTTGTACGTGTATACCTTCCGGCTCGTTGTATTCCATAGTACTTAGATTATAATTCCAGACCGGCATCATCAAAGAATCCTTGCGGTTTTCTCTCGGTGCACCAGGCAAATTACCGCGCATCACACCCGACGAAGGGGCGTTTCTCTGCGGACGCCGGATCCCACCAAAGGTCAGACTCGGGCGAGTTCTTCTTCCACGTTAGCTTACGAAACTAATTCTTTTTATTTTCTTCTTCTTCTACTAGACGTCTATATCTCTTAGCCATTGGGTGTACCACTTTGACCCGACAATCTTTCCGGACCCCAAAACCTTTAGACCAGAGCGATGGGTGAATGACCAGAAGGGGGAATTGGACCGATACATGTTGTCCTTCTCCAGAGGGTCTCGCTCTTGCATTGGCATCAAGTATGGCGTATACAGCTTTCCTTGTAAAGAAACACCTTGCTAACTAGTAGGGAGTCTTGCGTATGCCGAACTTTACCTGCTGTTTGCTGCCTTTTTCACCAACTTTCGGCCCGTCCTGCGTGGAACCAGAGAGGAGGACATGGAGATTCGCGACTACTTCGCGCCCGTGTGCAAAGGCCGTCTCAAAGTATCGTTGGGTGTGTAGTTGTTGCGAGATGAACAGTCGCGCAACACCGCGTTGGCCGTCACGACTCACTAGTCTCTGGTCGATGAGAGAGCAAGACATGGCGCCAGATGTCAGCGGGCAGCCCTGTCTTGCGTGCCGAGTCTCCGAAAACGCTAACGCCGCGAGATTTGGAAAACTTGCAGCCCTCCTACATGAGATGATCTGTCGTGGAGAGGTGATGGAGACTTGTCCAGGTATCCCTCGTGCCTGATATGCCTAAGCTGCGGGACATTGTTCACCAACGGTAGAGCACTGCTAGCCGGAGATGGGGAGGACATCGTGTCGCTTGCGTGTTATGACAAGGGCTAAAGGCTTGGAGCAACATGACTCAATTCATCAAATAACAGTCTTTGGTATCAAAGGTCCTTGGTTTTCCTCGAAGCCTTGAGGAACCAAAGAGGTCTATTTATATAAGAAGTCGGTGAGGGTCTTCTTCCCTCATCCTGTGACTGTAGCCTTTGTGTAACCATATGACGCCTGTTCCTTTGTCCATATTAGCGGGCGTTTAGGTGGCATTGCAAATGGCTGTCTGGTGTTGTGGTTGAGGTAGGCAAAGACTGCCCTAGAGTACCAGTAGGAAAACGCAAGACAAGTATAAATTTCACGCCCACCGCACAGAATTAGAAATATCTCTTCCATATTAGTAATGTGTGCAGAAACTAGGCGAGTCTTTTCGGGCGCAGGGCCCAAGTTTCGCGCAGCAAACCAAGCTCGGAATCAAAGATCCACCAGGAACTGCCACCAGATGAAGGCGAGGGCGAGGTAGAAAATGTATCAGAGGCTTTTTGCAGCAGCAAGGCAAGCTACGCATCTCGGAGCTTTGGATTCAACATTTGATCCATCAACCCGTTAGACAAAGGCAGAAAAGCGGGAGACGTTTGTATTCTGATTCCTCTATATACTCAGCCGGCTTGCTTTATATTGAGCTTCTCTGATACATATTCCCATTGAGTGTTCAAATGTCGAAAATATCGCCAGAGCTGAGCTTTGCCCCCGGGCACGAATCACATAAACACCAGCGGTACCACAGATTCCGAACCTTTACAGATCCCCTCTCGTCTGGTGGCCAGCATTCTCAGCAATCAACCGAGCTATATCCTGCCAAAACGAACAGATTGACCTCGTATTATGCTCATTAACAACATGATGAAATTCTTCTTCTGGCGAGCCTCCTACCTGCACCCTCACAACGCCCGAGTGTACATCACCGCCGCCATCCACGGGCGACCGCGCCGTTTCATCGGGGGTTCCCAGCGGGTTTCTGCCCCCAGGGGGTCTTTTAATTTCTTAGTTTTCATCTGATGGCAAGTGACGCTCCGGTTTTCTCTCTGCAAGGCATCATCCTTCCAGTTCGGGGGTGACGGGGCGGAAAACCGAGGAGGTTCGGCACCGAATCGCACGTTTTTAAAGAGGTAAATCTTTGATGGGTCAGAAAACCGCGCTGAGACTCTTGTTCTGTTTCATTAGCAGCATTTCCTCACCCACATTTGGATCTGGTTCGTACTTCTGGGCTTCCATTATACCCTATGGTAGCCTTAACTTTGGGAGGTCATGGGCCCTTGCTGCTTTGGTAAGTGCCAGAGCACCATATAGCAATACTGTTAGCAACATTAGGATAAGGTGGGTTCAACAAAAGTCTGGTTGAATGATGTTTTGCAATACAAGTAAATAAGGCCATGGTCCTCGATCATGGCTTTATACTGACGCTGTAGGCCCCCAGTAAGCGCTTTAACAAACACATTTTACGTGACTTGCGAATAAGTTTGCTTTTTGGAAATTGCTTCTGACTAATACATAGCTCCTAAGGTCTTGATTCGAATCACACCCATGACGACGGCGATAGCATTGTGAGACAGCATCTACTGTCATCATGGTGTCTCGCCATCTGTGATACGGGGACAAACATCGATGCCTTTTGGCACAAAAAAATGACATGTCAAGCCGCCATTGCTTTGCATACATCAGCGGGATTTCTTTCATTTCCTCGTCGTCTTTTTCGATGTATCGTATTCAGGCCCCGCGTACTCCGTATCTACCTGGTCAATGACAGCCACACCTTTGACAGTTTGTTATAGTGTGATCGATCTCTAGCAGCCAGTTAGAACAAGACATTGCCAAGAATACTGCCAGACACATTTGTCACGTACAGATAAACCAGATATGGCTGATCTCTTTATATACTTGGATAGAGCTTTCTGACAGACAACGACATATCCGCAATTATGGTGGTATAAGAGTGCCTTCCGTAGGTCTTCCCGGTTCAGGATTATGCTGGGTTGCATACCAAGTAATCCCTACTGGCAAGACATATTCAGCCCTCGCATCCTAGTCATCACATCGTGTTACATAGCTGTTCGAGCCACCTGGCCCGAGGCAAGACACGTCAACTAAAACCTTGCGAATCAAAGCAAAAGTAACGACACCACAACGGATGACTCGACAATGTGGGACCGCACAGAACAATACGAGACAGTCCCCTACTCGGCACAGCATACCGCCAATCAAGAAACAGTAGATACTCCAAAGACAGGTGCCCGTATGTGATGGCGACCCTGAGAGAGCTGAGCCGTCGACAACATGATTGGGTTAGACCGTCAGAATGCCTCGGTTGAACTCTCCTCATCAACGCCAACAACCATTTTCCTTCCTCCTTTTTGATGCCAGTTCAAGTTGGACTCAGAGTGTCTTGTAAGCAGTCTAGCTATTTACATGAACACACAAAGTCGTAGTGTGGCACGACTTGGGGACAATCCACACGTCGCCGTCTACCCCCAAAGCATCATGGGCACAATGATGTCGTCGTACTGCCACAGCGCCGACTGGAAATTGACCGACCACGCGCCGCCAGTCCACCAAGTCGACCGTCTCCCCTGCAACGCGTACAGTTTCTGGAAGAAGCCTCGCTGGACATCCCCGACTGACACTCTTGCATGCATCGGTCCGTGAGTAGAAAAGGCCACCCAGTGGACTTTTTCGGCAGCAGAACCCCGTAGCACATGAGCATCGACAAGAGTCGCAAAGTCCTTGTCCACCAACGCCTTTGCACCTTTGTCGTCAAGCTTGTCGTCGCCAATGACAGTCACCCGGAAGTAGTGCCCCGAACCCATGTAGTCGATGCGGGCAGTGAACGGCGGCTCAGGGTACGACAGGTAGTTGTTTGGCGCTGCGTCGGAGGGAAGGTTGAAGTAGCTTGCGTGTGCAGCGAGGGCGGCATTGTCAATGATGCCCGTGTACTCGCGCGTGTAAGTGAACTTGGAGAAAATATGCTTCTCATCGGGGTCCAGACTAAACGGCCCCGTGTTATCCCCTGTCGGTTCAATAGCAATCAAGAGAGCCTTGGCAGCAATGTAAGTGAGCCTCCGGGACTTCAGGTGCCTGACTGTGACAATGACGCCGAGGTTGGTGCGAAGAGTGTTGACGACTTTGCTGGCGTACAAGACATCGCTGCCGAGGACGGCGGCCACGGCGTCGTATAGATCCTGATTCCGCCCTGAAGCTGGTACAAATGAATCTTACAGCCCAAGAGCCGACCGGGCCATGGACGCACCGAATGCCTGCAGCGCGAACAGTGTAATTGCCCTGGTCATGTTGCCGACCCCAAGACCCGTGGTCTGGTAGATGAATGGCATGGCACGCTCAAGCCCATGCTTGGACACAAAGTCGCCAAAGGGAACGAGAAGCTCTCCGGGGATATGGCTTGGCTCCGGAAAGTCGAAATAACCCGGCTGCAAGAAATGCTCCCACGGCTCGACGACGCGCAGAAAGTCGGCCAAGGCGTCGAGCTGGGCGGCGGACGGGGGCGGCGCAAAGTCCAGCACCTTGCCGCTCTTGAAATCAATGTACGTCGTGTTGAGGGGGGTCTTGGTGCTGCGGCCGCGTTGGACGCCCAGCCGATCAAAGAAACCCGTCGCGTTGCCCGCCTGGATAAATTCCTTGACGCCAAAGTCGTACGGCGTGCCCGTCTTGGTGTCGACGTACGAGTCGACGTGACCGCCCTGCTGGAAATGAGCCTCCAACACCCCCACTTACATGGTACCAGTGAGGACGTACGAGGATTTCGTCCTTCTCAACCAGAGTAATGGACTTTCCAAAGTCTTCACGAAGGCGGACCGCGGCATAGGAGCCTGAAGCACCACCACCAACAATCACGACGTCTTTGAAGAGGACGTTCGGAAGCGCATGTATTGCTACCAGCAGGCTGAGAGAACAGACTAATAATCTCACCGTTGTAGATGGAAAGTCTATATCGACTGGAGGCATCAGAGTGGCAGTGGGTGTATTTTGATCAAGGAACTTTATTGCGCAAAGGCCGCCAAAAAAGCTCCCCGCAGCTACTATCGACATGTAGTTGTACCGTAGTTCCAATTCCATCAACTGCTGCATCTACAAAGCGTCACATGACATCAGACTCGACCAACCACGTTCGGGGGCCCGTCGACCGGGGCTGGAACAATGCATGGCTACGAGACGGCGTGGCTGGCAAGAGGAAGAGACGTGCAAACGGCGAAACCACACGAGGCTCTAGTCTCCATCATTACGAATTCGTGTAGGTCAAGAGTCGTGACGTGATGTCAAATGCAAGACACAATAGAGGCATAGTTGGATGAGGGAGGGCCGCAAAGTGATTTATATGCCACAGCCTCGGTTTAATGCATGTAATGAATGCTTTTTTGTTTCGCCTAGGTTACTAAACAGAAATTACGCAGTTGCTATATGCAAATCTTGCTCAAACCCCCTTTCTGTTCTTCTCCCTTGAACTCAACCAGCCTGCTGTCACATTGCCAAAATTGAAAATATACATGGTCCCTACAATGTCTGGTCGTTGCTCGTAATATCATTGAATTCGACCTGTTTCCACAGAGATGTAGCCTTATTGAAAACTAGATCTCGGCAGCATCCGTCATTAATTTCTGTTCAAGTACGGCAACTACTTTGGCTTACCTACGTCAATCACCACTGCACTCAAGTCTTCGTAGCACAATAATCTGTCACTGAGTAGATATTTTTCTTTCAAGTTACTCATTTGGGCCTGTATTATTTAGGTTTATTTCCAAGTACCAAACCAGGAGATACATACTCTTCAACACACTGGGAATCCGGATAAAAAGTTGGGCTTCGCCAGGTGAGCCGCTCGGCCTATTAGAGTTCGTCCAGCCTTTCGGAATATTGCCTTTAATGTAGCGGATCCTCGGGGTACGGCAGAGCGCCAAGTAGAGTGGGTGGCAGGAAAGGCAAAAAATAATCAGTCCGTACCCGGATTTGAACCAGGGATCTACAGATTTGCAATCTGCCATCCTAACCACTAGACCATACGGACTACTTGATTATGTCATAAGGGGCCTTATTATGCATTATGACTTGGCACATCATTTTCCAGGTGCTTGATGCCGGAGCTGCTTCTACGACGGTTATCTCTTTTACTGGCCACTTACTTGCATGTTTTTCTGTAGGAGACTCGCTGGACTGCACCTTTCCAGGGGCAGTCAATAAGTCCAGCGAAAGAGGGCGGGCATGCACGCCGAGTCCCTTCCACGACTCCGTACACCAGACGGTTTGCGTGGCCACCTTTCAGGACGGTCAGATGAAGTAAACCCATGAATCGAGTATCCCCTCCCGTCTGTGAAACGAAAAAATCATTTTGCCATGGTAGAAGTCAACTATGTTGCCAGAGTCACTGCGAGTCGTGCTATGCGTGTTTATTTTATTTTTTTTTTGGAACCAAAGGTTTATTGGAGCTCGTTCACCGACTTTCGCCTCCAACGCGAAATCACGGCGTTACAAAGCTCGCGCGGTACCTTCATGGTCCCAACCGCTAAAGGCGTCCTGAAAGACGCGCAATCAGGTTAACATAAAATGCTGCATCGTCGAGCAGACCGGCGCGGCGAATTTTCCTTTTACGCATTCAGAAACTGCTCAGCACATGCCGTCGCGTCGTCATTTGACGCGAGCAGAGGAGACACCTGAGGCCAGCGAAGCTGTTTCAGAGTCATGATGTGGTTCAGGAGGCAAACGCGCTGAAATCAACAATATCCAGATGAACAGGCGAGCTTGTAGCAGCGTTTATATAAAGCAGTAAGAACTGCAAAAGTCGTACTATCTCGTGGGAGTTTCTGTCAATAAGAACGCTCAATACGATGCACACTAGCGATTTTGTTGCAGGAGAGCACTCATCATTTTGGACATGTATTGGTGCAAGCGATCTTGTGAGGTCGTTGCATCATCAAAGAGTAAACAAACTCATTCACAAGTTGATTCTGGAAAGCGGCCGGGATGGTTGAATAAAAGACGAACCTACCATGACAAAAAGCTTCTGACTCGGGTTTGGCACCTGGAATTACGTGGCGGATTGAATCTGTAAAGCTGCTAGCGAGCTGGTCGAGCAAAAGGCTCCCGATGACGTCAGTAGCGACTCACGAATCGCCCATCTATATGATTCTTTAGTTGAAAAATTATCAAAATAATACTTCACTTGGCCGCTGGCCCTTGTTGTGCGAGTAAATATCTTGCAACTCGCGTCCCTGCATTTGTCGCGCAATTTGTAATGTCCTTATAAGTTGTATTAAATGGGCGTCGAACACAGCGTACTGGCTACCTTCGTCCGTGTGGTCTAGTGGTTATGATGGCAGATTGCAAATCTGTAGATCCCTGGTTCAAATCCGGGCACGGACTAATGGATAGTGGTGGGGATGTCCTCACTCGCGCTTCTTTTTGCATTTTCCTCCTCTCAACACTTTAGAGCACTTTTTTTTTTTGCAAGTAAGATAGTATTATTTAATTGATGTATACAATCCAACATACTTTGCAATTGCTCTCCTTCAAACCACAATCCCACGTTCAAGCCCCGACCGATTGCCGTAGTCTAGTCTAGGCTATTAGTTGATTGTAAAACAGACTTGACAGTACAAACGGGGCCGCGCGGTCAATAAATAAGGACAAGTTGACACTTACAGATTGATCGGCGCGGCGTTGTGGGGGATCATGGGCATCTTGTGCTTAAATCGACGTCATGCGCGAATGACTTGAGCTCTAGCAACCCGCAACCAACTGCCGACAAACCGTGGTCCACCCACCGGTATTACGTCAATATAAGGGGTTGGTAACTAACTTGGTTGCTTGGCCCCGAGAGGTCTTATCACGGGTGAGCTTTACGACGCCCTCCTGCTCCTTTAATGAGCACGCAGGTTTCAGGGCCAAGGGCCAAGGCTGAACCAGAGTCATGACGACTAATGTTGCCGCTTACACGTAAATGCCGCTCTCTATTCTACAATCTCGGGCACATGTATAAGAGTCAATCTCCGTTGGTTGCTTGCAAGTCTCTCATCCCAGTGTGCCGGCAACACCCGGCAAAGACTAACTTCAAGAGGAATGCGTTGGCGGGCATTTATTCTGCTGCGATTACAAATGTAACCTTGGGTTCTACAAGCAACAAGGACTTGGCTAGTTGCGTTGGCATCGGATCGGGTTTGCGAACTAGGTAAGCCTTGCTACACCCGAGATCCCACTCGGGCTTATAATAGCAGATTCACAACTCTCGGCGCAATCAAACCTCTGTTAAATTACAAAGTAGAACTATATATTTATTCTACAGCGTCGGACATTTCATTTCATTCTGCACCACCTCCATCTCCATCTCGACAGCTAGCAACAGCAGTCACTCAGCAAGTCACAGCTTGAACGGGCTAAATATAACCGCATTTCTTCCCAGTTGGTCGAATAACATAGAAGAAACAAAAATGTTATTTGCCCTCGTACCTCTTTTCGCCGCGGGCGTCGCCCAAGCCGGCCCTGTCCAAAGCAAAGAAATAGTCATCAACTCGTACCAATTGTACCCCGAGAATATCGACTATGATACCAAAACCCGTCTTGCGTACATCAGGTACATGCCGCTTCTAAAATTCCCCAACCCCTGTAAAAACGCAAAATCCATATATCCACAAAACAAAGTACGCAAGTGGCTAATACAACTATTTCAAATCATACAGCGTCCTGTACAATTCCACAGTCGCCGTATACAACCCCTTCACCAACAAAGTCACAAAGACCATCGCCTTCGACAAGCTCTCCTACGACCCGGTCCTCCACGCCAGCGGCGTCCAGGTCGACCCCCTCGGCCGCCTGTCCGTCATCGTCAACGCCGGCGCCGCCTTCGACACCCGCGGCGCAAACATCTCCGGCGACAACTTCCTCGTCAAGTACGACCTCGCGCGCGGGCAGGAGCTCTGGCGGGCAAACCTGACCGCCGTCACCGACGGCATCTACAGCGGCTACCAGGACATCGAGCACGACGCCTGCGGGAACTCCTTCGCCGTGGGCACCTGGCCGAGCAGCATCGTCCGCGTGAGCAAGGACGGCAAGACCGCGGCGCCGTGGTACCTCACCAATGACAAGGACCACACCAAGAAGGGGCTCACGGGGCTGGCGTCCAAGGGGGATATTCTGCTCGCCACGGAGCACACGGGCAGTAGACTCTTGCGGTTCGATATGAAGGCGGACAAGGGCGTTCCCGACGTCGTGCCCGTTGGGCAGGACGGCATCGGCGAGAGGCCCGATGGCATCTATTTGCCGTCAAAGTTCGAGGGCAAGGTGCTCCTCGTGTCGTCGCAGTTGGAGGGGACGGTGGTGCTTCGCTCCGACGACGGCAAATGGACGTCTGCCCAGCGACTGGGTGTTGTGCCGAACAAGTTTGCGGACGAGGGGGGTTCCACGACGGCCTCGGTGGAGATTGAAGGCCGCATCTTTGTTTCGACTGAGTGGTTTGGCGATGCGGCTAACAAGGTTCCTGACACGCTTTCCGGGAACAGGACCGAGTTTCCCCTTTACGACATTACTTCTGAGGTCGTAAAGCTTCTTGTCTGATGCGTCTGCTTGTTGCGTGTTGGGGCAATCTGTTATTTTGGTATTGGAATATCTACCTTTCTAGTTCTGTGGCAAGGGGTCAGAGAGGGCGTGGAGTGAACAGCTCAGTTCATCTCATGACAGTCTTTGGCATTAAAAGTCCTGCGTTTTCCTCGAGGGCTGAATAAGTAAAGAGTTTTTTTTTATACAAGAAACAGTGAGAGCCTAGTAGCCAGGTCTCGTCGTTGTGGCCCTTGCGTAACCGTGACACGTTGTATTTTCCGTGGTCGCTTTTATAACGTACTGCTAGCCCATTATCTAATTACTTATAGCATGACAACAAGAGCATGTATAAACTTTGGTACTATCAAAGCAATACAGTACAGGGTTTATTCCGTAGCGCCTAGTGAACAGCACCTGACGTCAAAAAAGCACAGGTTAGGCGACCAGACCTCTACTATTCAGCCTCATATGGGAAGATGTTATACCGCATTGGGTACTTGATATAGTCATGGTGGAACTCTTTCTTTACTGTATTATTACTGGAATTCGCAACGTAAAATTGAAAATACCTGACCATAGCTACTACGCTGGCACACAACCAACCTCTTAACGCCATCACTTTCAGACGCCACCGCAAAAATTCTAAAGTAAGTAAAGTTAATGTCGTTGTTTATAAACCCTGTTTCTCCGACCGACATCCTCTTCCATTTAAAGTTGAGCTGAGATTTCCATCGCCGGATATGCTTCATAGACTACAGGTAGAAAGAAGCACAGCTGCTGCACAGGTATTCTACTACATCTTGAACAAGGTCTCCACGCACAAAGTCAGGGCCAAAAAAGACAGTATATGTAAACATTTTTATACGAATCTATAAAGTCTCAAATACGAATGTAATGTATCTCCCCAAAGTCTATGCTTCCACCCTCCATAGTCCAGTTGCGTACTACTCCCGCACAGCAAGACCAGCCAGACCAAACTACACGTCCAGAGCCAGAATCTTACCGCCCTCCGTGTATGTCCCATTGATAGGCCCAGCCTGGCCACCCGAGGTCACCACATACAGGACTCGCTTGCCATCGCGGTCCTGGGCTTTTCCAAGCCAGGCGGCAGTGGGACCCGGGACAAGAGTCGAGTTGAGATTGCCAGCAAGAACCTCGGCGTCGCCGTCCCGGTCAACCCTCACGGCTTCATTCTCAGGGTTCGCAGCGATATACGCATTGCCCTGGTTGTCGAGGGCGAAATCGTCGCCCATGACATCCGTGCTGATCGTCTCAAATGGCCCGGCCGCCTCGCCCGTCGCGGGGTTGATGGCCACCCGTCCGTACACGGAGGCATACGTATTGGTGTAGTACAAGTGGTCCCCTAGGAGCCTGATGCCGTTGATGCCGAGCTGAATAGGGGCGGTTGGCGCAGGCTGGAAGACGTCATTTTCCAGGACCGTGGTGTACTCGCCGGACTTTGTGTCCACGCGGAGCACAAGGCCGCGGCCGCTGTCGCTCACGAGAACCTCGCCGGTGTTCGCGTCGAGAGTGGTCATGCCATTGAGAAGCTTGGCCTCAGGGATATCCACAATCTTGGACACCTCGGCGCCTTTACAGCCGGCAAAGTCGGTGCTCCAGATGGCGTAGGTGCCTTCCTGGGTTCCGGCGCCGGGGGTAAAGTTTCCAGCAATGATGGCAAATACATCAGGGGACGTCTCGGTGATTCCAAAAAGGCTGGTGTAGCCTGCAAAGTTGTGCACCAGCGTGGCGTTGGCCGGGTTGTGAGGATCAACCTGATACAGTTCCGGGCGGTCGAGCAAGGTAACGAGCAGGTTGCCGTTGCGGCGCTCGGCAATGTTCTCCAGCCAGGTTCCGTTTGGAAATTGGTGAATGACACGAGCATTGCTGCTGCCGCTGCTCTGGCTTGAGCACGATGCTTGTTCTGTTATTGGCAGTGCAGAGCTGGCGGCATGCGAGGCCAGATACGTCGAGGACAAGGCGAGGAGAGTATGGAACTTCATCATGGGTGTGTTTGCAGGGGGAATGGTGAAAGAAGGGATTTGCTTGGATCGTTGCATTCCAACCATGGGAGGGCTGAACCTTATTTATATGCCGATGATGCTACCCCCCGAGTCCCCGGCTGCCGCTGTCTCGTTGCATGATGTTCAAGCTCATGCTCATGCTCATGCTCATGGTCGATTGCGCCTTTCGTGTGACTGCCGATGCAGTCCTGGAAACCGGGCCAATGAGGTGCATTGGAGGCACCGCATTCGGCAGGTCACGCAAAGCCGCGCAATATTGAACGGAAGCAAGAGGCATTGCCTCGCTGACATGGTCATGGCTCGCGGCTCGCTCCAATACTTCGGCCAGGCCAATGGATTTGGTTCATGCACACGACGGCCGCGCGTTTTGCCCTTGGACTTGATGCTCCATCATGTCGGGTTTGCAGAAAAAGGCCTTAACTCCGGGGCCGAGTTACGTCCAAGTGCTTACCAAGCACAGATGACAAAATCGTCCCAATACCACCACCCATCCTTCTTCGCCATGTTTTTCCATGGCATGACTAAGAAAAGGATGCCAGAAGCCATATTTGTCAGTGACGCGTGCTAAGAGGGTCAGTCGGCTTTTACTCTGTGAATGTTGCGAACTTGCGATATGGAGTACTCACTCGACATGGGAATACCTGAATCAAGGTATTATGCATAATTTATACCCTGGCTCAATATTCTCCTATTCTATATCTTTGGGTTGCAAAGGAAAAACAACATTTACCAAAATAAGACCTCGACTTGTAGAAGGCCTCCATGTTGGCAGAGTCGTTGGAACAGTAGAGACACATGCCGATCCATGAATTGGATAATCAAAGGGAGCATGTAGAGAATTTGAAATAGCCCAAGGCCCACATGAAGCCTAGATTCCGGTGAGATCCGGCGTCCAATGTCAGCCTGCAGGCCTCGAGATGCTCACAAATGGAACAAGAAGCCGCCCCCCTCGACAGGCGCAAGCATACAAGAACGCTACGTCACCATGCATGCTGTCCGTGTCGGAGCTTTCTGTACTCGTGGTGTTGTACATGATGCCATCGCTGCATTCTGGAAAATTCCTTTGTAGTCTAGCCATTTTCGTGGCTGGGAGAAGCGCACCGGCACCTCGCATGTCAGTCGTCACCAAGCATCTACGCCGTGCCGGACACCACAACATGGTAGGAAAGGACTCATTTTCTCCTTCTTCTCCCCTATCCAGAATATAAATGGCTCAAAGCTATCGTCCGCGCTGTTTCAGTCGTCCTCACGCTTACCCTGGACGCCCGGGCAGTAAGCGGCAGACCGGGCCAAGTCCTCGCGACACAGCAGATCTGCGTACTTTCAAAAACGCCGTCGATTCGCCACGCTCATGATTCAAAGTAAGAGTTGGCTTCACCTGCAAGAGATGTATAGGCGCCATATCGCTTTTTGAGCCAGGGAGGCTCGTTCAGCGGGTTGCAGGTCTCGACGCCGCTAGCAGCAAGGCCGCGATCAGTCCCGGGTCAATCACAGTCTATGACTCTATATCCATTTGTTCATCAATGTTTCGAGGAAACACGTCGCTATTGCTTCTTCTTCTTCTTTTGTCATCCTCCTTGGCTCGATTGGCAAACTCGACAACCATTGTGGCACCCGCGTCTTGTTCTGAATATCCAAAGTCGACTCGGCGACGGCGTCATCATGTCCCAATATCCGTGTTGACTCAGACCGCCTTTGTTCCGTCGACGTGGTGACAATAACAGCTTCGCAGATGAGTCCACCGGCCTTGAGCACGACATATGAAACCACACGGCCCGTTAGAGGGTACAGCTGCCAGCAACGGATGGCCACCACCACAGTGCAGCAGTTCCTCGAGCCTGCAAAACAAAGTGCGGAGGAAAGCCCGCCAATGAATCCGATCATTCGATGACTCCTTCACCGACCACGACCTCCACAAAGCGGGCGGTTCGGCCGGACGACTGGTGGAGAAATAGCCAGGTCGCTTACGCCACCAATCTCGGAGATCTGACTGGTTTGCCGGCCGGGAACAGCGACTCGAATGGGACACAAAGACGGCAAGAATCCAAAATTAGATTCTGTATTTAAGCGGCACGCGAGTTCGAGCACCGCGGTTCTCGCCAAGGCGCGTTCGCATCAAGTAACACCCAACTCTACTTGTTGTCGTTCCGAAACAGAAACATCAAAAGGGACAAAAAAAAGATGTCTCCCGCACCTACCGTGCTCATCATAGGATGCGGCGTCGCAGGTCCTGTTCTCGGCAACCTTCTCATACAAAAAGGCTACCATCCCATCGTCTTTGAGAAGGTTTCGGAACTCGGGGATGCCGGTGCGTCACTGATGCTCATGTCGAACGGGTAAGTCGAATATATACATACATTTCCCATCGAACGGCAGCAAGACTTACAAGCAATCAACAGCCTCAAAGTTCTGGAACTCGTTGGGGTCGCTGACAATATTACTGCCGAGTCTTGCCCTATTCAGCGCTTTATTGACTCAACTTCGGACGGAAAACTACTCGGTTCCTCAGACCTGCCCAGCACCTTCAAGGATAAGTATGGCCATCCTTTGGCTGGAATCAAGCGTACGTCCATCAACTTGATGCTGAAAAAGACGCTTCTCGACCGCGACATAGAGGTGAGAGAGGGCTGGGAGCTGCTGGATATTGAAGAAAAGAAAGATTCTGTAACCGCCTACTTCAATCACAAAAGGGCGGTCACCGCTTCGTTCCTCATTGGCTGCGATGGAATTAAATCTGCGAGCCGGAGGGCTCTCCTTCGGTCCAAGGGTATCGCGGAAGGGCTCCCTTCATATACCGGCCTCACACAGGTAACCATGTTTTCCCTCTCTCTCTCTTTCTCTTTTTTTCTCGCCATTGTTCAACTAAACTCGCACTCCATAGACGGCTGGAATCTCCAAAGTGCCCGATTCGCTACTCACTCCCGCAGCCATGCGCAATTGGTACGGTGACGGAACTCATGTCATTGCTTACCCCATCTCCAAGACGCACATATCGTGGGCGATAACTCGACGAGAGACCAACGAAGCAGCGGAGACATGGCGGCCGTATCGACAAGAGGAACTCCCAGAGCAGACAAGTCAGCTCTGTAAGTTGCTGGAAGGGTGGAACTCTGTGCTCACGGACATGATCAATGCCTCAGAGAGAGTCATCAAATTCGGACTTTTTGATCGCCAAGAGTTGGAGCCAAGCCAGTGGTATTCCGAGAGATGTGTTTTGGTAGGAGATGCCGCACATCCAACCAGTCCGCACCTTGGCCAGGGTGCAAACCAGGCACTGCAAGTTGTTTCTTTTCTATTGTTGCTACTCGGCATTCATGATCTCCTGGCTAATCTTCCTTCTTTTGTTAGGGAGGACTGCTTCCACTTAAGCCAAGCCTTGCCCGACCTAGCTTCAGTCGACACGCGTTTCGAAAAGGCTGTCGCGGCTCTCGGGCCGAGTTTGTCTGATGCTATCTTCAAGCCGTATGCTGAGAAACGCCAACCGCGCACGTCGCACTTGGTTAGGGGAGCACGAGCAGTGGGGGAGCAGAGAACTGCTTCGGGCGAGGAAGCATGTGTGTTGCGAGATGGGTTGATTACGGAAAAGTTTGCGGATGAAGCTTTGCTTGCAAGTCGGATGGATGAGCTTTTGCGGGAGCCATTCCAACGCACGCAGAGCCCAGCGTAGTGCCAAGTTGCTCAGTCTTCTAGCTGTAAATATTCTCGTTCCACACTATATAACATCTTTCCATCATGTGGTTGGCATTTGCAGCTCGAACTGGACCAGGCAGGTGGAAATTCATCAACCGTACGGTTATAAATAGCTGGTGACTTACAATCTCGGTTTGCAAGGGCGTCAATTTGCCCAACAGAATGCGCTGGACTGGTGCCGCAATTGCCCAGCTGAAGAAACTTTTACACGGACACATTTTGCTGTCTGGTGGGGACGACCAGGGTTTTGACGACCGTCGACAACTCTAATGTGGTACGCCATGTGTTTTACCATACGTATCATACGGCCATCGCACAAGACCATCAGGACTCGTGATAGAAGAAATGGTACAGAGGGAGTATGCCGGCCTTTCGAGGCATTCCAGCCACGTAGGATCTCCAAACAGCGCGAGGAGTTTGTGATAGATGTGCTGGCTGTGAGGCCATCACGACATTTCACTGCCAGACCTCGTAATCCGTCGCGTTGTATGTGTCGGGCAGGCCAAATTTCGCAACTTGATGTGCAGAGAAGGCCGGATCTCACTTACCATGTGTACTCCGTAAGCAATGCCTGGAAATGAAATGGCTTTCGGAGACCGGCAATTAAGAAAGTGGATGTTGAGCTCAGGCCCAGAAACCCTCATAGCGGCCATACCCTTGGCCCCACGATGGCGTCGAAAATTTTCCTAGATAAAGACCAGGCCCACGTGGGCTTGTAAGCAAACCGTTTGTGGTGCATTCTACACCGTGCAGTGGTAAAGATATCAACGGGCTTCGCTCATCTGTCGCCATGTCTATGCAATAGCAACAGCATTAGCTGTGATCCGGATTGAGGCGGGTTACATATGGGATGCAGGATTCCAAGCTGCGCTCCGGTTTTCCTACAAACTCAATATCACGTCGCCATTTGACGATGGGCATCAAAGGCCGAATCCCGGCGCTTCCGTCGACGAGTTTACCCTCCTTGCGAGAGTTGGCTGTGTTGAGTGCCGCTCAGATTGGGGCCGCATTACGCAACTTGCATGGCCTGTATTGCCCGTTGCCTACGTCACTGGACTTTCAGACAGCCGGCAAGAGCCACTTGATAGCCACAGATTCCGGTTATGCTTCAGAAGCGGATGCTGACGAGAAGGATTCGCCCGACTGCCTGAGATACGACGAGTTTGAGCGCAATTTTGCCAAGCGTTGGCTGACAGGATTCATTGGCCGTGCTTACGAGCTCTCGCTGGATGAGAGCGTCTCGGAACGTTTTGTGGATGAGGCATGCTCAATCCTGGCCTTCCTAAGCCACGAAGTTGAGGATGAACCAGTTGATGATGAAGATCTTGGAATGACCCGGGAGTTTATCTTCTCATTCAAGAATGATGGACTCGCAAGTATCAATGTTGAGCTGTATGATACCCCGATGCAAACTGGAGAGGACCACACGGATGTCGGACTTCAAACCTGGGGTGCATCCATCGCTCTCTCGGAGAAAATATCCAAGGAGCCAGAATTTTTCCGATTCACCAACGTCAATCTCTCGTCAACTAGCCGGATTGTTGAGCTTGGGGCAGGAACTGGACTTGTCAGCTTGTTCCTGTCAAGACTCATTCCACACATCACGGAAGCTCGCCCAGCCATTATCGCAACGGATTATCATCCCACTGTATTGTCAAACCTGGAAGCCAACATCAACTCGCACATGTCCAAGACGCCAGAGGCAGCACCGACCCAGGCATGTCATCTTGATTGGTCTGCGCCGTCACGGGTTGCACCTCTCGACGTGCCAGCAGACGTGCTCATCGCAGCTGACGTGACTTACGCCCCAGAACACGCTTTTTGGCTGCGAGATTGCGCCAGCTCGCTCCTCAAAGACGATGGGGTATTCTGGCTAATGGTATCTGTGAGACCAAATGGAAAGTTTGCCGACATCAGCGACAATGTCGAGGTCGCATTCCGAGACAAGGAGAAATGCAGGCGGCAAGATGGCAAGGTGCTAACCATATCATCTGTGCAGCAGGTTGCCAAGAAAGGCGAAGTTGGGCGAGCGGATGAAATCGGATATAAGCTTTTCGGAATAGTTTGGTCGTGAGAGCTGCTGAGCCTGCAGTTGGGGATGGCCGGTAGTGTATGGCGATGGTGATCTGCTTTCAGTCAATTTCTGCGTGCATACAAGCGTTTAGAACATAGAATATAGAGTCGTGAAATAGACATAGAGAACTAGAGCAAATTTATACAGTTATACAGGGGGGATATAGGTAGCGAGTGTCATCACTTGGTACGTAAAATGCGGGTGTAGCTCGAAAGTCAAAATACAACATTGAAGCAACTGGTCAAAACTTGGTAACTTACCTGCCTACCTCGGGGGAGACCATGGAACGCGAGATCGACAGTGGAGCATCAAGGTGGATGCTATTGCAGACTCGTCATCAGCTTGCAGACGACGCAAGGATTGATTCAATACAAATTGAAAATGAAGCTCGTTTGGTGGGCAAGGACTTGGATCGCCAGTGAGTAGGCACTGGATGAACACTCATGCCCAGCCTCTTGATGCAATGAGCGAGGGGCATAGCTCTGCTACTCTGCTACTGCGAGACAAAGTCGGCAAGTGCGTTTGAAAACCAGCGTCACCTTGCTTGCCGGCTCCCTCCGTCGCGCCCCTCCACAGCCCCCGCCATGGATTGCGCATATCGACTAGGTGGCTCAAGTACCAATTACTGCGGTTCTGGTCCAATGGGTGCGGGGGGAGCATCGGCTCCGGCTCTTCGCCCGTCGTAGTCCGTTGTCGACGCTGCTTCACTGCTGTTGACAATGTACTCCGTATTGACCAGACAGTATTAGATACAGCCCCCGATCGTCAATGGCGCCAGTGTCCTGAAGCCCATGACTAGCGCTCCCTTCTCGGCGCACCTAGTGGAGACCAAAGGAGGCACGAGACCAGCTCCTCAGCGCCTAAATCATCCACCTTGAGCTTCGTCCATTGTTAACCTTCCACGTCAAGTCCTCGTTTTCATTCTCTCCATTTCATAATCGTCGGGTTGGTGTACATGTCGGCCAGTGCAATGGCTCCGTCAATATCGCCCATCATCCTTTAACGCATTTCTTTTTTTCCCTTTGCGCTGCCTTCCGTCTTGCCAAGGTCTCGGTTGTCCGACCCAACAAACGCCCTCTCCTCGCGTTGCTTCATCGTCTTTCATCGGCATTGAACAGCCACCCATCGGTATAATTCCATGCAATGGCGCGATTCTTTGATTTGGAAGAGGAGGGTGACGATGGCGCCAGTCATCCGCCCGAAGATCTGATTACACAGACGTTGCAATCGAAGAGCCAGCCACAGAATAAAGGTGGCCAGCTTGCAACGGCGCCAGCTGCCACGTCGCATTGTTCAGAATCAATTGCTAGGGCATTTCAGTGTTATCCGTATGTTGATCTCTGGCTATGACAAGCTGCAGAGCAATTGCCGTTCCATCACCAACCCTCTCAAGGACTTGGCTAACAGCTGCTCTATGTCTACTTTTGCTGTAGCATCATTTCCTCAATCGTCTCGTCCATCGATTTGAATACACTAGACTCTCTGGCACGCTCGTGTCGTTCTGTACACGACGGCCTCATTCAGTATCGTAATGTGCTCGTCACGTCGACATTGCACTGCACCAATGAGCAAGTCCCTCTGAACCCCGAGGAGCTGCTTCGCTACCGCGCCCGCGCCAGCAATTGGCATTACATGGAAGACGGCCGCAACTACAACGGCAAGTCGGGCACCTGCGCTCGAGACATGGTAGATGAATGTAGAAAATGTGGCGAGGTGATCTGCCGAGTAGGTCTCTTACCTGCGTCAGCAAAGCTTGCCGCTTGGAGCAAGCCTGCCGCATCACGCTAACGGCCGTGGCCCAGAACTGTTCAATTAAACCGCCTGCGCCAGTCGCGCTCCGTGAAAGACATCGTAGGCTGTGCAGAACATGCATCAAGGCGCCGATTGCGGCCTTGGCGATCCCCCGCCTCGACCCAGAGTTGCCATTTGGCTCTGATGCTGTGCAACAATCCCTTTGCAAGTGCGAAAAAGCGGGTGTCTGGCTCTGCCAGCCATGTGGCAGAAGCATCCGAGCGGCTGACCATGAATACCGAAGGTTCGTCTGCCCATGATCCAGACACAGCGTCCAGCAAGAACTCGTGTTAACGTGACTGCCTCGTCCTAGTATATGGCGCTGGCGCAATCAGTATGGAGAAGTGCTTGGCGGGCTGGGCACTGGCATTGGTGACGGTGACCGTGGCGTCATTTGCGGTCGAGGAGAAGAGTGTCTCGCCGCCAAAGACCGCGAGCAAGAGACCGACTGCGATGCCCAGGACGCTCGTGAAAGTGGCACAGCCCCATGGGTCAATGAGCCCCCAGTGTGGACGACAACATCAACGCCTTCGCCTCCCGCCCTGGGTGTGTCTGATAGTCCTGCGGGGTCACCGTTTGGGCCAGCCACGCCTCTCGGGGCACTCATTGAAGAAGAGCGCCATGAACGCACCCCATCGCCCCAGCTGGGCCCTGGCTATGAGCGGCATGAGATTGAGGGGATTGGCGGCAGAGTCAAGCGCAAGCTAGTCCGCATGGTCCGGATCGGTGCCTGCGTCCCTGAATGGGACGATGAAAAGGGCTTCGGTGGTCGTGTGCTCGAATCAGAAATCAAAGGCTGCGCCCGGAGTTGGTGCGGCTGGTGCTGGAGGGTGATTCCCGGCAAGAAGGACCTCCATGTCGACAAGGCCTCCTCGTTTAGCGGTTGTGAAAACCGTCAGTGTGCCCTATAACGCGATTATGAATCTCCTTTGTCTTTTATCCTTGAGGCGTTATTTCATTGGGATCGACATGATTTGTTCCGTGTCTAATATCTGTCAGACACAAACTGCTCAGAAGAGAAATAAATGGGGGGTTGCTGTCCCTGTTGTTAACGAATATATTTGCCAAAAAAAATAAAAAGTAATTGGTATCCATGCCCTGCGAGATTTGTCATGTACATGAAATACCCGGCTTCCTCGTTCGCAGAAAACAAACTCCTCTGTTTTTGTTTCACATAGATGGCCCTTCTGTATCCTACAATGCTTCATCCCCTCATGCTGTATAAAATGTACATGTGTTCCAGTCCGTCAACCAACGAACGGGACAAGATAAAAAATCGTCTTGTTCCACGGCTACAAGTCCCCCCGGTAGACGAGGTCAGCTCTGCGCTTCCTGTCCTCCCTCGCCTGCGCCTTCATGGGGCCCCACCGCGCCGTCTTCCTGTCCATCTTGCCCTTCAGCCACGCGAGGTGCTCCTGCGGCGCGGGGGCGGCCATCTTGACAAACACCTCTGAGCACTCGAACTTCTGCGAGAGCCTGGCCACGGTCCACTCGATGGGGTCCTCGGCGCGCAGCCGCTTCATCTCCGCGACGTCCTCCTTCTGCAGGTTGTACCGCGGCTTGCGGTGCTTGTAGCGCATCCGGGGGGGCATGTCTGCCTCTGTGGGGGGCTGGGCGGTGGGCGCCGCCGGCGCGCGGGGGTGGTTGCGTATTCGCAGGAACGCCGACCTGCGCGGGTCGCTGGGCGGGAGGAAGAGGAAGGGCGTGTGGGCGGGCGAGGCTTCCGACGCGGGGGGGTTGTAGATGATGCTGTCGGCGGCGGGGGACGCGGCGGTCCGGTCGGGGAGGAAGGAGTCGTGGGGGGCGATTTTGAGGGCCCGTTTGGTCCGGGCGGTTGTTTTGTGGCCGCGTTTGGGGGTCAGAGGTGTGCGGCGGGCGGTGGTGAGGAGCTGGGCTACGGGGCGGGCGAGGGAGCGGAGGTCCATGGTTGCGTTTTCGAAGGCCGTCCCGACGCTGCTGGTTGGGTTGAAGATTGGTCGGTTGAGAGAGCGGGTGGATGGATGGAATGAGGTTGAATTGAGGTGGTGATGGGGTTAGATTGGCCGAGAGCACCGGCAATTGGCGAGGGGGACGGTGGTGCGTGGCCGTGTCGTGTGAGCTTGTGATGGAGATGCGGGAGCTGTTGGAAATTTTGAAGTTTTTGGCCCAAAGCTCGACAGTTGGCTTACATAAGGCGTCAAGTCAGCAGCGCCAAGGGGGGCCAATGGGTGTTGACGCATCATCGGCGGTCCCACTTGTTCGTGCCCGTCAACTAGCTTATTTGCTTTGCGAAGTGATCAAGCAGAAATATGATGAGACGGTTGTGGTTTTCTTGTCTTGGTTGGGGCGGTAATCAGGGAAGTCATATATTTTTCTCTTGATAGGGCATTCGATATGCGTCGCGTCGTTCACGAATTAGAAGCTATTAATATATAATACATCTACTAACCGTGCCATTCTATCTCTAAACGTCTAATACAGAACTTGGTCCCACCGGTGACCAGCCGGCCACAGCACAAATTTCTATAGGTGTATATTCCTTCTTACTCTCCTTTATTTTCCCAGTAGTGCGAGTCATGAAAGCCAGGTCGGCGCAGTAGCTGTGCATGCGCGAGTACAATGCATTCAGCACCCCTTTGACCCCTACGCAGTCTTCCCGTAGACACCATTCGCTTTCTCCGTCTTCGTAGATCCTAGTACGTACTTTGCCGCCAACGGCACGGGCCAAGCTAGCAAAGGAATTGGATCGGCAGTGACTTGGCCGGTTGTTATTTCATCCACTAGCGCAACGGCGATGTAGCCGCCAATTGCCGTAAAAATATGCCACCTAAATAAGCGCAATTAGAAACCGGACGTGGACAAACCCACGATTCTAGGCTTGACCAACTCACCACCCGTGCAGCTCGAGGAAAAATGCCGCCGGCAGCCCAACAGACTGCCTCGCCCCATTCAACATGCCGCATGCCCACTCGTCAATTAACCAGACGAAAAAGCCGAAGCCGAAGCTAACTGGAGAGGGGCCTCGTCAGTCACGGGGCCATTTTCAACGGGGTTCCTGTAAACGTACTTGTGCCAAACCTGGCAATCTTTTTGATGTTGCTCCTGGTCTGCGGATCGGGAACTTGCTGAGGAATGAGCTTCATGACGCTCGTGCCAATCATGTAGACGGCAAACCCAAACGTGGTCGCGTGCAGGAGAAATTCGTCCATGAGCATGTGAGCGGCCATGACGACGGTGAAGAGTACAAAGAGAACGACCCCCGCCGTTTTGGTATATCGCTCCGACTTGTTAAAGGTCAAGACGCGATGGAGCAGCGGCGTCGAAAGAAGATGCATCGACAACTCGTCGGCTGTAAAGCAAACATGTGAGACGCGGGCGGTATCATGACGCTGAGAGAGCCGAGGTCAACTTACACATTTGCGTGTGGTATTTCAGCGTCATGTGGTATCCGGCAGAGCACACGCCTACTCCGATCAGTCCGCAGTAGGAAACGAGGCGCGAGCCATTTCGTCGCCCATGAGCCAAACCATAGATTCCATAGGCAACTATGACGCATTTTTGTCAGTTATCTTCGTCTTCTTGTGATAAGAAGGAGCGTCGGGTTTCAACTCACCATATACCAGGCTGCTCAGGGTGTTGATGAATTCAGCAATGTACCGCGTCACGAGGTAGTCCTAACCACGTTAACATTTTGCGTCCTCGTGCTCAGTCCCGGGTGGTGCATCATGTACCTCTTCACAAAAGCTAGAATTGTATAAGCAACGAGACTTATCGACAGGGGCCGAAGCAGTCTTGGGAGAACCTACTTCAAGTTGGACGTGGGCGCTCCCCAGAACGGCTTTGCCCGCTGCACATTCATGGCGCTGTTGTGCAGAGAAGGAGTGAGGCGGATTTGATGTCGGTGCAGTCGCAGCATTTTGGGGAAAAGGGCCCCGCTGCGCGAATCGAGTGCAACATTCCGATCCGATCGAACCGGCGACGATACGAGGCATTAGTCATTAGCGTCCGTGGGTTCTGCTCTACTTGGAGTTAGAACCCTAACGTTTGAAGTCGTTTGGTCTGGTGCTTTCGCCACCGTCGACGCGGGCCGCGGGTGGCGTTTTGAAGAAACATTTGAAGCTTGATGCCTGCTGGCTCCACCAATCAACTGATGGCACTGGGCGTTTGGTGCCCTGCATCCATCAATCCATTCAATGTTCAATATTGTCCCTTGACAACCAAACCAGGCACAAACCTGCCAGTCAAGTCTCACACGCCCTCGCTTCAACGAGACGTTGTTTGCAGCCATCGTCTCGAAGACATGTGATGTGCATCATCCTCCCGGATACGGGCACGACTCCACCAAATGACATCTGTCCTTGCAGCTCAAAACACCAGAGAGCGCCGACGAAAACACCGTCCCCCGTCTCAACTGCCATGCACATCCGTGACGGATAAGTGAATTGACAGCCTCTTATTTTTCCTTCATTCCTGTAACTCTAACCTTTTTGCAGCCGTGGCCATCACCCTTCTCAAATATGCTCGCCATTTCGCAACTTTCGCAACTCTTTCTGAAGGACGCCGGTTTCGCAATCCCTTGTTTCGAACCCGTCAGCATGACCCCAGCCTTTTCGAGCTTCTCCATCGCATCCTTCATTTCATACGGTCCCCGTGCAAGAAAGCGCCAAGTATCGTCGTGTTAAAGACTGTGATAAATCCTTTGCGGAGCTCTTTTTCGCCTTGCACTTGAACTGAAATATTTGTTGCCGAAGTGTTGTGTCGATCAATCGCGACGGCTGTGGCACGCTTCTTCGTCTGGACCTCTCGTCGCTGAGTTTTTGCATACTATTTGTAAGAAGAACCGTCCCTCCATTGACGCACCACCATGGAGATGACGGGTGCTTGCCGGAGTCGAGCGCGATGAAAGCATTCTGGCAGAACGACTGGCCGAATGATCCGCTAGAGGTATTTTGAATCTCCATCCATCGGAGAGCAGAAAGCTTGTACTTGAGTCCAGTGCCGTCCGGACCGCCATGACGGGAAAAGCCCCGAGTACTGGAATTGTCAGCCTCCAGGCGCCGTTGAAGCCCCCCTTTGAGATTTCTTTTCAGGCACTCCTTGTACAGGACAAATTCGACCTTGACAAGGTTAATTGCTCGGCGGGCTTGTTCTTTTTGCTAGATGCGCTTATGTTTTAATGCCTAGAACTTTGAGTACTTTATAATAAAGTTAATTCATTTGTTTTAAAATATATATAAAGATATTTACTTACTTAATAACCAGGTACTGGGTAGAGCGTGAGCGCACCTAGCAAAAAGAGTAAGCCCGCCGAGCAATTCACCTCAACAGGCTCATCAAATCGAGCAACAACCTCATCCGGCGCACAACTACCGCCGGTCCAGCCGACATGGTAAAAGTCCGGTGTGTCGCAGTCATAAAGTCTTTTGAAATACTTGGGGCAGACTTCTCCCCCGTCAAGGTGGTTGGGAATTGCAACGTCTTCAAGACAATTGCAAGTAAAGTCCCGCCACACCGGGCCCGATAATCCAAACCCTATATATAAGCTTCCTCCTTATTTTCTGGAGCATCCATCATGGCATTTTTAACACCTCTTCAGCAACCGAGCGTTCCCTGTTTCTGGTCGAGACTTGGTTTGTCTCGTCATTGAAAAGGGAATCAGTAGCTAAGTTACCCAATGTATATGAATTGTTGCCGACGCAAACTCGAGCATGGAGGCTTTCGAATCCTTGCCACTCCATGTAGATAGGGGGGCGGCTTGGTGTGCATAACTTCTTAGCAGCTGACGCGTAGGGACACAAGTCTCTGCAAAGAAGTTAGACCATGTTTTCTCTTCAGTGATAGCCACAAAACGTTGATATATTACTTGTCCTCGTATCATGTCCATTTGAATCCTCCCACGCGCGCATTATCAAGTCATGTAAGGATGTCAGTCTTGTCTTTATGCCTGCTCTGTATCCGAATGTTTAGGCGACATGGCGGTGATATTCCCACAATATGTATTACGACAACTGAGACATAATGTAATGCTTGTCATGAAGTTAATTGGGCATGGTGGACTATGCCGTTGTTACACGGATGACACGTTGCCATGAAGGCACGGGCCGAGCCTTGAACCCGACGATAGTTACACAAAGGCTCTGATCACGAGACCTAGGACAAGGTCCTTCACCGCCTCTTGATATAAATAAAAGGTCTTCCGCCTTCAAGGCCTCATAGAAAACCAAGAACCTTTGATATCAAAGCAAAGTATTAGCTGAATATGAATACTGTTCCAAGCCCCTAAACACAGGCCCTTGTCGTAGCTGTACTGTGACAAGGGCTCGATAGGGCTTGAAGTCAATAGCTCAATTCATCTAATGACAGTCTTTGGTATCAAAGGTCCTTGGTTTCCGAAGGGAAGGAATGGAACAGTGACCACTATATATACAAGAAGGGAACGCGTGTGCCTAGAGCTCTTGCCCGGGCACGTGTTCAATCTGTGTTACCAACAGGTCCTTTGTCGGTGAAGTCCCTTTTGGGCCTTTTCCGCGCAACACGTCCGCAGAGGCAAGGTGATGGATACTGAAACACCAGGAGCAAATTATGACGGTCGTGACCTCCAACTCTAGAGTGCAGACTCACAGCTCCCACGGCTTCAATTAATTCCACCGAAATTAGATTAACACGGCGGGTGTCTGCCCAGACTACCCCTGACCGTCTCGCCCTCACATTCTAGTATGCCTCGTGTGTGTCGACGTGGGTGACGAAAGGCGCCTCGGACAAAAACAAACAGCCAGCGCAATGAATATTATTATTTCAATAAACATGACTAGTTTCAGGATAAGTAGTGCGCGGTTTATGCAAATTCTGAACCATGTACACTAAGCTCTAGCGGCTATATACCGTCTTTTATGCATCCCAGCTTTAGATTTAAGCTATTTGCTCCGATCGGCAAGGCCTCCCTGCACCCTTGGACAGATCGGCAGAGGGGCTCTTGACGAGACGGCGAGTCAGTAGACCGCTGCACTCGGTTGCATTGCAGGCGGGGAAGGAATTTTATGGTGTTGTGCTGGACCCGGGCATCGGATTCACACCATGTCGTCCATGAAGCCGGGCAATCCTAGGTCGGCAGCGGGCCAGACGCCTATGACGTAGTCTATTAGATTTACTTGAAGAAAATAATGATAAGAATGATAGTATGGAGGAAGAATTAATCGAGCCAGATAGCAGAGCTTTCTTTGTAGTTGAATATCTTTGGTATAAATAGAAATACAATTTTCGATTCTTTACATATAAATACGTATGTATATATAGATTACCTTCTACATGAATGTATTCTATCTTCTGTTTTATTGGGGCAGATACAGACCCCAAAAAGCTTGGTATTGACGCTTAATTTCACAGCCATGTTAGAACCATGCTCTTCCAAGTTCTTGGTCTGACTGCGGCCCGCCCGAGGTGCTACCTCGGCGAGATTCTGACTAGTGCTAAGTTTCCTGCAGGGCAAATTTTGACAAAATTTTAAGACGGCATAAGATGCTCATCTGGGTCCGACCTGCCGACAGTCTCCTTGCCACCCATGTCCGTTCTTTTAGATGGATTCAGGATCCCGCGTAATGGGAACGTTGTGGCGTGATGGCAGCTGGCTTGTCGATGGCACGAGAGAAACTCGCCTAGCGCGCTTACGAGTGCGCTTTATCCCGACTGGCTGCGTCAATTATTCCTGTAGCGTTTACTAGACGCGCCGACGGCCCGCGACGTCCCTACCCGCGCGGCCTACTCGCCGTCTCCTCCACTTTTTCGGATCACGACTTCACATGACCGATTCTCACTGCGTGCTATCGGGATGGGCTGAAGCGCCAGGTGGCCGGTCCAAATCTCTCATCTACCCGCAGTTTGCATCGGGCGGGACGATTCGCCCTTTGAGAGCGGATATCCTTGCGACCGGGTGTCGCCAGCAATGTAAAAGTCCAGGCGGGGATTGGATTGTGTCGCTGTCACCGATAGCAAGGCCCCGATCAGTGGTACGGGCCACATGTGCGGATCTGAACAAAGGTTTGTCCGAGCCGGACATGCGGGAAGCGAAATTCTCGGCTACTGTGAGTGACTCCGGCGCCGGCAGCCAAGGGAGCACTGTGGGAACTTATATCACGTTAGGAAGTGCGAACTAGAGTGTTTCCCAGCCAGATAAGAACCGGAGAAATTTAAGATTGCCGGTGAAATTTGAGACTCGCTGGTATCGATACCGCCCGTGGCAGCCAACGTTTCCCGACACAGCGGACCTTACTACTGAGTAGAACTCAAGTATCACTGTACAGAGTAGAACTTGTATGCCACGCGCCAAGCCGATGCAAAATTGTTAAAAGATACCCACAGGACAAACAAAAGCCCAGGTTAGATTACACTTTCTCAATGGAAGCAAGTAATTCAAAGGAACCATCATGAAAGGAACATGGTAAGATCATACTAAGATGGCTGAATAAGCAGCAAATACCTCCGATGTACATGCGACACACCCAACACACCAGAAGTTCCTCCATTGTTCAATCTTTCATGTCTGTTCACTCTTTGACAAATCCTCGTTCAAAGGAAATGACAGGCGCTCTTTCTTCTGCAGCCCTGTAACCTCTCAGCCACTTTTTGCTCGCCGGCACCAAGTAGCGCCTCATGTTTCGAGGAGCTGGGCCATGTGTTTGCGTTTAAGGACATTGCAGCCTGCATCCATTCTCGTGAGTGATCTCGAGCGCACTTTTCCCCAAGGTCCAGACGATGAGCTACGTCGATATTGCAGAGGCAGGGACGGGCAAGACGTAACGAGATGCAAATATCCCCTGTCGCTGAATCCAGAAAACACTTCACCTACAAAGGCAGACGAAATGCTGTCGGTGCCAACCAGTTGAACGTGTCCATGGCCAAGATTGCACAAAGAGAAACAAGCTTACCGTCATGGCATGAAACCCACGCCCCTGTCCCTTTTGCTTCCCCGCGTCATGTTGCAATCATCACATCTTTAGTTGGTATTCCCTAGTTATACAAAGTACATGGGTCACTGTTTGGCCTTGTTGTCTTCTCGACTGCTCATCAAGCTGTTCACAAATCTGGCAAGATTATGATGGGAATGCCTCGTTGTCAATTTCAGTAGAGAGTGCGTAACTAGTCCGGTAGAGACTGACTGGTGAAGAAAAAAGAAAAAGAAAAACATCGGTTGACAATTGATGAAAATTTGCGCATTGTATCCAACCCGTCGTCAAATCCTAATAGTCCATCCTTGGGCGCTTGTCCGCGCGCAGTTGCAGATGCCATTGCTGGCGCTTCTGCCCTCGATCTCGTCGTCGTGTCCGGCATTGTTGGTTGTAGAGCTGACCACCTGTAGCTACCCTCACACGTGTTTCTTCTTATGCTCGGTTGGACGTTGCTTCAATTGACGCAATCTCCGTGTCCGCTCATTTGGCCATTTCCTTAAGATCAGCCATTTCCAGCAACTTAACTTGCTGGGGAGAAAATTACTGTTTTGTCGTCATCGTCGGACTCCTCGTCATCATCGGGCTGCTCAACATTGCTGGACTGCTCGGGCTTTCCGCCAGCCGCTGGCTTTTGCGATGAAGTGCCGGATGCCACTGGAAGCGATGCCGGTGAGTAATACTTTTTCTCGATCCAGCCCTTAGCACAAGCTGCAAGATCCAACATCTGAAAATTCCATGCGATTACTTGCAGCTGGGACATGGCGTTAATATCTACTTCGATGCCGAATGGCCGCTCCGGAAACGCCTTTGCCGCGGTCAGTTTGAAGACGCGTTCGCTCCCGCCCTCTTTGTTGGTAATCTGTGGAAGTTGGACGTATTCGAAAAACACCAAAGCAGCGGGAAGGTCAACATTCTTCCCAAGGTAAAGGCAGGATGTAACATTTTCCTAGAATTCATCAGTATACACTTCATGCTCAGGGATGTCCGCCTTGACAAACCTTTGGAAGAAAGTCGCATGGCTTCATTGCCTCCCTACACGTCCAATCTCGCCCATCGAATAACCTAACAGGTAACTTTCCCACTTGATTCTCGCCGCCGAAGATGATGCACTGAGGGACCGAATCTAGCACCGGAGTTGGCGGGCCCTCGGCGGAAAGGGGCGGTGCAGGACGGCGTTGGACAGCGGCTGGCTGACTCTGCTGGCCTTTCTGCTTCGGCATGGCATAGTGCTTGAAATGAAGGTGTTGAAGGTCAACAGTTGAAGATGTTGAAGCTGTTGAAGCTGTTGAAGGTCAACAGTTGAAGCTGTTGAAGTCGATGAAGATGAGGAAAGAAATTAGAGCACTTTCACGGAATGAGCGACGTCTTATATAGATAAATTCTTGCTCCATGGGATACTGAACTCGATATTCCACGCAATACGGCACGTCAGAGTGTTGAGCATGTTCACAACGCGTTCCAAGCAGCTCAAAGATGGGTGTAACACGGCCTGCATATCCCTAAACACACCAAGAATAGCACACAACCAACCCAGCTTCAGTGTCCGCCTTGTTCATCCATCATGTCGGTCCGAAATGATGCAATTCCACGCCACGGGATCCCCAAAATCGAATATGCTCGAGCTGTGCTTACCCATAGCCGCATCGACATGTCCACATGAGCCATCCCAAGCTCCCTGGCCAGACGCCTTTAACCCGTCCTTTCCATTGTTCGTCTTTTGTTGCCAAATCGTACAAAAGGAGTTCATGTCCTCTACACGTCGAAAATGTCACCGATACCCTCGCCCCCACCCCTCCTAATGTCGACAATGTCTAGCCTCCAGCCCTCCCAGTGCTTCAAAGTTCGCTTGATCTCTTTGATCCTCTCCAGTCGCTGTTTTGACTCCTCCTCTTGGGCCTTGCGGAAGGCATCCTCGTCAAAGTCAAAGTCGTCGTCATCCATCAGCTCGTGTTCAGCACTTGCTCCTGCTCCTCCAACACCACCACCAGCTAAGGCGTTGAGCCCGTTGGTCAAGAACTCACCGAAACCACTAGTCGAGTGTTTTCTTTGTGACGAGTGTCCCATCGAGCCTCCGGAAAGGTCCACGTCATGGAATCCGGTGTTGGTGGCCTCCATTTCCCGGCGTTTCTCGATCCATGCCCCGCTTCGCAGTTCGTGCACTTCGTGTTCAAGGCTTCGAATCTTCTTTTCGAGTCGTAATCGTTCCTCGTTCTCAAGCTCGTCCACGCCCTCGTCATCAAGTCCGCCACCGCCGTCTGCCGACTTGCGGCTGCGAAGTTTCAGATTTTCGCTCTCCAGCTTCTCCACCTTGGCTTTCAGGTCCTTTGCTTCCTTTTCGGCACGCTCCTTGTCCTTTCGCAAGGCTTGGGACCTGGAGTCCTGCTCCTTGTGGATGGTGGTCAGTGTGGCCACCTTCTTCTCCAACGCGTCAATCTTGACCTCCATGTCAGACTTGGCCTTTGTTGCTTCCTCCAGCTCGTGTTCAAGCGTCTTTACTTTGACCTCTGCACTTGAACGTTCACTGCCCTCGCGGACTGCTTTATCCGTTGTTCTCTCGAGATTGCGTTTCACATCCTGCAATTCTCGCTGTGCCTTGCCTGCGGCTGCTTCGGCCCGAGCAAGCTTTTCTTCAAGCGCATTTACTTGTTCTTTTTCTGTTTCGGCGCCAGTTTCTTGTCGCTGCACCCGAGCTTTCAAAGTGGAGATTTCAATTTCCATGGACTCGATGGTGGATTTCTTCGCGTCGAGTTCGGCCTGCAGCTCTGAAGGGGGGGTAGCAATAGAAACCGAGGGCCGATGGCCATGGCCCGAGCCTCTCGAGACTTGTTGCTGCAATTGCGTGTTTTGTCGTTGAAGTGAAGCAACTTCGCTTTTCTGTATCAGTCTGTCAGCCTCATATGATGCCCGCCCCTCGTTGAGGCAGCCCACTCACCAACTGCTCCGTTTCATTATTCGCTTTGCCCTTCGCTGAAGAATCACCATCGGCTTCACGGAGCTCAGCGAGCTCATCCTCCGCCTTCTTCCATCGTTTTTCCGAATCTGAGAACTCTTTGGATAGTTTCCTATTCTCCTTCTCCAGCTCCTCGATGCGAGCGACCTGCTTTCTGTAAATCTCTGGCGCGGTGTCACCATCGGGGCTGAAAGGGACTGGAGAAGTGGTTCCAGCCGCACCGGCACGGAACGATGTTGATCTCATCTTGGACTGTTGTGCCAGCGATGGAGTTTCCGACGGTGATTGGTCGTCTGCATTTTCGTCTTCAACCGCCTTGTCGTTGCCTGCGGCGGCTTCCCCTCCCTTATCTTCGGCCGGATCTGCGGAAGGCAGTTCGGACGATTCAGCCTGCTCTTCAGCATTTGGCGACGCGGTTTCGGGGACCTCGTCTTCTTCTTTGGCGTCGTCTTTCTTGGCAGTCTTTTTGCCCTTCTTCTTCTTCATTTGTTCGACCTATACGCGCAATTAGAAGCTATGGGAGCCGGAGCCGGAGCAGAGGACCAGTATGCTTACGCGCTTTCTCGCTGCGGCGATCTTTTCCTGGCGCGCCTTTTCCTCTGCGTCGGCCATTTTGAATGCTAATCGTCGTGCCGGGAATCAATTCTGTGCGCGAAATATAGCTTCTCGAGTTCAAAGGTCGGTGCAGGAGGATGATTGCCTTAAAGTTATGGATGGGGAATGAAGCTGCCGACAGTTGAGGAGGCCGGATCCGGATAGGTGGCCACAGCTTGGCCTGCTCACTGGTATTCGCGGCACGCAGCGACGTCAGCAAGCACTCACAGGTGCATGTGGAGCTAGTCTGCTCCAGGATCGACGACAACAGAATGTCGACATTGAAAAAAACACAGGCTTGGCTCGTGAACGAAATTTAATGCTTATCGCGCCGAGTCAACTTGATTCATAATGCCGCGTGGCTCTATCGACGAAGCGAAGCGGCAGCCTGTTAATCTGGCACCCGCCCAGGTCGCTCCTGCCTTCAAGTGCTGCTCAGACCACAGCGCAGAGTCATCGAGGACAAAAGGGTCTTAGGCCAGTCATGGTGCAAACATTCGCAGTGCATCACAAGCGGACTACACGCCATCATCATGCCTCGTCAACCTGACTCTCAGCTTCTATGTGGAGAGTCTGAGTTGTATCATCTCCATCTTTAAGAGCATGAACTGGACAGAAGGAGCGCGTGCCCGGGCCCCGAAGAATAGGAGAAGGGACGAGGAGCTGTCGCGGCAACAAGAGTTTTTTGCCAAAGCTCGGATGCGGCATGCTGCAGAAGCCAAATCAACAGAGGTTGCACGTCGTCATCAGAGCCAAGCCGCTGTGACCTTTGACATAGAAGATCGGCGAAACACCGCAGAAACCCTGACCCAAGAACGTGATAGGACAAGACGGCATTCAGCTCAGAAGAGGCCTCGGAATGGTTCAACGGCGAGCCCATCACCGCGAATAACTCCCGCTATCAACTCGCCGGCACAGCAGGAGAGGGCTCTTTCGCCGCGCAATGCAAACGAGGTCAATGTACCCACTGGTGCTGCCGATATCAAAGCCAAGAAGCAGAGACTGCTGAGAAAAGACGACTGGACGGGAATATCCCTTCAGAAATCCCTTACCATAGATTACCCGCAGCCTACAAAGATGCAACACGGTAGTTTACGGCGAAACCCACGCAAAGCTGTTAATTTTGAAGCAGCCAGGGTAACATCTACCAAGTCGAAAGCTGGCGACATTCGGGTCTGCGTTGGGAGTCAGAATTTCAGATAGAGTCAGGATGGCAACTCCCTCAGGAGCCTCAAAGGTTCTCAATACCAGCCATCCACTATGTCTTCACAAGCATCTCAAAGACAAGGTGTAGGCAAAGCTCTATTATCCGGAAGACTTGGCAGCTACCACAACCGACCAGCTATTGCAGAACTATCTGTGCCGGCTCATTCATCCAGCCTGAGCAACCGGTCTAGCGGCTCCAGGAGTCTGCAGCATTTGTGGTGGTCGGATCAATCCTGCAGCACAACCAGTTCATTACCTCGCGACGACGGCACTCCCCAGTCACTATACCACCCACGCCCACAGCGGTCGGTTAATATATCAAACCTTCTCCATGAAAAATCTCCTCTTCCAGAATCGGTGTCTAGTGTGAGAGCGCAGAACGGCAGCCAGTGCACATTAGACATGTTTCCATCTCTCGACATTGGGCGAAGTGTTGACGGATTCAACTATGGATATGATAATTCTTGTATTAGCCTACCTCGGAATTCGCCCAAGTGCGGAAAGCGTCCTGAGCAGCGCAACGCTGAACTAAGGTATATGAATCCCCCATATACAGTCCATGATCCTCAAGTACCTGCAGTGGCCCCAAGAGGATTGGACGCAGACGGCGAGCTCGTCCATGCAGGAACAAGGTATCCGTATTTCCTCTCCGCAAATGAGCAACCCTATCCGAAAACATTAGCAGCATGCGGCTCTTCAGCATCGATATGCCACCCCTCCCCCTCCAGTAGCTTGACAGACGACAACCTCCTGTCCATAGCACTACCTAGCAGGCTCAACACACAAGACCTCGTGGACATCCTACAAGAATCCAACACATACAAACAGCATCGCAATCAAGGCAGTACTATCCTCAGCAACCTGCCAGCTCACCCGCGTCTGACACAAGACATTGCCGGCATCGAAACAACATGCCGAAATCCTCTCGAGAGTTCCAGACCAAGCATCCCAGACCCAATGGCCACCCACGCAGCACAATACCTGTCATCGGCCCCCAAAACACCAAACACCAAGCCATATCTCATCCATCCATCATCCACCAAACGAAAATCTCCATCGGCCGACACCCACCATCCACCGCTAAAACCGGCTATATCCAAACCCGACGTCGTATACCGCCAGCCCCAACCCTTCGTCGGCAAGCTATCCTCCTCCGAGACACAGCATGCGCCAATGTATGCAGCGCAATTGTTGACCAGCCGTGCGCGAAAACGAACGTCGAATCGCCCTGATATTCGGGCATTGCCAAATCACGACCAGGATCCAATCGAGTGATTTCGTCGTGTCACTGTGCTTCCCCCAGTTGCATGGATGCCAGGTCAGGGGGGGAGAGGGGAGGGAAGGGAAATTGATGAAATCACAGCGTTATCCACCGGAGCGGACCGCATCCACATGATCTATCATATCATAGCGTCCTCGCAGCATAAACTCAATCATTATCAGTTCCGATCTGCCTCAGGTCCATCCAGTAGATCAGTCCAGTTCGTGTCATGCCTGAATGCCTGACAAGGCTGGTGCGAACAAGCACAGCCCCGACATGCTAGCCTGCCCATGCGCCCCACAACACCGCCCCCCTAACCTTCTAGAAGACTTCAATGTTCCTTGCCCCTTCCCAAACCTTCGGGCGCGGTCCACATCGCATGAGATCCAGGGAAACATCTTCTTTTTTTTTTCCGCTGTGGTGGCGGTGTGCATCACGCTGGCAAACGGGACAACTGCGATTGAACGCGAGGTGGCCGGTCCCTGGGTTCCGGCAAACCAGTCCCCACGATGCTTGATGCAAGCCTGGTTTCGGTAAGTGTAAAAAAGGTGCCTAGAGGGGTGCCTTGACTCGGCAGTGTCTACTGGTGGGAGTGTGTCTTGGTGGCACACCACCAGGCATGTCAGATGGTCTTTTGTCTCGGTTTTTGTTGGTGCCATGTGTATATCGGTGATTCATGACTTGATACGTCTGGTGAGAAGTCGACTCAGGAAGTGCATTCTATCACGATGCGTTTGGACGCCTACCTTGAAGAAGACGGGTGAATATGGCCATTGAGTCACATTTTTGCGGCGGAGATTGTGCAGTATATTTATGTATTGTATGTATACGTCGTGCTCATTTATTCGTAGACCTTCTCTTATTCCTACTTGTGCACCATGGCGGAGCCCCAGGCTGCCTCGCGACGTATATACATTGGTATCTATTTTATTGGAGGGGGTTGTGTGACACAAAACTGGCCAGCAATTTTGATGGTCACATTCGAGCCGCTCAAAGCGATCAAGCCAGCCTCATCGAGGTTGCAAACCAGGGCAGGCCAATTATTGATGAAAGCAGCGCGCAAAAGTGTATCCGCAAAAGAACGAGATAATGGGCGCCATTAGCTTCTGCGACGAGCCTCCTTACGCTTCGGTTGACACGTAGTCTTGCAGTGGGGGCACTCGTAGCCGTCTTGGTCAATATAGATTCTCTTGAGGCACTTTGAGCATCGCCACCAGGTTGATGAGACTCGTCGGTCTTCCAGCCACTCCTCGTTGATGGAGCCGCCGCGCTTCTCAATGTCTTCCTTGTGGAATTCACGAAGATGATCGCGGAAGTGGTCTAATCGATGGAACGGATCGCGACGGCGAGAGCACCGTGGGTAGTCGCAGTTGAACGAGACCTTTTGTGACTCTGAGGCGTGTCGGTGCTTGTAGTGGCGGTCTAGGTCTGCTCTGCGTTTGAAGGGTTTGGCGTTACACCCCGGATATAGGCAACAGACGGGGTAGTCACGGCCGCTTTGTGATCTGTACAGTTAGCATTTAGGACTGGAATCGAGGACCAGAGATATGACGCACGATGGTTTGGATCCTCGGTCTTCGGGTGACGGTCGCGGAGAAGGAGTGTCTCGGTCGATATCCAGATTAGGGGAAGAGTAATATAATGCCGTTACGGCCGAGGACGGGCTCAACTGATGGTGATTGGGGCTAGGAAAACTTCCTGTTGACGATGGACTCTGGAAACTAGGATGCAATCCGTTGAGCATCGGCGACACAGACATCGGAGAATCATAGACACTCCCGCTTTCGGAGCGACAGGTACGTGATAAAGAATCCGCTTGGTCAGACTGTTGCGTTGCCCGTGATGAAACCTCGCTCTGCGGCATGTATGGCGAACTCGTATCATAATATTGCCCAAATGAATATTCCAAGTGTTGAATATTTAAGCCCTGAGCAGTATCCATCTCGAATGATCCTAGAGACGCCCGGTCGACTTTACTGTACACGATGGTGCTGTCTCTGTTTCCTGGTGTAAAGAATATACTCGGTCACGAGACGGAGTTGTCGACGGAATAACTATTCGGAGAACAGCAATCCGTCGATACCAGGCTGTCTCGAGAGATTTAAACTGAACTTATGAACAACAAATCGCCCTTGCGTTACCAATCTAGAGAGGAGAAGGACTGAAGAGTTCCAATGTAAGAGTAAGAGTTCTCCGAGTTCACTTTTAAATCTGCGCTTTGTTCAAAAGGGGGAAGGGACTTCCTAGGGCTGACCAACGACGGATGGTTAAAGTGATCAATGAAAAGGACACAATGGGCTTAAGTAACAACAATTCTGCGAGGGTAGAAGAGCCAAAGCGAAGCGTCAAAGGAAAGCAAGGGCTTTCTAGAATGTGGAACCCTGTTCAGGGGATGTCTATGTATGTATGTACGGAGTATGTAGATATGATGTGGACGGGCATGATGAACAAGGGGACATTTAAGGCTGTGACCCGGCCGAGTGGGAATCAGGGTCAGAGGCCAACAGGCCATGTCGATGGAGACGAGATTCGAAAATGATGTGAGCAATATGGATCCCGTCTTATGGTTTCCATGTGAGTCAAACGCTCTGTCCTGGTGCGGAGACGCAATGCCACGACACAAACCACAGAACAGCATCCCAAGTTGACCAGAGCAGAAAGGGTGTAAGAGCTCCCGCTGGCAGACTTCTAGGCTGCCGTCTGGAGGAGCCAGTTAGGGTGATAGGGCAGGAGAGCGTGGCTGCGTGGTCCAGTGCAAGGATGCTTGGGATGCAAAGGCAGGGCCAGGGCCCCTTCAAGAGTGAGGCTAAGCCAGCCCAGATACTGGTCAATACTTGACGACAAGATGCAGCAATGCTCTCGATTCGGAATCGTCCAAAGGAAACATGGCTGCAGCCCCGAGACGAGAGCGCATGGGCTGGTGGGCCAATAAACGGCTGGGGCCAACGCTGTTAGCCTTACGGGTCATCTTAGGGCTGACGAACCGAGGGCCGTCCACGACCAAGATATGGGGAGTGTTTGACAGCCGCTTTTCCGACCATGATAAACCATTGGCAGGCGTGCATCACTGAGAGAAGAGTCGGAAATGAACTGCGGAGATCCCGTCCGACCAAGAGACCTTCAACACGAGTTTCCCGGCTCTGGGAACACCACGTTGTCCATGTAACCAAATCAATCACTTCGTTGTCTGGTGAAGGATCAGTACAGGCATAAACAAGACCCGTGTTTGTACCAAAGCTCTCTATCCCGAGGAGGTGACCGCTGGCGGCCTACCTTGGTAGGTAGGCGTAATGTTCAGCCAACGGTTCGGGCAAGCAGTGCAGCACAAGCGACTACATGGGTACCTAACAGTAGGTAATTCCCAGTGCCAAGGCGGAGTTTCCGAGCCAGACAGTTGATGAGTGAACTTGGAGGGTGACAAAAGCGAACCCCCCTCCAGATTGATAGCAGAATTGTGTGAGCATAGCTGGCAGGTTTGAGACGGTCAGTGACTTGTCAGAAGCTATCTAGAGTGGGTGGGAAACGGCGGGTACAGTAGGCTCTAGGAGGAAGACGACAAACACTGAACAGTGCCTGCTCTGATAAGGTTTCCGCTTATGGAGTGATATCGCCGCCTTGAGCACCGTGATAATATGCCATAGACCTGTCGACAGGCCTCTCTCTGTACGCGGCCTCTTCTCATCTCCCGACTACCACCACCCGCAGCGTAAAACAGGCCGTAGCTTGTTTGAGTGCGACAGTGTGATCTTGTGCAAGGCTCTGCTGTCGTCATTGTTCCTCTGCCGCTTGGGAACAGTGGATCGATCTATGCAGGTCATGTCCACAAGAATGTTGAGCGCGGCTGTTGTAGTGGGTTTGGATACGGCGGTCTGTGTGAAACAAACGCAGTCCTCACCAAAATGTAGTTTTAACGAGGTAGACGAGTTGAAAGGGGACTAGTTACGGCCATGAACGAAGGCTGGCGCAAATCCGTAGTGCTTCGAAGCCATTTCGTGGGGTCCATTTTTGGTCTCATTCCCTCTCAGAACGGCGACTATGATCGACGACACGGCTCCCAGTCGACGTGTTGGTACCCCGTACATTGCGTTTCTCTGCATAGTCAGCCACTGCCGTGGTATGTCTACCAAGTAGCACACATGGGCAAGGACATGGATGAGGCATTGAGAGGGGGGGTGCCAAACCCGGACGGGCTACCTACCTAGGTACCAATCTGCATGCTCCGTACGAGTATATCCTGAAGAGAAATCAGTGAGCCTGGCGATGTGCCTGGCCAATGCGGTCGCCAAATGGGCCGACGCCATCGGTGCGACCGTCGCAGCTCACCCCCCAAGACCTCGCAGAGCCGCAGCCCTGGGTCTTGTCGGCGTCAGCCGTGGAAAGTGTCGTTTAGATGACCACAGGGGCTTTTTGGCGGAGACGAGGAGATTATTGGGACCATTAACGGTAGATGATGCAAACCATGTCGTTTATCGCAAGGCTCCTTGCAATCATGTGTTCGCAGGTGAACCGTCCGGTGCGGATTGTGCACGTGAGCCAATTGATTGATAGGCACCTGCTGCCAAGCAAGGAAGTCAGCACCGGCTGACGACAGCAAACCCGCCGTGCCTGCTCTGATCTTGCCTGCTCTTGCCTGCTCTAATTAGAGAGGAAGGAAGGAGCACTCTGGTCTGGATGTGCTCTTGCCCCGAGTTGTGGTTTTGTCCGGTCCCCTCTGCCACACCCAACCTTGCGGAGATGGCTGCGCGTCCACATTACACAACCCAGCCCCATCCCCATCTACCCTGAACTTGCCTACTGAGGCATTCGTACAAGCATTTTACGCCACAAAAATGCTTGGCCCATGTGAGTCAGGTTGCTCGGAGGAACTATTACTGTATACATTCTCGGGATTTACGTTTAGTCTGTGCGATTATTTCAGCGCGAGCTTCCCTCTTTTGCCGATCACAGTGCCGTGGCGCCTAAGTTGATACTTCTGCCGATCCAGGCTGCTATTTAAATCACCCTCACTTGTGTCTCGTCAGCTTACACAGCGGCCTCCTGACGCACGTTGTATACCTATCCGTGCCACCGTGATAAGTCCATAGTTGACACAGCATGATAGAGTCACTGCGCGGCACAACAAGCACCCAAATCCGTCTGATCAAGAACCAGCCCTGGTTCATCAATTGACCAAAAAAATAATAGCAAACACTATATCCCCTAACCCAGTGTAGCCTACCACTACATCAATTGTCTCTAGAACACCGAGCCGAGAGAAAACGGGATCAAACACTATAATCAAGATACAAGCGGCAATTGGAATTGGGATGCGACGATACGCTGCCGACATTACACCTCGTCCTCGAGGAATTTGTAAGCAAACTTAAAGTCTGCCTTTCTGCGGTTCATCCTGCTCGCGATGTTAGTCGACCCCGAACCCGACCGCGACACGAACATGATATTGTTGGGTATAGGAGACACATACCAAGTGCTTTCATAGTCGAAGAAGCGATATGTGCCCTGCTCAAACTCCTCCGTAATATTCTTGGGCTCTTCATGCCGCTGGAACCACGTCTGATATTGCTTGTGGAATCTCCAGCTTTGATCCTTGAGTGCTTTAGCGGCGAGATACTGCTGAGCAGTTCCCTGCTTATAGTAGAAGACGTAGAACAGAGTGTCAGGGTCTATCCTCCCGTAAAGACGAGGGTCGTCAAAGATGGGCAGCGGTTCACGAGGAAAACCAGAGCCTGTTTGAGGCATCGGAACATCGGGTCGGTAATTCCGAGGGACGTCGGCATCTACCACGTCTGGTAATGCCGCCTGGCTGGCCGCCATCAGTCGCAACGTAGACTGAGCAGAAGGGTGCAGCGGCCGTTTTTTCGATGCTTCATAAGAATCGACTAGATCTTGCAATGACGAAGGCAAGTGATAAATGGACTCCTCTGGTTCCTCCACAATCGGCTTTATGCCATTGGTGGCCCCATTCGTCTGCACTATGATTGACCTTCAGTTAGCACTAAGAACAAGGCGGGCAAACATATAACCAGATCTTACCTGTTGAGCCTTCTGCGTGCTGGGCAACAGCAGGCTGTTTCCCTGTACCCTTCTTCTTGGATGGCCTCGTCATGATGGAAATCTCGGGCTCGGCTGGCGGAGCCGGGGCTTTCGATTCGGAGCCTGTTGCTGGCTGTGCCGGAGCAATAGCTGGAGAATTTGTCGCACTTGTTCTTGGCTGGACTGGAGGCAGAGGTGATATCCCCATGCTGGATCCTGGCGGTGGCGGCAACGGTGCAATGCCTACATTGCCCTTATCGCTTGCGGCAGCGGCAGCGGCGGCAGACGCGTACTTAAGACCCTCTCCAGCTGGTCTTGCAGGCGCAGCAGCTGGCTTCATTGACGGATTCGCAACACCACCAGTGCTTGTTGAAGATAAGGGAGTATGCAATGTAGCGAGTGCCGGCAAAGGGGACCTGGTTTGCGATGAGGCTTTCCGCGCCGAGGCCTCGATCTCTTTGGGTGCTTTTCTCGAAGGTTTTGACGACAGTTCGGGCTCGGGCATAATCTCGTCTTGAACGGATTGCGCATCCTGAGATGAACTCTTTTCGTTCTCCTGGACCATACCATACGTGCCTTCTTCGTCCTCCAGATCCAACTCGTCGTATATACCCTCGTCTTCCATGAAGTCGTCATTCATATTATCCGAGACATAGTATCGAATGTTCTCCTCCATTTCATTTACCTGTTCTGTCTCAACAGCACCGTTCTCCAAAGACCTTCGAATCAGCTCCAGCTTTCCTTGGTGCCATTTATGCCTTTCTATTACTCTGTCGATCTCGGCCATTCGTTCAGCCTTGGCAGACTGGCCCTTGCCTTTTTTCATCGTCGCCTGTATGGATTCGCTTTCGGCCTCTAGGGATTCAATTTGTTGTTCCAAGTCGTCAACCATATTGCTCAAAAATTCGCCGGCTTCAACCTTTGCCTGTTCCTTTGGATCCAGCTTAGCCGCTGCCGATAGCCCTTCTTTGGAGTAAGCCTTGGTTTTCATAGCCTTCTCGACCGCTTTAAACTTTTCCATTTGCTAAAACATTGGCGTGCGAGGTTAGTTTTTTTATTGATCAAAGGTGTGCTTGTGTCACAATGGTACATCGTTGGGCACCAACCGTCTCGATGAGTTTGCGGTGCTCTAATAAAGGAGCCTTGTCCTTGATATCGTTGCTCGCTGCCCATGTTTTGATCTGATCCCGCAACCGCTGGAGCTTCTTGATTTCGCGCTTGAGGTTGTCCTCGAGCTTTTCCTTCTGCGCTGGGTTGTTCGACTGCTCGATCTTGTCGTAGATTGCTTCAAATTCGGCGACCCCCTCGGCCACCTTTTTGAAGCACTTGTCGACTTCCTGCTGTAATTTCCTCGCCGCCATTGTTTCGACAGTGAGGAGCCTCCGAGCCCCGAGCCCCGCGCTCTTTGCCCGATCGTGGTGATTTTTGGGCTTGGGATTGGTTTGAGCGTCGCCTTATGGTTACCCCCAGCGTAGTGAAAAAAGTCAGCTACGTGGAGCTTCGGATGCACACGTCGCGTAGGTGGAAGAAGATGCCCTCGAGCGTCGGTGCGGCGTTGTTAAGTTGTTACTGATGCTTTCTGCCTATGAACTGGCTGTAGAAGTGGTCGTTCGCCCGGCGTAATGCAGTGGAAGTTGGATCTGAATTGACGTGACGGGTTTAGAGATTGGAAGGAGAGGTCACAGCCGTGTGGCTGACTAGCGGTGACTTGTCCTTACGTACGTATTGATGTTAGCGACCAGCAATTTTTCAACGGCCAATGGTTAATAAACAATAGACATGAAATCGGTTTTTTGGCATTTGCTTTATGAAAACTACTTGGATAAATAAAAGAACAATAATTTCAGGCCTTGAATTAAATTTTACGGCAATTAAATAGCAGTGTGCTTCGGGGAGCACTATCTATGAGTACCCGCGGTCGCAAACTAGATGCTAGTCGGATACATTAGCTATCTCACATGACATGGCACTCTGGATTGGACTAGCCAATGGATCAACTAATGATAGGCTGCGCCTTCGAATCATTAGTGGTTGGAACCAAGCACATCACTCACACCAAAAACTGGTCAGTTGCACTCTTTTTAAGTGCTATCCATATCAGCATTGCAGATGGGTGGCCTGGGTTTTACGGCTGGGTGGTAATTTTGTGACGCTTTTTGATACAATTTTGCGAATTTTGTTTCGTGCTTTTTGTCGAGTTTTATCTAGCTCCTACTGGTTACAGCTATTTATTTGGCGCACCCCCACCATAGACATCATGAAAGGTACGTAAGTATATTCCACAACCCAGTGCTAAACCTGCTTCTCTAATGTAATTTTTCCGTACAGCTATCATTCAACGGGTCCTGTCTGCGTCTGTGACGGTGGACAAGGAGGTCATTTCGTCGATTGGGCGTGGGGTGCTCGTTTTCGCAGCCGTGGCGCCCGGTGACTCAGAAAAGGAGGCACAGCAGATTGCCAACAAGGTCATCAAGATGAAACTTTGGGATGATGACAATGGAGGAAGGGTAAGTAGCATTATCGACTTTTGTGTTACCATGCCGTACCAGTGCTCTATTTTTATGTTGTTGCTGACTGGCTTCATAGTGGAAGAAGAGCGTTACGGACATTAACGGAGAAGTGCTATGCGGTACGTAGCTCTGCAGATGCCGAGAGGAGGGAAGCTTGCTTACATGACTGGGTTCTGATGCTCATGCCCAGTCTCGCAATTCACTCTCCTCGCGCGCACGAAAAAGGGAACCAAGCCCGACTTCCACGGCGCTGCGGCACCGGAAGACGCACAGCGGCTATACCACTACTTTGTCGACCAAGTGAAGGCGGGATACGACGCGGAGAGGGTCAAGGACGGCAGATTCCAAGCCATGATGGAAGTGGCATTAGTCAATGATGGCCCGGTATGTGGCTCTTTTGTCTGTCCGTGTGATGACTGCCTACAGATGCAACTAACACTTGAACAGGTTACTCTGGAATTGCAAGCGGGCAGTCAAAACAATGACAAGTCGGAATGAGAGGCTTGTCCGTCAGAGCCAGTGATATCGAGGCCAAAAGCATGCTATAAGATACAAATGTATAGAAAATATACATGAGTGGCATCACCATTGGCCGGGAGCCCTTTGTCTACGGTTGTACGAGGACGAATAGTCGGGCAAGTAGGATTTGGGCATGAATAGAACAGGCTGGATGGCGACACAAAAATAGCGGCATGATTAGAATGTAGTATGTGTAAAATTAGACAAGGCCATCGCTTTCGTCCACACGTGCATGTATCTGCCCATTGCTCGCGATGGCGTTGACGTGCACTGGTCAATGGTAATGGTGCATTCCGTGCACGGCAAGTCAGCTAGAAACTTCCACAGCTCCAACTGGCAAGGTCAATGCAACCCCACCAGCGGATTTTAAGGCCTTGTTATCTCGAATCCACCTCCACACCAACGAAGCTCGAATCCGGTACAACGAGATCTCACTTGATTCCCTTCAAGAGCCCGGCAATCCGCCTTGCGTCACTGACCTCAATCGGCGTCTGTGATTTATCCCGTCTCGATTCTTCCTTGACGTCCGGCCAGGTCATCTGCCACACCCTCCTCTGTAAGTTGCCGCCTTCTCTCCTCGTTGGTTTCACAACTTCGCGCGTACCCTTCGCCGCCTGACGACACTCTCGCCCTTCTATTCCACGCACGTCGAGGCAAGCCGTTTCTCGTCTACACGCCGCCGTATCCCTCGCAGTATCTGAATCCACCAAAAGTGCCCCTTGCCTCTTTTCTCGGCAACATTGCGTTTGGTTCCGAGGGCCAGCCTACTCAAGCACGCGGCCGCGCACCATTTAAGGCCCCCGAGCTCGCAGCTCTACTCAATCCTGCGACCTAAGATAACCCCGCATATTCAAAGGTCAGCATTGCTTTCCATTTGAACACGCGTGCTGACACTCATTTCCAGCCGAATCGTGTGTGCCTCAAAGGCTCCAATTGCCACTGGTGCTATTTCTTTCTTCTGGATTTTCTTCCAAGAGTCGCCTCGAGACCAGAGATAGCTTTGTCTGGTCCTCTCTCTCAGTTCCAAATCATCTTCCCAGTCTACTCGGAGGCACTCGCCCACCAAACCATTCGCCATGACTACTGAAGCCTCCGCCAGACCTCGTGTCTTTTTTGACATTTCCATTGGCGGCAAAGCTGCCGGCCGCATTACAATGGAACTTTATTCCGACTTGGTTCCCAAGACGGTTGAGAACTTCAGGTGTCTCTGCACAGGTGAGAAGGGCAACGGCAAGTCTGGGAAGCCCCTGCACTACAAGGGCTCCGCCTTTCACCGAGTGATTAAGCAGTTCATGATTCAGGTAAGAATGCTCCCTTGACACATGACTTCGAGTGCCTCATGTGTCCATGAGTGTGCTAATTCTGATAGGGTGGTGACTTTACTGCTGGCGACGGCACTGGGGGCGAGTCTATCTACGGCAGCAAATTTGAAGACGAAGCCTTCCCTCTGAAGCATGAGAAACCCTTCCTCCTCTCCATGGCCAATGCTGGTCCCAGTACGTTCTATTCGAATCCCACAGTTGCTTTTGCCACTCCACTGGTCGGCTTGTGATAGTAACCAAGGGCAGATACCAATGGTTCCCAGTTCTTCATTACCACCGTCCCTACTCCCCACCTTGACGGCAAGCATGTTGTGTTTGGTGAAGTTTTGAACGGGAAATCTCTTGTTCGCCAGATCGAGAACCTCAAGACGGAGTCCGGTGACAAGCCCGTCAAGGAGGCCCTCATTGCCGACTGCGGTGAACTTACCGGCGAGGAGGCTCAGAAAGCCGATGTCAAGCAGCCTGATGCCATGGGCGATCCCCACGAGGATTACCCCGAGGACTGCAATACCGAACTCGACGCCAAGACCATTCTCAAGATCGCCACTGACTGCAAGGACTTTGGAAACAAGGCCTTCAAGGCCGGCAGCCTCAACGTAGCCATAGAAAAGTACGAAAAGGGCCTCCGGTACCTCAACGAGGACCCGGACCTGGACAACGAACCCGCCTCCACCAAGCAAAGCCTTGACGCTCTCCGATTCTCGCTGAACAACAACTCGGCTCTGCTCAGCGTCAAGCTCGAATCCTGGGACGACGCTATCCGCCACGCCACCTCTGCCCTCAACGTGCCCGGTGCCTCTGACGCTGACCGTGCCAAGGCTTTGTATCGTCGTGGTGTGGCTCACGTACGCGCCAAGGACGAGGAGGCTGCTCTCAAGGATCTCGAAGAGGCAAGCAACTTGGCCCCCAATGATGCCATGGTCGCCAAGGAACTTGCCTCTGTCAAGACCAAGGCTACCGCGAGAGCGGCGAAGGAGAAGGCTGCATTTAAGAAATTCTTCTCGTGAGGGGCGGTAGTGTATAGATTTTGTAAATGATGACGAGAAACTCTTCTGAGATGTACTTCTGGGACATACATAAAAGTAAAATACAATTGAGGCCAACTCTTTGACATATTGACGTTTGAAAGCATGTGCTGGCGAATTTGACACCGGGATACAAAATAATTGATGCACTTGTATAAAATCCGAGCGCCCAGCCATGCTGCTGTGTTCTGGCAAAACATTGAAGCCCGTTTGTAAATGATATTTAAATGAGCGGTATTTTGGTAGACATATCTCCCGCTAATCATACACAGACCACATATTATTCTAATCATTAGCCCATCACCTCTAAGATTACGGAGTAAGTGTTTGTCGAATGATATATTTCCTATGTACCACGCCGGTACTCCCTCCTTTGCCTCCTTCAACACAACGCTGGCCACCTACCCAAAATGCATGTCCGAGCAATGCTAGCTCGACATTGTAAAGAAAAAGGGTGAAATAAAGAAAATGGTTAGCAATCATCATGACTCAAATACAAGGGTCATCTGGAACCCTTTGCATCGGGGCTCTCTGCCCGTCCCCCGATCCTCATGATGCCGTTCAATATGGTTCTGCCCACTTTGCCGTTCTTGCTGCTTTTGGTGGCACTTCCCATGCCGCTCACTTGGCGTAGCCCACCCGCCTTTCTGTACTCGAGGCCGTCTCTACCACGACGCCATTCTTTGCTTTTGCGGCGGGATCCGCTTTCGTCGCCGCCGTCGCTACCTGAACTACCCGGTGGCCGGTCATCGCCTGACGAGGATGGTAGGGAGTAGGGGACGCTGAGAGATTCTATAAGAGTGGCCTGTTCGAGCGACTCGGCAAGTTGTTCGGCCACGCCGCGAGATGCTGCGTTTGCTGCGCGTGTACGCTCAACTTGGGCTAAGCAAGCATCGGCGCGTTTCTGTAGGCCGGTGCATAACTCGTTGAAGATGAGGAGCTCGCCGTCTGCTTGGCCCTTCTTGACGTTTTCGGGCCGTGAATCTACCCATATGCGAACCAGGCTAGCGAAGCTGCGGGCATGGTCAATTAGATATGGTAAACTGGGGAATCCTTCCTTGGCTGCAGAGCCCAAGCGACCTAGTATAGTGATGGGCGTGCTGTAGGCAGCCGGAACACTTTTTACACTGCCGCTTTCGGCGGGGATGCCGCATACTTGGTCAATGTAGTCGCGGAATACGGGGCGCTGGGTAGTCAGAAACCTGTTCATGGGCTCCATCCATTCTTCGCGTTTGCCAAAGGTAGACATGTTGGACATCTTTTGCAGCACCTTTGCGATCAAGGTCAATGTTCGCTGAGCCCGCGGCTGGGGGTGGTCTCGCAGCAGACCAAAGAGTTTAGGTGACAAGATTGCAGGGCAAATGAAGCGAAGGAACAAGAAACCGGACACGGCAGTATAGGAAACCGTTCGAAGGAAATCGCCGTAGCGGTCCTCAGCAACAGCCCGAATATACTTCAAAATGTGCCATAGCTCACTTGGCAAGGAGTGCGCCGATTCTGCAATGCAGTGCCACACTTCCATAGTATATTGTATCAGTCGATTCCACCTCTGGTCGATGTCTGTACCACTGCAATTGGACAGCCTACTAGTATCAACCTCACAGTCGGGATTCAACTCATTGATCTCAGCAATCTTTTCCTGCAACACCTCTTCCAGGTATTCCATGCCCAAGCGCCGCATATGAAACTCAAGGGATTGTGTGAGTAGGGTATTCCCGCGAAACAGCAGATTGGCTTCGCCAGCAAGTGACTTGCTCATGTCTCTCACGATCAGCTCCCTCTCACTGGGGGACTCGATCGACTCATTAGACTTCAAACGGTTGCTGAATCGAAATTTTTTCATGGACGTGGCATTTCCGATGCCGTCAATTTCGTCCTCGACCAGCGCCATGAGCCAGTCAGCCGCATGGCCAGACGCTTGGAATATATTGAGGAAGCTCTCGGATAGGCGGCGCAACTGACCGGGTAAGGATGCTGATATCATCGTCGTCAAACCCGACGTGAATCGATGAAGGATTTCGGATAGTGGTTCATACTCGACGGCAAGTAGTGCGATTTGTTCCGCATGGGAAATTTTAATCAACATGGAACCAATCGGCTGTTGCTTGTCATCTATGATCTGCAGCCAATCCTCATGATCCTTGCCTCGTTGAAGTTTATCCAGGGCAATGTGCACAGTTCCGTACAAAGATTCCTGGTTCGGCCCAGGCTGCACTGCTCCAGATCCCGTCGATGCCGTATCAGGAGTGCCATCAATCCGCTTCAAGACAACAGAGACCTCCTGTACGGTATGCGGCAAGTCGACAAACTCGCAGTCTTCTCTCCAGTATGGGTTCTTGGTTGCCAGCTTCGTCGTGGTTCTCGCCCTGACTTCGCCGTCTAAAATTACTTCGGCGACATAATTACCAACCAAAGGATCTTGACCGGCTCTGAAAGGCTTTTCATATACATGCGCTTCCAGACCGGCAGGCCGGGCTTTGACTTTTGCTTCTGTTACTCTTACACCAATAGTCTTCTCTATTCGGAATGTCTCTTCACAGGCTCTTTCCTCCAAATCGGCCACTTCCCGGATGGAGTCTTGATCGTTGGCATCCAACGTATATAACTCTGGCACTGCGAACGCCCGAAGCAATACGAACCACACCTCGAACTGTACACGATTGTCCAGAGCCAAGTAAACAGGCCTGAATATGGATAGTTTCGTCGCCGTGCTAGAGTATATTGGGAAAACTGCCAGACAAAACTCCTCGTCCAGCACCGTGTGGTCAAGTTGCTGAATGGCACATCTTGACAGCTGTGACAGTTGTATGACACAGAGAGGCGAGATATCGTTTTCTAGGAGCAATTTCAGTTCACCGTTGTCTTGGAGAATGCTAGATATCCTCCTCCATGTTGCGCCTGGTGATAGGGCACCTCTGGTGGATGATCGCTGGACTAGGTCGTTGGCGGAACCTGTAGAGCCCTTATCCCACAGCAAAATAGTTCCAACTTTGATAATAGTTGCAGCTTTGGAACCTTCTGCTGGCGTTCCTGTCTTGTGGATGGGCGGTCCAGCAATGCCGGCGGGGATGTTGTTCCCAGCACCATTCTGCACTCTTGGTGCCAAAGGTCTTGTTTGCTGCCAGCATAAGAATGCAGCAAGCCACAAATTCCACTCTTCGGGAACTACAGGTCGCAAATATATTTCAGCTGTAGGGCTCGTGGCAAGGAGCTTGAGGCAATCCTTCCCATCATCAGGATGGTTAGTGGGAAGAACGATACAGTTACGGAGGTCGGAAATGAGGGTGGCGAAGAACGGCCCTGCCTGACCCGAATTGTACATGAGGCACCCCTTTTCGTCATCAATATAGGCAATACCGGTATGCCAAACACCGTGATCACCCTCCGTTTGATACTCAATTTCGCCCCGCATTCGGCCACCAAGTGTTTTCATCAACATGATCAACTTGGTGGGTTCAGAGACATGAATAGGCAGTGGAAATGAGTCAACAGAAGGAGAAGGGGTGGGGACTGGTGAAGAAGGTCGAGATGCTTGTCGTTTTAATAGTCGCTTGCCAGACCTCTTTTCCTTGGGCTTTGACGGTGTTTGAGGCGTAGCCGGCTCCTGGAGCCGGGAAACATTTGTCGATGAGTAGCCGACAGACTCATTTGCAGGAACTGGGGAACGTTGGTCATCGAGGAGTGGCTGTGACCCAGATGAGCTGACACTACCAACCCTATGTCTTTGATCAATTACCGTTGGCGTTCGCTGCGGCATTAGCATGGCTGCATCCAATGTCCTCGTTCGAGGTCGTATTGGCGCACTGGGGTGTCTCTGCTGTAGCTGGAGTTGAGCCCCTTGCTGGGTGCCAGCTTGCAACGACAGAGGGGATGCTGCAGAATCGGCCCCGTCGTAGGAATTGTCGTCAAGGTTGTCACTAAACAACACTATGCCCTGTCGCCGACTGGCGCTTCTTGGAACAGTCAAGGGAGAAACATGCTGCATATCGCGAGACATTTCCAGTGCCGAGCTGTCAAGTGCACCTGCGCCAAGCCGGCGGCCATCTGATGAGTTGTCTGGAGTTGCAGAGCGCATGCCACTGCTTGTTTCCGGCTTGAATGCCGCGCGCAGAGATGACGCGGCGGCCACCGCCGCAGCAGAAGGATTCAAATCGGCCGCATCGGGCGCCGCATCTACTGGCGGCGAAGGAGGTGGGACAGTAGGTTGCTTGGGACTCTGGAGAGTGTCCCGGATCTGCGATGGCTGCTTGTCTCCAGAGTCGCTACCGGCGTCGGTAGGGGGTGGTTTTTGTCTTTCCATATCTGTTGATGACATTACTATGCCATTTCCTGATTCCGATCGACGGTTGATGCTACATTGAGAGCTCGTGGAACCCTTTTGATTCTACTTCGCGAATCTCTTCAAGGGTGCGCCCTTTTCTTTTGTTCCCGATACGTTTGCAATCCTCGGAATCGCGGAAGCATGTGAAACAGGAGTTACTGATGTGCGCCACGGCGATTGTATTCCCGTGAGAGCAGCAGCAACCCCGACAACAAGCCCAAGAGTGGGAAGCGAGCTTGTTGACTGTTGAGTAACGGGTCAAGCCCTTTGCCCCGCGCCTGGTGATTCTGAACGTTGTGCTTTTGTATAGCCACGGTCAGCAACGAGCAGCCATTCTATGCGACAGAATGACGATGCGTGGTCCGTATAGGCGACGAGGGCTCCCACCGTAAGAGGCAGCGACGGCGGTTATATGGCGGAGAGTTCAGGTTGTATACGATGACTTCGCAAACCGTTGGAGTGGACGGGCAACTGTCCGCCAGACAACGGTGTCGGGACCGGAACCGACGTTTGGTGTATATCTGGGTATCTTTAGTTCTCGCCCCGCGGAAAGCTGGCCTCACTTCTGGACGGCCAGGTTCCAAGTCTAGCAGGCTGAAGCTCGTGCCAAGCGAGGGCACGGGCAGCTTTAAGCTCAACCGGCCAATTTACGGCGTGAACTTCAGGTGTGCGTAGAGAGGGCTGGTCGGCAGTAGGCCAGCATGATTCTGTACGTGTGTATGGCGGATTCGACAGGTCGGTTCCTTGCAGTGTCGTCGGTCGGGGGCGGCGTATGCAGCAGGATGAAGTGGTCGAATGGGTGACAGAGACGGTGTTGGTGACTGTAGTCGAATGCGAACTTGGGAAACTTGGGGGAGTGAGGGCGGGGAACTCGGGAGTACATTGGCGGGCTGGAGGAGTGGTGTGGTGTGCGTGTACCGCCTTGGAACTGTCTGGTGCCCGGGCGCTTAGGTGGACAAGAGGAGCTGATTTAAGTTGGAAGGTGCAAGTCAGGCGCCGTGTACATTAGGTACCTCCTGTCCAAGTACCGTGTAGCGAGTACCGGTTCCGTAACGAGCACGTAACCGCGCTGGGATGACAGGTGGGGCTACTCTGGACCACTTTGGACCACTTTGCACCTCTTTGGGACTCCTTGAGCTTGCGCGACCAGGGGGCTGACTTTAGCAGGGAGAGGACTGGCCCCATCATTCGTCTAGGGCAATAATCCATTATGTATGTCCAGATGTCCAATGATGCCAAGACGAATTAAGTATGTTTGCGTATTAAAGTGCTGGTTCTCACCTACCTAAGTGGAAAGATATGGTAGGCACTTGCTGGAGAGGCATAGAAACGCGTTGCGCTGAGAGACGCACTTGTGAATGCCTGCTGTGCTCGGATCAACGTTGTTTCGCCAGTTGCTGAGCCTGAACAACTCAAGTACTAGTACTACCTTGGGGAGGCACATAAGCCCTAGTGAACGAGCGGCGGGAAGTGGGAAGTGGGAGGTGGCGGCACTGGGACCACTGGGGACTTGGTACTTAGCTGGGCAGGGCGCCGACTGGCCTAGGCACTGGCACAGTGGGTACTTACGTAAGTAAAGTACCTAACCTACCTAGGTACTTGCGCTGTAGTCGCTGGAGTGCGTACTGCGCGTTACTCTCTCAATTCATGTCTGGGGCTTGCCAAAGGATAAGTTCAGACGAGCAAGACCGCCGGCCTTCTTCGATTGCACATGCCACTTGCGCAATTCCGACGTCGATCCTCCAAGACTCACCAGGTATCATGGGCCTAGGGCCTGGAGGCTGGGCTAGCTGCCAATGTCTTTTCTTGACCCCTGTCGCAAGATTGCTAGATCTGCGAGAGTGCAAGATTCGTAACATGGCCGTCATACCTCCGAGATCAGCAGCTACCTACTTACCTAGGAAGGTACTACTACACTCAAAACAGTACTTGGAAGCAAGCACCCCGATTATACATACTGTAAGTTACATATGTACAGACATCGGCTCTGCTCTCCGTATCAGGAACTGGCGGCAAATAAGGCTCTGCAGACTCTACGCTGATGATGGCTTTGTTGTCGGTCCGTCTACGAACTCCTAGCACGAGGACCTGTACACTTTATTCGCTCTGACTTTTCTTCTACTATCAGGTACGGAGTAGTACATCCCTCAGGAGGTGGTTGTGGCTGGCAAGAATTCCGCTGTTGTTTTCTGTCCGACGTGGTCCTCGCTACCCCATCACACGCCGCAATAACAAGCTTTCTCCCGAGTCCGCTTGTCTCATTACAGACATTGTATCGTACAGGACGACCCAGGTACCCCCACCCCTGTGCCATGGATCTGGTAAATTGGCAATCATTATCCATGAACGACGCAGTACGCAGTACGGTGTATGAAATCCACGCCCCTCCCAAAAAACCCGAGTCGCAGTCTTTTCCGAATCGCTCTTCAACTCGCGATCCGATACTACACCATATGGATCTTTTTCGTCAAGATTGTCAGTTGTGGATTCTGGGGCACGAAGCTCAAGTGGGTCGATGAAGCTTTGACAGACATCAATCTGGACTCTGGACTCTCAACCTTCTCGAGACCTCGCAAAAGAGCGGGGGCTAAACGAACAGCCAGTATCCGCCGACCATGGAAATGGCGTCAAGCTCTCTGTTGCCAGTTGGGCAGCTAGCTGATCGGGAGGCAAATTGTGGCTGTTTCTTGTTAAATGCCTCTTTTCTTAACCAGATGCCTACTGATCTAGGCCAGTCTCGTGGCCTCAACGGTGCGAACTCCTGTTCAGAAATGTACTTGATCAATGGATTCTTCATGTAAGACTATTGACGCGTTACATCACACAGCCGTTTCTCGAATGTACTCAAGGCCCCACTCCCGTCAATAGTGCCTGCTTGATGACTGTCACGACCCAGATAGCCGGGACGCGATGCCGCCTCGTGGCCTCATCCACCATAACAGGCCGGGCGTTATGGCCGTGCTGGGTTGAAATCTGTGCTTCTGATGCGTGGCACATACGTACTATGCTTCGGAACCTCTCAGCCACTGCCATACAGAGGTGCGAGAAATCAAATGCCTCATCTCTTACAGTACGGAGTATTTCGACCTAGTCTCTCAGGCATTTTAAGGCTTGCAGCGCGGGCCTAGCGGTTTGAAGTCCGTCTCATTTCCGGTTACGCCTGCACACGGTTCCAAATTTCTCCCTACGGGCATACGGAAGCGTCTGCCGGCTACCCTCTTTTAGTTCCAATGGAACTAATGAGAAGCGTGGACGAGTCATCCAGGCACTGGACTCGGTGCACGGCGCAGCTTGTCGTTAAATTCTGGACTAGGCGTATGTCATCCAAGACAAGTGTCAGTTCAGAGCCAACATAGGATTTTCATACGTCAGGCATGCCCTTTTTCTCTTTGCCTTGCCCAGAATCAGACAACGGGATCTTCATGGAAGGCGTGTTCAATTGCAACGTCGGCACAACACGTGTGTTCCTGTTCAATGTTTCGTGCTCATGCTGTCGGCCCTTTTGCCCCTTATGTATAACCCGACCACCTAACTCTAGAACACAGCCTCGGCGCCAAATCCAAGACCTTAGCCTCCCTCGTGTTCCTGTTACTCGGTCTGCCATCAGTTTGCCATGTGAAGGATTCATTGCCGTCGGGTCTGACTCTCAGCCTGCTACGCCTCTCGCAGTCCGTGGCGGCGGGGGAATTGGTCAAGCGACAGAACCAATAGTCGTGGTTCAAAAACCGTTGCTGGGCTCCAGTACAAGAGCATTCCGATGCCCTACAGCTTCTTCGGACTGTTCATGCGGCGAAAGCTAGTGTATTTTGGCGCAAGGGTGGCTTGTTGGCGGAGGAGAACCACGCCGACGGCTGGCAATCAAGCGGTGGCTTGGGGGACGGAACGTTGAGCGAGGAAGTTCATCCCTGAATCAAGGCATCCAGGTCAGCCAGCCGCATTACGGAGTAGATGTTTGCCAGATGCGCTTGATGATTAGTCTACACGGCAAGACCTGCAGAGGCATACCCAGCGTCTATGACTCGTCCCAAGACACGGCTGCACCCCTGAGGTCAGCTGTGCGCCCGCCGAATCAATGGCTCTCTTCCACTAGATGTCTTGAAGCCTTCCAACCTATTTTTTTCGGCTGGTATTGGCTCATGGTGAGCAAAATGCATCGTGTATCAGGATATTCTGGCTGTCCGGGTGTAACCGAATCGTAGCCGTGTCTGACATCGGACGGATGGACAGGGTTGCCCCTTTTTCCTTTACGCCAACCTAATCCCTGTGTAAGTTTATCTTCAGGCGAGCTCCATAAACCAGACCGTTTTACCAAAGGTCCAGTCGGCACACGCACATGGGTGTGGGGGCGATGCGCGGTTGTCTGGTAGAGGTGCATGTGGTGTTATTAGGGAAAGACGGTGGTTAGGAGACCAAGCAGCAAGTATGGAGTACGCGCCAATGATCCATAGAGGCGAAAGAGGCCAGTTGACATGGTCTTGTTTGTCCATGGCTGATCGAATTACTGTTTGGCGGCTCACCTCGGCTGGCGAGACTCATCGTGATTTGCAATACCCGGCAAACCACTTGCAAAGGACTCGCTTCAGACGCGCCGTCAAGGCTGGCATTCACCGACAAACCGCACACCGCATCCCCGAACCCGCACACCATCGCTTTACACAGCGGCACGGGAATCTACTCCGTGCTCAGGCAGCTCGGCACATCGGCCAGGCCTCCAGTCTGCAGATGCCGCCATCCAAGCATTGACCGAGCCCGCCGCATCCACCCATCTTGCCCCCTTGTCCCAGCAAACCGTCAGCACGTCTTTATCTGAGACCAAGTGGCCGTCGCAGAAAAGCGTCTTGACTCGTGTGCGCAGCGTTTCATGTCCCAGTGGAGTTTTGTTGACCACGCTTGAAGAAGAAGAAGAAGAAGAAGAAGAAGAATAAAAATGAAATAAAAGCGACATGAAGATCAGGATCGAGTACTTGGGAAACTCGGCCCGTGTACAGCCATGTACCGTGCTTTAGTAGATGACAAATGACTTGGAAGAAAAATAAATGAACTAATCAAGGGCCAAAGGTCTATTTCGGCTCTCGAAAACATGCTAGTTGCCCGAGGGCAAGGATATACGGTTCCGATATTCCGTACTCCCGTCCCGAATAGATTAAGAGCCTCACCGATTTTTGGCCTACTCGCCACATTCGCGCCTTGACACTGAGAATCTCTTCAAACACACTGATGGATGGCCTCAGGTCCCTTCAATCACGCTCATATCGAGGCAATACCGTACTGCAAACTTCAATTCTTAAAAGGCCGATCCATTGGTTCATCTTATTCACACGGCTAATCCCTACAGCTTTCTTGACACCTAACGATGTAACAGGGGTTTCACATTGTGTAATATTTGCAGTTTGCTTGACGCCAGCCATCACAGGCTCTTCCAACTCCCAATTGCCAAAAGATATCACCAAGTTTCGACGCTATTCGCATGCCACCTGCTAGATAATAAAAATAATAACGAATGTTTGTCGAAAAAAAAAACTCCTCCATGAACCCTTCGTGGCCTCCGGGGACATGATATCAGGGATTGAACAAAAGCGTCATGTAAAAAAAATAATTTGCGCTGCTTTTGTGGTATATGCTCGTCGGCCTTTGTTTTTTTTTATAGCGCAGGTGAGATTGTATTTATCGAGAACCTGGACCGTCGAGTGGGCTTGTCGGGTTACTTCTAAAACTGCTCAGGTCGGCGCTTCCAGTTCGTCTCAGAGCCTGTCTCATTGTTTCGATATTGAGATCGCCGCCTGGAGCAGCCAGATTCTGTTGCCCGGGCTTGGGGCTACCAAACGGTTTTCGTGTTGGGCTCATCTCGACTCCCTTCATGCTCCCCGGGTTACTTGTTGGTGGACTTGTTCCCTGTCCTTGGCTGGACACGGGTGATCGGATGGGCGATGGTGATCGATTCAGAGCTGCAGACGGAAGCGAAGTTAATCCCACCATGTGAAGGCTGTCCCGCGACCCTGGTCCTCCGGCTTGATTCCCGTGTTCTGCCTGAACAACGTCTGCAAATGAGATGAACGATAGCCGCCGCACGTCGGCAGAATCCAGCGATCCGTAATTGGACGCACTGTCCGGAGGGAGGCCAACGCGGCTGGCAAACGAAGCCAGCTCAGCGGCCCATTCAGAGGCCATCTGGTCGTACGGTGACGCAAGTCCTCCAGAGGCACCCGTGACTGTTACCGAGGCGGGCTGGTGCGACGTGTGTGTTACAATTTCCACTGCGTCGGGATCCAGTTTCTCGTTGGTGATTGCCTCTGAGGCATCGTCGAGGACGGGGGGGATGTAGTTTTCGGTTTGAATGTGAGTTGGAATAGCAGGAGAGTTGGGCTTTAGCACGGTGCTGTCCTGTACGTCTCTCTCAAAAATCTGTGAGCCGGCTGGAGACGACACCCGTGGTGAGCTGGAGAGAGCTCGACCAGGCGATGATGGGTGCACGAACACACAATGCTCGCCGGTATGCACGCGTGTTGGGGATGCGGTAATTTTCGATGTCGTCGGTGATGTTTTGGATGGTTGTGATGCCACAGGCGACGTAGGCACCGTGTCGGAGCCAGCGGTCAACGAGCTGCTGCCCTCCTTCTTTTTTCCAAATCCAAAAAGGGACCGCTTCTTGACCTTTGCACCCTTCTGGTTCTCCATGTTGGGATCTGAATCGGTCTCCTTGACAGCATGGGGGGTAGAATCGTCGAAACTGCTATCGTCGGCGACGTCACTGCCTCTCGGGAACCGCTCTCCCCTCTTTAGAGTTGGCGATTCGGCAAGACTCATGATGGCGACAAAACGGGGACGGGGAAAGGGGCGAGAGAAACCCGTATGCTCTTATTTTTCGCACAGGTCAAATTAAGCAGAAATAAGGGGAGACGTTGTGGCAAAGCAGCCCCAGCGATCCTTCTTGTCTCTGGTGCTGTCAGGGATGACGACAGTCCTTCAGCCGTCACCCAATAGTGCCGGAAGCCAGGTCCGGTGCTGCGGGTTGCACGGGCGTGGTCTTTGTGTTGAACACGAGGCGGAGCATCAGCACCAGCAGAAAGGATGCCAAGGCTCGAGAACCAGCAGAGTTTCTAACCTTGTCGACATCAACAAGCTCGTGTGCGGGAGTGCTTGGACGAGAGCACAGAGGAACGAGAAGTTGGCCACTTCGCAGAAGAGCTGCAAACGCAAATAAGGGAAGGCATGAGCCCGGCATGGCAATCATGGGCAGGTGACGCACTTTGACTTCGGGGAGCACCTGCCGGGATTGGCCAGAGCTGGCCGAGGCAGGGACCAGGACCAGACACAGGCAGACGGGAAGAGGGGTCAATGGCAATGGCTCCAGATGTCCGTCTTCTGCCTCTGGTATTGGACAGTGCACATTGACAGGCAGCGTTGAATGGCAGTGCATCCCTTGACAGGCTTTCGACTGACCATTACCATCATTCGGTTGGCAAGTTGCTTCCTGCAAAGTTCCGGAAGGCTCCTAGCTCCTGCTCCTAGCTGACAAGCTGACAAGCTGACACCAGTTGACCAGATCCGAGACCCGCTCCAGCCCGAAGACGACACACTCGAAGCTTTCCGAAACTGGGACGATGCAACACAGGCATACATACCTAGGCACACATATCGAGGCTTCACCTGGCAAAGTTGCTGTTGTCTCCTTCTGGCCTGCCACTGACTCCGGCACCGTCGACACGTCTGCTATCCTTACCATATCCTGCCTGACATAGGCCCGTTCACACCAAATGCCTCCGGTCAGAGCGAGCAATTAAGGGGGGCCGAACACTTAAAGCCTGTATGGCCCTCAAAACTCAGGGTTCCATGGCTAAAATTACCAGGCAAGCATCTCAAATCCCAGCAGCTCCGACGAGTCGTCCAGGGTCGGGGCTCTCTCTGGGGTCTAGCGTGTTTGGTGCCGTGGGCCAGGTGGGTTTGGCTCCCAAGCTCCTTCATCGAGACTACTTTTTTAATCAAGAGGATTCGCAGTCGATCCAGCATGAGAAGATAAGAGGGTGGGACAGACTGCTTGAGCCATTATTTGTTGTGCGAGATGATGCGGACGACGTCTTCATGATGCGCTGAGATTCGGGGCGTCACTCGCCTTACCGAAGATCAGCCTGAGACTGTGGCACCATGTCTTACAAACTGCTTCAGCCAAGGAGGGTGCTCATGTTTCGTACCACACAGTTGACGCATCAATACGGAGTGCCGAGGAAATGAAAAAGCAGAAGCCGAAGGCCAAAAAATCCAAGGCTGTATTTATCACCTTCAACTCCCCGTCATTACTTCATCGATCATCTCACTCGAGTCCCTTTCGCAACACTTGGGGTGGGGTGGGGTGACATCAACCATCAATCACCAACCCCCGGTTCAGAAGTCAGGGTTGCGCTCTCATCTCCCAAGAGCCGCATCTAAACTGAGCTCAAACCTTCCTATAGAGACTGGGAGTTGAGAGATGTGCAACAAACAGCCTGTGCTGTTGGTGTCAGGTATTGGTGAGTCGAGGAAATCGTCGACCCCAAGGATGCTACTTTGAACTGTGCAAATCTAGGAACTAGATGATGTTGATCGATTTCTGTATACCGCGTGAGCCGGTATATTGCTATATATCAATCGCAGCCAGTGAATCCGGTTGCCTACTCAACACGAATTTACGGGTTCTACATCACAAGCCAGAAATATGCGGCTACGTTCATTCATGAAGCTGCTTACAGCAAGACTCATCTATATACCTCCCCAATAAACTGATTCAGTCATTCAGTTCCACCGAACTCCAAAATCCTGGGCCGGCCCCGTGATGCTACCCCTCCTTTAGATTGGCCCCCAAACCCCAGCCAGCACATGCCATCGCATCACCACCTATGCCATGCCGGAAACTGCTACTCGTTCCCCATGAGCGAGGGTGCTTCCTGTGCAATGATATCACAAGGTAGGCCTGTTTTGAGCAGCCAACCCATGTCCTATCACACTGTCCATGGATGGTCTGAACAGGACGGGAGAAGTTCCAACACCATGTGGACATATTACCACATTCAAAACAGCATGCTTTTGAAACGAGCAAAGAAGATTGGGATAGACAGAGAATATGAAAGGGACAAATTTATCTCGCACATGTGAGACCACCTTCTCGTGATGCAGTCTCTGCTTCTAACCTCGTTTTTGTGCGCGGATCAATGGGTGCAAATCCAATACCTAGACTGCTCTAGCCGCACATACGCCCGAGTACGTCTGATGTTCGAAAAGAAAGTCCTGGAAACATTCCCTCCTATGTCTATGTCTACCAACGGCCCTGACAGGTGCGGAGTGTGGACAAATATATGGCTCATAATCGCATCAAGTGCAGGTGAGAAGGCTGAAAGTCACTCTCACCGGGGCATACCTTGTCTGATAGTATTGCACAATTCTCATGTCCTGTCCCGAAATTGATCGAAATAGTGCATATCACTCATTACGCTGGCCAGCTTTTCCCAAAACTTGACGCTCCTGTTGTCCGCATTATTTTTGAGGTTTGTTATGCTTCATTCCTTTTCATCATGTCACCTTCAATCATGCTCCTTTTGCCATATGTAAATGGAATACACTAAATGTCTGTCAATCTAGCCTTTAACAACTATTCACTGTGAAGCATGCGTAACTATCGAAACACAGGTACATCGCCGCACTTTTTTCTTCTCGAGACTTTAGCAGTATTGTGCCAAAGTCAATGTTATGCATTGGTACAGCCTTGCCTCTTCATGACGGGCACCAACTACCTAGGTCGCCTAGGTAGTCTCATTCAACCACGATCATACTTTGAGTCTGAGGAAATGTAAATGTCAGCGTCACTTCTCGACCTCCGAGACATAAGACGTGGTCTTATCGCCAAGGTCATCACTATGTCAACCCACCATGAAGTTGCCGCTGGGCAAACACACATATGATATGAGCAGCACGGTGTTTACCTGAGAGTACTTTCTCATTCATACTTTCAGCTTCATATCTAATATCTCGAAATGTCTGGCGCAGGCTGCTTGTGAATTCAATGCCGAAATGAAGGCCATGTTGGAAATTGGAAGGCGTGGCGACACAATATGCTGGCCGCATTCTAAAGTAAGCACACTACTACTGACTAGAGGGATATGAAACAATATGACGACCACCTGTTGACGCTCAAATTTACTTTTTAGAAGCTTTTGAAAAGCCATGTCTTTCTGTTCTCACTATACCACTGAGCAGCAGTAAGCGCCATAAGCGGAAAAAAGAAAACCGCCATGCATATGAAGTCTTCCCAGACTATTGCGCATTCGAGGTCATTCACAGCCCCCCGCGGATACGATCTGTAATAGTATTCTTATACGCGTGTTTGTCTTATGCCATGCCGAGCCCGCGGTTGTAAGCTGGGAACGATGTCACCTCCACTTCATGGCTGAAGGTTATGAGAATTTGGCAATCGGGTTGTCCTTGCTCCCTTCGGAGCTGAATCAAGCAACACGGATTTGAAGCACTGACAAATGATAGCCATTTGAGACGTCTCGCAGCCTCACATCTGTCATATTTTAGGCTGTTTCATCAAGATTGTCTCTTGTATGCTTCGCCAGCCTCTAAACACCATCCTTTATCATCATCTCCCTACATATCCCTACACGCTATCTTTTTCGCATTGTACCCTATCCCCTATTATTTAGTGACGAGATGAACCCGACTGCCAGCATGGTGAGCAGTGAGCCTGTCTACGTTGTTCACGACTTGCGACAGGGACACTGGTTGCTCCAAAGGATAAGTCCATCGAGTAAGCGCTCACATTTTCTTAGCCTTACACTGCAGTGTATTGTTGGGCGTGAACCGACCGGTTGAGCCGACCGACTCACCCCTTTCGAATAGGCTCATTTGCGTTCACAGTCTAGCTGGTCACGCTTGCAAAACTTGGACACACTCGTAAATTGGGACATTCTGGATCCGCGATTTGCTCCCGGATAGGCTCCCAGGACCGGGCCAGGAGTATGCACTCCAGTCCTTGCTTTCAACGCCAGAAAGCAGAAACACGAATCCGAGTTAAATTTCCGAGATGTCACAACGCAGCTTATAGCGGGATGAGACAGTTATTAGACGCACGAAGAGGTTTGCTCCACTGCTGATCAGTGACGACACGAACTTGCCACACTAACCTCGGGAGCTGCCCATCGATTCAATAGTTTGCATGAGCTGATCTATATTTCCCGGTTGTAGCAGCAGGCGCGTCCAATCATATTATGCGGCCGATAAGCTGGGTGGCTCGATAACCAAAAAGACACACGTCGATCCGTTCAGCTCTCGTTTCAACACCAAGCTTCAAACACGCTGGAGCTTCCGTCCCAACTTTCGTCTGGCCCCGTGTTCCACGTTTCTTGTTCCCGTCCCCTGTTCCTTGCTCTGAGCCCCGACTAAAAAACTGATGTCCTCCTTCGCTGGGAGGCTATCACCCTCTCCACGCCGAGACGAGGCTTACTACGGCCTGTGCAAGGGGGTTCGTAGTCTTTACGACGCTACGTTTCGGGAGCCATCTCACAGATTTCGCATCTACCTTAAAGTCTCTTTGAAAATAATTATGGAACCGCCCTATGACTTCATTCGTGATCTTTGTATCTCGTGACCAAGTCTGTATGTGTTCCTTCAGCTCGGCCTCTATGCGGGTGTGTGAGAGAGCGCAGAAGGAAAGAAGCAATTGTACACTCTAGCATGCTAGTGCGCACTGTCCATTGTGGCAAAGCAATCTCTTTTTCACATAGGCACCTCTTGTCTGTAATCATTGGTCACTAACGTGACGTCCCGCCCAGCTTGCAGTTTGACTCGGACTCCAAAGGCTTCGTCTGGGAGAGATGCATTCCATGCACCAGTTTCTACGAAGGTGAAAAGATGAAGAAGGTGTTCAGGAGAGTGACCAGGGTTAGCTTGCTCCTTTTGTCACATACAAACCAAATTACCTTGTGCGAATGCCAGTTGTCGCCAGATTATGGGAAAATGGTCTGCGAAACTCTCTATTGGTGTCTCGGGATGATCCATGGTCGCTGATCCTGGACAACGCCTATCATTTGCAAGACATGTCGCCTTATCTGTCTCGTCTTGTCCACGGGGGTCACATTATCGTCACAAGGCAATATTCACGCGTCCATGTCTGCCGCCGGCAATAGACTCGGCGGGTGCGTATACGAGTGTTCGAAAAAGGAGCGTCCCCGAATACACTTGGCTCTTCTTCCTACATCGAGCGCGAGTCACTGAGCGTTCTTGAAACGGGGTGTCACACTATACAAAGTCAATCTATTAGGAGCTTGTATACACTACATATACTAGAAGACCTAGAAATTAGTATTGTGGCCAGCTCTGGCGAGCACGAGGGAGGAGACATGGTAGAGCCACAGGTTCCATGTGTGCCAAGGGCTGAGTTTAAACATGGATAATTTGAATTTGAGATTTCAAGGCTGATAGGTCGGTTGTATGTTATCCTGAGACTCCCTGTGGTATATTGGTAGCGCGAGTTCACTATCCCGGCGTATCTGCGACTCGCGCGCAAGTGAACAAGAAACACATAGACTAGCTTGTGCGGATATAGTCCTTAGTTTTCAAGTGGAATTTAGGTCTTAATGCTGAATAAGTGCAATTACCGCATATACAAACTGAACACTTGTGAGTTTAGCTATTAGTGAATTAACAAGAGAGCTGATAGGGGGTTAGAGGCAAGGGGCTCTTTGCTAATAACTGTTCTCTTTATTAATACGGGGGATTGTTAAAGACATTTGCAGGACATTGTAACTACTCTTAGAGAGACTTGGCATTACAAGACATTTTATGGGACAAGAGAGTACTTCTCTTACTTTGTATACTTTATATAATCGTCATCTCCCATTGGCTCACAACCTCCCTGTAATGTCACGCTCATTGCAGGACGTATCTAGACATGTGGTTTCAAACAAACGCGGGTAGACTCCATTTCTATATTTCTTACGGTAGATATCATCTCCCGCAGTAAATGCAGAGTTGGTCTCCGTCCCCGATCCAGAACAACCAGAGCGGGTCCCATCAACGATGCATCCGTCATCAACTCGGCCCATGCCACTCGCGCCAAACTTGCCCATCTCCAAAGCCATGTAGGGAAAGCGGCACAACCATCTCCTCATGTCGAAGAATTTCCTCATCACCGGCGCAGCACGCGGGATCGGCCGCGGCCTTGCCCGCCACCTCCTCGCCTCCCGCCACCGCGTGTTCCTCGTCGACGTAGACGCCCGCGAGCTCGAGCACACGGCGGACATGCTGTCGAAGACGCACGCCCGCGACACGTTTTCCACGTGCGTGGCCGACCTCTGCTCCCCGAGCGCCATCACCCTCGCCGCCCAACACGCGCGGTCCTTTTTCGCCGGCCGCCTGGACTGCCTAATCAACAATGCCGCTTACACGGGGGGCGTGGGCGGCCTAGCCCTCCAGGACATAACGCTGGAGGAGTGGAACAAGAGCATCCAGACGAATCTCACGGCGCCCATGCTCATGACGCAGGCCTGTCTGGACATGTTGGTCGCGGCGGGAGGGTGCGTGATTCACGTGTCCTCCACAAGGGCGGTGATGAGCGAGCCCGATAATGAGGCGTACTCGGCGACAAAGGCTGGGCTTTTGGGGCTGACGCAGAGCATGGCGGTTTCGCTGGGCGGAAAGGGCGTGAGGGTGAATGCGATTCTGCCGGGCTGGATACACGTCGGGGACGAGTGCAGAGAGGCGGATGAGAAGGGGGTAGCGTGGCAGGATGGGCTGAGCGAGGAGGATATGAGGTGGCATTTGACGGGGAGGGTTGGCAAGGTGGACGATGTTGCAAGGGCAGTTGCGTATTTGGTTGATGCGCAGGGGGTGAGTGGCGTCGAGATGGTTGTTGATGGCGGAGTGACTAGGAAGATGGTGTATCCGGAGTAGGTATCTGGTGATGCCTGAGCAGACGTGCTGTTTGGAGATGGATTGTGGTCATGGAGAGCCGGGTGTGCTACCGGTTAGTGGTGAGGGAGCCCGAGTTGATGATGATGATGGACGCGGTACATCTTCCCTCTGGGATATGAGTTGCAACATCAGTAAACCCGGGCTCGCAATTCACCCTGGCATGACAGCTTTCACTTTTCGGCTGCTTGACCTGAGTATTCCGATGCTCTTACGTGTCACTAACAGAGTAGGCGGCAGAGAGTAGTTGACCAGTCGAGATACCTCACTCATCAGGCTATTGCTACAAGATGCCACTGCATATTAGCGTAGGCTTTGAACTAGGAAAATATATGATGTTGTGACCTCAACTGCCAAAAATGCAAGCCCGCGGATATCACGAGCCCCGTAGGATTCATTGTGTAACGAGTAGTTGCAATATCTCATACGCAAGGTTTTGCTGTATTCAGTGAAGGTAAAAGGCAGGGAGACATGCAGGTCTCAGCATTCAGACACAATCCCAGGGTATATATCTTCACCAAGGCAACTTCCAATCCGTCGCGACATCAATCCGTCGCGCGGCTCGTCGACTAGAATCGCTCGGTGGGTTCGTTGCAGCCATCACAATTGAAAGTTATTTTACTGTGTCGGCCTCGCATTAGGTCAGAAGCGTTTGTCAAAAGAATTCGTAAGATGATAATTCATCTGATTGTTAACAAGGTTCTCTTCTCGTAGAAAATACATTCGGAGCAAGAGAAGTAGAAAAATCACGTGAGGCTATCCCCGGCTTCTGTGGCTGTCCCTTGTTTCTGTGGCTGACTAAGTGGCTCGTCCACTAAGTCGCTGACGGGTAATTATTCGGAGCTGCTAAGTGTCTCGACTCAAACTTTGCGGTGTCTCGAATCAGCTTCCGCCTCGGTTCACAAGTTCCCAAACTCCGTCACCTTCAGATCGCAATCGTCTGTTTGTACCTGCTGCTGTTCAACTGCGGCCCAGGCCATTGGTACGTCATCCCCGGCACCATTTCCAGTTTGGCTGCCACCCACGTCAGTCACGCGTGGAACGAGTGTGCCGTGGCATCGTTTTCTTTTCCTCTGGAAGGAGTTGAGGGATGGAGCATAAGAAAACTCTATTTCAGTTGAAGAGTTGGCGACTAAAGTCAAAAGAAAATATACTCGGGCGTCGCTAAACGCCTTGTCTTCTCTGTGTCACCTAGCTGATGAGCCTTGCTCTTTCGCATTTAAGCAGCACCGCGCACCTCTTCGACATCATGCGAACCGCTTGACTAGTTCCGACCGCATTACAGGCCTTGGCATAAAGACTTCTTTTGAGGCAAAGCGCCGCCCACGCAGCCGCAGCCCTCGCGGGTTACCGTCGGACCACCAGGAACCATATTATGCCGCGACACCATCAACACACGGGCCCGATATATCCGAATTACATGTCTTATGCGTCGCAGCAACAGTATTATGGCATGCCTCCGCAATACCCCGGCGGGGGTGTGCCATCACCGACCTACGCTCCCTACCAGACGTATGGAAGATCACCGCCCGCCATGCATCAATACATTCCCATGGTAGGCGTCAGCGTCCCTCCGAACTATCCGCGCCCAAACCAACAGTCACCGAATCTCGCGACGCCATATCGGCCTCCTCCAGCACCTGCTCCGATCCCGCCGCAGACCCCGTCATCGACTCATTCATCACAGATGCTTCCCCCCCAGACGCCTCCCACTCCACAGACTGCTCAACGGGATCCTTCTCAATCGCAACCTCGGCCACAACCTACTGAAGCGCCACAGCCAACGGGGCCAAGGAAGCCTGTCGTGGTGCTGAAGCAAGAGCCTTTTCGACCTCCTGTAAGTCGTGCCAATGTAGGCCGGGTATGACGCAATTTTCTGTGAGCTAACAATCCCCGAAACCAGCTTCCTTGGTTCTCCAGACCTGATGCTCTCTTTCCTCAACGTTCTCGCCGGTCCCGAACAAAAAGAAGGCTCCTTCCCCTCAACGAGCAACCCATTTCATTTCTCATTGAACAACGCGAAGGTGTTACCGATTCAACCAATGCTGCTGCATCCAAAGCAGTTCCTACAGAGGCTGAACCACCTACAAGCGACGCGGCCGAGTCCGACTCTAAGCCTGCTGTAGGCGCCCATACTAGTCAGTCCCCAACCGCATCTTGTGATGCGACTCCCGCTCTCTCCGAAACAGCACCCGAGGAAGGTCGCGGTCAGAAGACGAACGGCCACAGCGCCAACAGCGCCCCAAATGGGGAGGGGTCTTCTCAGAGTGACAAAAGTGCCACGACCGAGGATGATAAGGCGACAGACGAACGGGCTATTGCACCAGCTCCTCCGGTAAAGGCTGCACCAACCAGCTGGGCAAACCTCTTTGCGAAGCCGGCCGCCCAGAACGTGACAACCTTGAACAGTATTAGCTCTACTACATCGGTCAATGGCGATGCCGTCGAGGCTGCTACAGTTCCCGATATGCCTGGGTCAAAATTCTCCCAGGCCAACAGGAGTCTCTTAGGGGAAGCCATCCGATCCTTCAAGGTCGACCGCACTGAAAAGGCTACGTTGATTGAGCCTCGTGGTCTCGTTAACACAGGCAACATGTGTTATATGAATTCTGTATGTCCTTGTTCAGAGTCACACCAATTGCTGACTACTAACCATTGTCTAGGTGTTGCAAGTGCTCATGTTTTGTGCTCCTTTCCACGACTTTCTCGATCAAGTAAGCAAAAGGGCTGCTCACAGCTTCAAGAGTGAAACACCTCTGGTAGATGCAATGTAAGCCAGATTTTGGCCCCTCGGCTCTTATCAGATTCTAACATCAATAAAAAGGGTCATGTTTTTGCAGGAGTTCAAGGTTCTCGCATCTGCGTCGTCTTCTAAGCAGCTTCGCAGCACTTTGAAGTCTCAGGTTTTTGAGCTATACGGCGAGCCCTTTACTCCAGAATTCGTTTACGAAGCCATAAGGCAGCTTCCACGATTTGCCAGCATGAGAGTACGTATAGCTCCAATTGCGAGGATATCCACGTTTATATCTGTGCTAATACATACCAGCGTGGTCACCAGCAAGATGCTGAGGAATTCCTTGGCTTCCTCCTTCAGTCCCTGGATGACGAATGCACTCTTGTTATGAACAAGTCCTTTCCTGGTGAAACAGAACAAGTTCCAGACGAGAAGTATATTGACCACGAAGCTGCCGCGCCTTCAGGAGACTGGCTTGAGGTTGGCCGCAAGCAGAAAGCCGCCGTCAGTCGATCATCGGGATCAAACACCTCCTCACCCATAACGAAGATCTTTGGTGGACTGTTGCGATCCGAATTCCGGGTCCCGGGGCTCAAGGATTCTATTACTACGGAGCCGTACCAGCCGCTACAACTGGACATTGGATCGCCCGATGTACGGAATGTCGTGGATGCCCTGAGAGGGCTTACCAGGCCCGAGCGCCTCCAAGGAGATTTCAATTCCCCTCGGGGCAAGGATGTACTGGCCACAAAACAGGTCTTTATTGAATCTTTGCCGCCAGTTCTCATCCTGCACCTCAAACGTTTCCAGTTCGATGCCACAGCCAACGGCACCATCAAGATTTGGAAGAAAATCGGATACCCCTTGGAGCTTGAAATTCCGCGTGAGGCGCTTTCCAGACAGCGCCGTCAAAACATTGGCGACGGGCCTTTGCCCCGGTATAAACTAATTAGTGTTGTGTACCATCATGGAAAGAACGCCAGCGGCGGCCACTACACAGTTGATGTGCGTCGGCAAGACGGCCAAGAGTGGATTCGCATGGACGACACCGTACTCCAGCGGATCCGCAGCGAAGAGGTTGCCAGAATTGGAGCCGAGGAAGAGGTCAAGGATACCCGCAAAGAGCAGAACTCATCCGCGAGTGCCTCAGCCAACCGCTTTGGCGCAATAGACGACGAAGACTCCGGGGACAAGGATGGCTGGAAGCAGGTCACAACTTCTGCCAGCGGAGGCAAGAGATGGAGCAGCGTAGTCAATAGCGCCAACGCACCCTCACAAGACAAACAGGTCAAGGACAACATCAAAGACAACAAGGTGGCGTACTTGTTGTTCTATCAGCGCATGTAATATTGGGGACTAGAATTCTTGAACTCGTTGGGGGAAGAAGTGGACTGTGTCATATTAATAAGAGAAATGAGGGGCATTATTACATAGCACACTGCACTGTACAACAGAAGAATTAAGCATCATTACTACCAGTGCCATTTAAACTAGTTTCAGACTTTGTGTGCACGGCCGCGCGGGGAGTATATGAATAGGGGCTTGCAGGTGAGGCCGCAAAAGGGTACTTGATGATTGCTTTATGTATTTGCGCTAGCATTTTATGCTACTCTCAAGTCCATTCTCCCGAACTACCTCTCGTCGGACAACCAGTTGGATGGAAAAAGATACACGTGAGAAGTTGTATATTGCACTAGGCGATTTGCCGCGTTTCCTTTACATTTAGGCACGTCTATCCACTAACAACTAATTCCGGTAAGCGTACACTCGACAGTCAAGTCTGTTGATCGTCGCGCAAAACTTGCTCGCGCAGTATTGCCAATTGTCCCCCTATTCCCTTTTTTTTTTGCCCTTCCACATCCCAAGCACCCCCTTAGTGTCGCTTCGCGACGGTCATTGAGTCAAGGGCATCCTTCTCGGCAAGCTCGGTCTCGACCTGGGCGATGATGTCGCGCAGGTAGGGCGTATCCTGTCGTTTGTTAGCGGACCTACGTCCCCCCATGCAAGGAGGGTGGGTAGACGCACCTCCTCGGGCTTTGTCCACTGGTCCTTGGGAAGCAGTTTGTGCTGGTAGCTGCACTGGACGGAGCGGCGGATGCGGTAGATGCGGTCGTACGACTCCTTGGATGACAGGCGCCTGAGGGCAATCTGGGTGGATTCGCGCTCTTCCTCGACGAGATCGTCGTATCTGCGTCGTGCTGGGGTTAGCTAGGTCCTTGTACTCGCGGCGGCAGTTTGAGGGTCTGCGGTGGCCCATTGGAGGCCATTGGTGCGAAACGCCGTCCTCTTGCTAGCCCCTATCTGTTGCTGGGACATGTCCGTCGGGCGGGAGCGAGATCTGGGGGGCCAGAAGGTGCGGGCTTGCTGGGAGTCGGGAGTCGGGATGTGTTGGGGGTGTGTTGCGTACCTCAGGCCGAGCTTCTTGTATCCGGCAGCATTGGCGTACCAGTTGGCGGCGGGCATGACCATGTTGGCCAGCCAGGGGCGGCGGAGGATGAAGGGAGCCAGAGAGTAGCCGCTCATGATGGGCAATGGGGCTGGTTGACTTTGGGGAGGAGTCGGAGTGTGAGATATAGAGGTGAGGTGAGTGAGATCTGGGCTGTCCTTTTTTACCCGGGATGCGTGAAATGCGGCGACGATGATTGGGGGGAGCCGTTCGGAATGTCACGTGATTCATGAGCTCCCGGAAAGAAACGGTGGCTTGCACGTGATGGGAAGATGGGACGTTTGTTACGGACGTTGTTCCGTTGTGCCCGGCGTCATGCCAGGTTTGGCGTCGCGGGAAGCAGATTTATAAAATATCGCGAAGATGGATATTTCTTTTTTTTTATTCTCTTTTTCTTTTTCTGTCTTTTTTTATTACTTGGGGATTTATGCCCTTGGAGTCCCTGTTTCAATCGTGTTCCAATCATGTCCTAGATAGTGTTGGGCCATTATTCCTTGAAACCTCAGGTAGCAACTTTCGGGTATAATCGTCGGAACATGATGGTCGCAACACCTTGGAATCAGATGATTTCGCTGACAAGAACGGTGCCTGAAAGCACAGGAGCTAGAGTTGATCACTGCCCTTGTGAGTGCTACACTGCAGGACAATGCCAAGTACGCAGCCGAGGCATGCTCTGCAACCGGCTGCTCCCAGCCTTGACACCAGAAGTGCGCCCTGCACCTGGGGCATTCCTTGCACGCTCAGCTTTCGGCAACTGAACAAGAAAGAGGCCTTTGTCCCATGTCTGTGTTAGACCATCGACGGTTCCCACGGGATCCGCCTTACCGTAGCTCCGAACCCATTCCCAGGGTTCAGGGCGCCGTCGCTCCTTGTTTTGTACCCACGTGAGCCGAAGACCTTAAAGCTACGAGGATGCCTCTACCGAGTTAAGCGGCGCGGTGGCCGGCACGCGACGTTGCTGCACGATGATGCAGGATTGAGTAATGGACACCAGACTGATAAGGCCACCCGCTCCTCCGTGCAGGGACAGGGCCGGTGTGTAAAGATGCCAACTGGTCAGATGGTGCTGGTGTCTTGGATCATGGGCTGCAGCCAGACGCCAAGGTGGGATGAGAGAACGGCTGGCAAACACTGCTCAATCTCAAACAAGCGTCGCCGCCTCCACGTCGCCTCCGCTGTTCGGCGTTGGTAAATATTCCGCGACGACAATGCGCTCTCGGCGTACGGAGTATCTGGACGCATGGGGGGATGCCAGCACGTACATGTACACATGCGCACGGCGACGGCGTAGCATCAAGAAGGCCAATTGATATCGAGCACATGCTGTGGCTGGCAAGCGCTGGTGGTTGATGAGCTTGTAATGTTGGGATGCTGGCACGGAGTAACTGCTCCACGTCTGGCTGGTCCATCCAGCATTGAACATTTGGAGTTCTCGGGGCTCCGTACAGGCCGCGCCGCGGGCACTGGGGCGCAACTCCGTCCAGGTCCGTTAGCGGCCTGCAGCCCTCCAAATGTTAGCGATCTCGTCATTCGTCATGCTCTCCGCTCCACCATGTTTAGCGTCCACATTTTTCCTCACTCTGGGCCCTGACCTCACCTGGACAATCCACCACACTCCAACTCTCCTCCTCTCCCGTACACTTACCACCCATACCACCGCGAAAAACCGCCTACTTGTCGTCGCTTCCTGTCGCCCGTCTCCCGAGCTCGCACGACCATTCACTTGGTCCCTTACATTGTTCGAATTCCTCTCCACGTCTGAAAAAGGCCAATGGCCGCGGCTGTTCGCTAGGTGGGATACGGTCTCTGCGAGTGGGAGCGTTTCGGTGCGTTCCCCGCAGTATCCGCCAGTCCCTTTCAACCGGCATCGGCTCGAATGATTCAAGCGATTCAAGCGCGGTGCTCTCGATTATAAAGCAGCGACATTGCCTGCTGCTATTCTCCTTTCAAAATCAAAGCGACGCCCCGCGGCGCCGTCGAACCTGGCCCGGCCTGGTCGGCCTGTGATTTCCCAGCAACCCCGACACTTGTTGGACACACACAACGCGCAACTCCCACCGCTCGGGGAGGGGGACTTTGAGCCTTGCCAAGTTGGACGAGATCCAGGCCTCGGCCCCCAATATCCACCCCGAGTCGGGCTACGCTTCTCATCGATATTCTCGCCGCGCCGTGTGCCCTAGTCCCGAGTACAAACGCCCGACAGTGAGGTTTCAGATAGCCATTTCACCGCCGCCACACGAAGGGGCATGTCTCACGACCAATCCGCCCAACCAGGCAGGGCTTCCCCGTCACCAGAACATGCAACAGCCTCATATCGACACTCGGCCGATTTTCCAATGCACCACGCCGGGCCGACCCCGTTTCAGAAATGGGCCGCCTCTGCCTCCGACTCGCAGTTCAACGCCGTGGCCGGTGCCGTGGGCGGATTCGCCTCCGGAGTCATCACTTGTCCTCTTGACGTCATCAAGACGAAGCTTCAGGCGCAGGGTATGTATAGAGTGCTGCAAGATGGGCGGCACGTCGGACAACCGAGGATGTATAATGGTCTGAGTGGCACAGCCAATGTGATTTGGAGGGAGGAGGGTATTCGGGGCATGTATCGTGGCCTGGGTCCCATTGTCATGGGATACTTGCCTACCTGGGCAGTTTGGTTTACCGTCTATAACAAGAGCAAAGTCTGGATGGCCCAGTACTCTGGTAGGTTCTCCCGCTCGTCCCATGGTCGAATAGCCCGATTCCGTGGGTTGTCCTTTACTGACATGATTGCAGATAGTACACATCTGATCAACTTCTGGTCTTCCATCATTGCTGGCGCCAGTAGCACCATTGTCACCAATCCGATATGGGTTATTAAAACACGGCTCATGTCACAGAGCCACTCTCCTGCCCGAGACCATGCACATTATATGTTTCCGAAGCCTGGCAACACCCCGACTGCCAGACCGACGCTGAACCACCCCTGGCACTATCGATCTACGCTTGACGCTGCTCGCAAAATGTACACGTCCGAGGGGCTAGTATCGTTCTACTCCGGCCTCACGCCTGCACTCCTCGGATTGACCCACGTGGCCGTTCAGTTTCCTACGTATGAATATCTCAAGACCCAGTTCACAGGCCAGGGGATGGGTGAGGGTGCAGGAGAAGCACACTGGTTCGGCATTCTCTCAGCATCGGTGCTCTCCAAGATCCTGGCCAGCAGCGCCACTTATCCGCATGAAGTTATCCGAACTCGACTGCAAACCCAACGGCGGCCAGTAGCCGGTGAACAGTTTCTGCAAGGGCTGGGCATCGCCGCACCGGACCCGGCCAAGGACCCCACAGTCGACGGCCGCAAATACCGCGGCATTGTCACGACGTTTCGAACGATCCTTCGGGAGGAGGGTTGGAGGGCGTTCTACGCCGGCTTGGGGACCAACATGATGCGTGCTGTGCCCGCGGCCACCGTCACAATGTTGACATACGAATACGTCATGAGATTCCTCCACCGAGCAAAGGAAGAGGGCAGGGCCAAGATGCACATGCACAAAAGCCAACCATGAGTGGGCAGTGAGGCGGAATTCGCGTCGCCAAACACTCACATGCAGCCCTCACCGCTGACTTGGGAAAAACACCTCATCTTTCTTTTCTATAACACATACATGCTATATATACATATTTACCAGAGGACGTGGCTGCTTGATACTACGAGCAAAGCCGGAGATACCCCCACATGGAGACGGTTGTAGCTATAGACGAACCTGGTTTATGGAGTGGAAATCTATCCGCCTGTTAATTTTTTTTTTGACCATTTGGTCACAATACGCCTTCGTCCGGACGCGCTTGCTCTTTATTCTAGACTTTGTGCAAGGAGAGCGATGGAAGAGTGTTGAGAGACTGAGGGGCATGCATGAGAGGAGCATGGAAATATCGCAAGGCCATCAAGGGGAACATGAAGGCGGAGTGGGCAGGGCATGGTGTAGCATTACCTGTACATACATGGCGTGGGAGTTTTCTTTTAATACAGCCACATTTCGGGTTCTATGTGTTGTGCATTTACATTTGGGCCTGCATCTATATGTGCTATCTCCGACCCGACTCCCTCCTGGCGGCTCTGATGGATGACCTCGTGTACCTACATCGGTCAGTCGAGTACAAATGTGCGGGGTCATGCCCGGGGGCGCCTACACGAATAAGAGGCTCGCCATGGCGAATGCGGCGACGGGCGCCATGAATTTCTACCAAGCGTAAGGATGATGTGCGCGCATGTTTTTGTTTGCCGGCATTGGGGAGGGTGGCGGTTGGGTCAGGGCAGGGTTGGACGTACGCGAGGGTCCATGCCGTGAATCGAGGATCTGGGCGTGCTCGCTACTGGCGATGGACAAGGCAGAGCGTGCCCGTGGTAGATTTGACAATGGCGTCGGTTGATCTGGTCGGGATGACGGTGGGTGGTGCAAGTCTCTGTTCAGGGATTTGCGAAACGGCAAGGTGCGAGTACTGGATGCTGTTTTTTTTTATTCGGAGGACTTTGTTTACCCGGTGTTTATAAGCCCGTTTTAGTCACAAACGGTCTGGTGGCATAAGATGGCCACGGTCGCCTGGAAAACGACAGGCGCAGGCATTGAACTTGGCTGTGCGAACAGTGAAAAGGGGACGTCGAACAAAACAATTACTCCTAGGCCTGGGGGTCGAACCCGGAGCTCGCACCAGGCAAGCGCCGGATGAACAGCGGTCGAGCACACATATTTATATTCTGTGCAGTCAACTGGTGTGGATGCCGGTGGCCCAAGCTCCCTGCAAGCCTCACCCATAAGCACGTCACATCACGTCGGCCCGGATTGGAGCTCGACTTTGCAAGCTTCCCCGACCAACCAGAATAATCGGCCACAGGGGCTGGCGGTCCAGAACACCTCAACCCGATGCCTCCTCCAGCAGCTCGGATGCACGCATGTGCGAAAGGTGAAGCGGACAGGGAAAATTGAAAGGGGCAGGCAGCGCTGGAGAGGGCAAAAAGGCCATGGGCTCTGCGTCCAGCGTGCCGGGGGCTGCTCCAGTGTTCAATGTTCAATGTTCGCTTGGCCAGCAGACGGAGGTGCTCCGCCCAGCGCACGCGCACCAGACCAGTATCAATGATTGACCAGACGGCCTGTGCCGCCCGCCGCCCTCTGTGGTGTTGTGTGGTGTCGGTTCAATGTTGTGCTGTGTCAATGTCTGGTTTCGGTTGCTCTGCCACGTCCTTCGCGACAGAGTGCGCTCTCTTGTCGCGCCGATAAGACCTGGCGCAAGCTGGATTCTCTCCCATCCGGCCCCCTTTTACCCTTCAAACTTCTCTCACACCTCTGCCGCCCTCCCACGCCATTTGCTCTTGTTTGAATTTGAAGCCAGCGTCGCCAGCCTTGCAGAAGAACCACCACCATGCCCGTCGAACTGCGCAAACGCAAGGCACCGCAGCCACCGCCTGCCCCGGCGCCGGCTGCAAAGAAGGCCACCAAGCCTGGCAGGCCGGCCAAGTCCAAGAAGCCAGAGCCCGCGGCCAAGAAGGAAGACGAGAAGCCCGCTGCTGCTGCTGCCGCCGCCTCTCCTGCTCCCGCTGCTGCGCCGTCGAGCAAAAAAGTCGCCGTCGGCCAAGTCATTGACCTGGATGGTTTTGGCGGAGAGATCCAGACCAACGACGGCGAAACGACCACGTTGAAGAAGCTGCTCGAGGAGAGCGGGAGCGGCGTTGTCCTGTTCACCTACCCCAAGGCCTCGACGCCGGGATGTAAGTTTTTTTTTTTTTTTTGGCTCCTCATCGCACTCCGTTTGCGCGAGCCGGGCGCGCGCGTCACCCTCTCATGTACATGTTGACGGGGCGCTGATGTATCAAAACCAGGCACAAACCAGGTCTGCCTCTTCCGCGACTCCTACGCCCCTCTCACCGCCGACGGCCTCGCCATCTACGGCCTTAGTGCAGACTCGCCCAAGGCCAATACCACGTTCAAGGAGAAGCAGAAGCTCCCGTACCCGCTGCTGTGTGATCCCCAGGCCACTCTCATCGCCGCCATTGGGCTCAAGAAGCAGCCCAAGGGTACGCAGCGCGGCGTGTTTGTGGTTGACAAGAAGGGCAAGGTGCTTGTTGCCCAGCCGGGCAGTCCTGCCGGGACCGTGGACAAGGTCAAGGCTTTGGTGGAGGAGTTGAAGGGGTAATTACCCTTTTTGTTTTTGTTCATGGTGCGCTTTGGGTCTGGACTTTGGTTGGCGATCTCGCGGGTTGGATGACACGGTTTTTGTAATCACGGAGGTACGGGTCTTACCTATGAGACCTAGCTTTTGGAGGCTATTGAGGCAGACGCGAGGTCTTGCGGGTAGTTTAGTTTGCGGGCGCCAACTTGCAGTTGCATCAGGGTTCTTGTTGTTGGAAGAGGGGAAAGGAATCATGGATTGCCAATGAGCGCAGAACTTATTACTATCAAATATGTTGTGTGCGGCCATTTGAGTTTTGGAGTGAGTCACTTGCACGCAACCTGTGTTTTGCGTCCATGTAGCGGGTTTGCTGGCGCGCAGCCATGAATCTTAATTCCATATCGTGTTTCCCTTGGTACTTCCCATATCGCGGTTCTCTGGTTTAGGCACGACGAGTAGGTACACGGTGCTTGTACAAGTACGCCCTGCCTATGCAATGAGGGCACGAATACTGTTTGACGTCTAACGATCGAGAGACTCCCAACTGAAGCTCATCAACATATCAAGGGATTTCGCCCGATAGCTTGTTGATCTGGGAGCACCTCATTTGAGTCGAGAGCGAGTCCCAGCCAGCCAGTCCCATGAATAAATGCGACGGAATTAGTATAGGGTAAGACGTCTCGGCAAAACACCGGCCCCAAGCCGACACCCAATGATCACGACCGCATATCCAACCTCAAAACGCTCGTCTATCCGTCAACCCCATCCCAGCGACCGCACTCAATCTGTCGCAACGTCACAATGTCGGCTCAAGCGGTGGCCAAGGCTGCCGGAGGCGTCGTCTCCATCGCCAAGGTATGCTCCAATGCCGACCACAAATCATGCCACCCGATCAATTGGTCCGTCCGACCATGCTAACACCGCTGCCTGCTCGCGATAGAAACAAACCGTCCAGTCCACCGGAGTGTGGGAATCCATCCGCAAGGCCCTCGCCATTGACGCCAACCGCTCCAACGGCGTGCCGCTGAACCCGTACTTCCGCAACCCTCCACCCGGCAGCAACGACCCCATGGCCTACGACGACCCCGTCACCGTGCCGGCCGGCGACATCGCCGACAATCCCTACTGGAAGCGCGACCACCGCCGCCACTACCCCAAGCTGAGCGTCATGAACCAGGCCGACGTGGCTAGCCTGCTGACGATTGGGAGCGCCGCCGCACCCAAGGTTGATCTGATTGGCGAGGCGGGCGAGAAGCAGCTCGTCGCGGCGAAGCAGGAGGGCGAGACGGGTCTGGCCAAGTGTCTCGAGAAGACGAGCGGCAAGGACGTCTTTGTGGACGGCCTGCCGCCGCTGCCCAGCGGCCAGAGCCTTACGTCGGGCTCGTGGGACGTGTACAAGTATGAGCTGACGGAGGAGAATACATATCCCCAGGGGTGAGTGTTACCGGAGCGATGTACGTTCCTTGTAGGAAGAGAGTGATTTGCTAACTGCTCCTAGCTACCCTTGCCGGACTTTTGTATAGATGGTGCTCGGGGGTTGGAAGGGGGGGTGATGACTTGTACATACGACATGTAGCACGACGAGGTGATAGAACCGGTTCTCCTTTGTAATGAGAATTCAAAAAACGCCTTCTACACTTTTTTAAACTATTGTAGCGGATGAATCCAACGCTAGTTTTTTCATTAAAAGATATGCCGCCGCGCCGTGTATCCCGTACATTATTTTATCCCACGCCAGGTGGTGATGGCACGCCATGTGGTCATGCAACCGAAAGTATGAATCATGCCTTCATGAGGCCATCCTCTCGACGACCTTGACCTTTCCCTGGGCCCTCTTGACCCGGTCGTCGAAATCCTGAACCGCCTCGTCTGTGTTTTCTGTCGACAACGTGTCCGGCTCCACTAGGGAGTACACCATTCTCACATTCTTCTCTAGCCTGGCATTGTTCGGCAGCGAGGGCAATGCGCATGCCTTCTTGTCCTCCTGCGTGTCCGAGCAGCCGCCCCCTTCTTCTGGGCTGTGTTTCGCCCGGGGCGGTATTCTGTTGGCCCATACGATGGCTCGGCTGGCTAGGCGGCCACTCTCAAGGAACTTGTCGAAACCCTGTTGCATGCCGAAGGAGCGGCCCTCCATGCGGCCTGCTTTTTCGCCGTCGGCAAGGCCCTGGCTGTAGCCTCGTTGGTAAAAGTTGTCTTCGAGATTGAGAACATCGTCGAAGGGGTCTGGTGTGGAAGGCATGCTCTTGGGATATTGGGGGGAAGGGTGGTGGAAGTGGTGGTGAGACCAGGGTGGCGATGACAAAGATTGAGGTCGTATATTGTAGGTGGTCAGGGTAGGGAGTCTGACTCAGTGGGGCTTTTGGGTTTGGGGGATATCAAATCGACGTCTTCTCTGTTGGCAAGGGTCCCTCTATTAGGGGTGCACTAACGGAGTAAAAGCCGGGCAATCTTGATGTATAATGTGTGAGAGAACACTGGACGCTGTCTGGTGTTACTTGAGAATAGAGTGTGTTTTCGTACAGGTTGGGGAGTCATTGGCCTGGCACTGCGAGGTTCTGTGAGCTTCCCCGTGGAATTGTGCCGGGAAGGAAAGCCGAGAGGAAAGCAGTCGAGACCCATGGGTTGATTCCAATGCTTGAAAAACGGCAGACCGACGACTAGAGATGGTCCCTTACAATGTTGTCGCACATGTCATTCATGACATCCAGGGCGCTCCATGAACCCTGCATGTCAAAGCGAGATCGCGTGGCTGCCCCTCCTTCAATTGGAGGAGGGGCTGGGTTTTCCGCACCAAAAAATTGACCCCTCCATTTCCACGCCGCGCAGAGCCCAGACCTCACGTCGGATGACTCAGTCAGTAGTTACGTGCTTTGCCTCCTCCTACGTGCTCGAATATTTAACAATCGCCACACCCCATTGCCATTGAGAGCGACAAGCCGCATTTCCTCGCCCATACAACCTGCTGCAGAAAGATTTGGGGACGAAAAGAATTGACATGCCGGTTGATAATCCCATCCTGCCCGTCGAGGGCAAGAGGAACATCCTCATCACCAGTGCTCTGCCTTACGTCAACAATGTCCCTCATCTGGGCAACATTGTGGGCAGCGTGCTAAGTGCCGATGTCTTCTCGCGATATAGCAAGCTTCGCGATCGCCCGACCCTCTACATTTGCGGAACAGACGAGTACGGCACTGCCACGGAGACGAAAGCGCTGGAGACGGGCCAGACCCCCCAGCAGCTGTGTGACGAGTTCCACGTCAAGCACAAGGAGGTCTACGACTGGTTTGAGATTGGCTTCGATCACTTCGGCCGCACCACCACCCAGAAGCAGACAGAGATTGTCCAGGACATTTTCTTAAAACTACACGAGAACGGATTCCTGGAGGAACGTACCACGACGCAGCCGTACTGTGAGAAGCATGATGGCTACCTGGCCGATCGATTCGTCGAGGGAACCTGCCCCAAGTGTGGCTATGATGATGCCAGAGGTGACCAGTGCGACAAGTGCGGAGGGCTTTTGGACCCCTTTGAGTTGATCAACCCCCGGTGCAAGGTTGATGGCGCTCAACCCATCCCTCGCGATACCAAGCACATCTTTTTGAAGCTCGACATGCTTCAGTCCGACATCGAAAAGTGGTTTGAGGAGGCGCACAAGAAGTACGGATGGCCGCAGAATGGCGTCGGCATTACCCAGTCTTGGTTGACCAAGGGCCTCGAGGGCCGCAGTATCACCAGAGATCTGAAGTGGGGTGTCCCGATCCCGCTGCCCGGATATGAGAAGAAGGTCATCTACGTGTGGTTCGACGCCTGTATCGGATACCCCTCCATCACGGCCAACTACACGGATGAGTGGGAGAAGTGGTGGAAGAACCCAGACAACGTTACGCTGTACCAGTTCATGGGCAAGGACAATGTGCCCTTCCACACTGTCATTTTCCCTGGTTCAGAAATCGGAACCGGCTACAAGTGGACCATGCTAAACCACCTGTCAACTACCGAGTACCTCAACTACGAGAACGGCAAATTCTCCAAGTCGAGAGGTGTCGGCGTGTTTGGAAACCAGGTGAAGGATATCGGCATCTCCCCGTCCGTCTGGAGATACTACCTCTTGTCAAACCGTCCCGAATCTGGAGACACTCAGTTTGAGTGGCAGAACTTTGCCCTCGCCAACAACAGCGAGCTGCTCGCCAACTTTGGCAACTTTGTCAACCGTATTGTCAAGTTTGTCAATGCCAAATGCGACGGCACCATTCCCGAATACTCCGCCACCTATACCGACGACACTTTCGACTTTGCCGGGTGGATCCTTCGTGTCAATGCCCTCCTGTCCGAGTATGTCGACCTCATGGAGAAGGTCCACATTCGTGCCGGTGTGAAGAAGCTCATGGAGATTAGCACCGAGGGCAACACCTTGCTGCAGTACAGACTGGACAACACCAACTTGGTTGAGAAGCCCGAGAGAACCAAGACTGTGATTGGTCTCGCCCTCAACCTGTGCCACCTGCTGGCTTCTCTTGCGTCGCCGTACATGCCCTCGACATCAGAGTCTATCTGCAAACAGCTAAACACCACTCTTGCGTTCATCCCTGACGTCTGGGACCCTGAGATTCTCAAGTCTGGCCACAAGATTGGCAAAGCTGCCTACCTATTTACTCGTATCGACGACAAGAAGGTTGCCGAATGGAAGACGGCGTATGGAGGCAGTGCCGAGTCTCGTGCTGCGGAAGAGGCTGCCAAGAGGAAGAAGCAGGAAGAAAAGGAGAAAAAGAAGGCGAGAAAGGCGGTCAAGGCTGCGGGGGGCACCCAGGCCACTACTGGCGAAAACTCGGCGTCAAAGGAGGAGAAGAAGAAAGAGGATGGAGCTGCTGTGCCTCCTGCTGCGGGTGATACGAAGGACTTGCCTATCCGGGTCAAGCCTGACGGGCAGTAGACAAAGATTAGAGTTTAGACGGTGTTGTATGATGTGTGGTTATTCGAGATGCCATTTTGGAAGGGCTATGGTCTGGGGACGGCGACGACGGCATGAAAGGCTTTTGGAATGAGGCATGAAGCGAGAGGGCATGGCTGGCGTAGTACAGAGATATAGCAATCATGTCATAGTGATAGACTTGGTGTGCCAAAGAGAAACGATTTTTCTTTTTCTTTTCTTTTAAATCAATGACTATACCGATTTAGAGTGAAATGTTTGTCGTGGATGGACGGTGGCGCCTTGGCTAGAAAGTGCAAAATGCGACTACCTTTGAAAGTGGCATCTATGAAGTGCACTAAAATGAAAATGGTGCACACTAAAATATAGGAAAAATGCATTCCCAATCTACTATGCTTACTGTAGATTAGCCACGAGTTAAAAAAAACTTACTCGAGGCACGCTATTACAGTGCACTGTTTTTTACTCCTCGATATATAGGAAAGCTTATATATAACCCCTAACTTAATTCGGAGAGCGCTTACTACTATATATGTAAAAGTATAAGTATTTCAATTATAGCAAAGAAAGGGTATTTTTATTATATTCTTTGAGTAAGCACTTGTTTTTAAAAGATGCTATTATACATCAAGTATTGTCAAGCAAGAATACCAGACAGCAATTTCTTTCCTTTCCTTTCCTTTTCATCTGTTGGCGGCTTTTGTTTCTCGCCAAGGGTGCCACCGCAAGACCGAGTTCGCGGCCCCACATATCCCACCGCCGCCTCCATGAGGGGCAACAACTCCCCAAGCTCCGGCGTCGTGTGCCATCTACAACTCCAAAAAAACTTCGTCACACCACCCGCAGACACACCCGCGCACCGTCGGCCATCGCCTCAATCGATCTTGCGCGCGCCACTTCTCCCCCGATACCCTCGCCCTCCACAGCTACAGCGCATCTCCTCCCTTTTGGAACAACCAGGGCCAACAGAGCGTCCACAATGGACATCCGTGTCCTCAGCAGCGCGGACCTCCCGCTCATCCAGCACGCGAACCTGGAGAACCTCCCCGAAAACTACTTCCTCAAATACTACCTGTACCATGCGCTGTCATGGCCGCAACTAAGCTACGTCGCCGTGGACGTGAGCCGGCCGCCCAAGGGGCCCTACGACTACCCCAAGATTGTGGGCTACGTGCTGGCCAAGATGGAGGAGGAGCCGACCGACGGCGTGCAGCACGGCCACATCACGAGCTTGAGCGTCATGAGGACACACCGGCGGCTGGGCATTGCGGAGAAGCTCATGAGGCAGAGCCGTATGTTGTCTTGGGCCTTGAACCCCGTCTCTGCTGGGACCTTTGGCTTTGCGCAGTTTCTTTTACGAGGACTCGGCTAACATGTAACGTGGTGCAGAACAGGCAATGGTCGAAACCTTCCAGGCAAGGTACGTCTCGCTGCACGTGCGCGTCTCCAACGTCGCCGCTCGCCATCTGTACGAGGACACGCTGGGCTTCAAGAACGAAAAGGTGGAGGCAAAGTACTACGCCGACGGGGAAGATGCGTTTTGCATGCGTCTGGACCTGGACGAGATTAAGAGGCAGCTTGACGACGCGGAGAGGGAGACCAACGGCACGGACGGGGTGGACGAGGGCGAGGCCGTGGGCGAGGTTGGGCGGGATCCGGCGAAGAACAAGGATGACAAGGAGGGGAGGAAGATCAAGGTCGCGGTGGGGAGGAGTTTAGGTGTAGGCGCGTTGGTGGAGAAGGATGAGAGCAAGCATTAGAATTGGGGGGAGATGGTGGAATGGGCCGAGGATAGATATACCGGTGCATGAGATGAATGGCTTTCTCACTAAGTGGATAGATAAAATACGAGTGCAACCAAGGTGCTATGGATAGTTGGCCAGTGTGGGAGACGGTATACATTGGCAATGGGCTTGAAGTTGTGGTTCGGCGCGGTAATGCGACCAAGTCGGCTTGGACTGATGGACCACGATTCACTTGGCCCAACCTGTGATAAAGGGAAGACGAGACCTGTTGTTGTTTCACAAACACAAGGGACTACGATATTTCGGCAGCTGTCTGTCTCTTTGTTGTGTCTGCCTGGGGACTAGAAGCGCGGACTACACCTGGCGATATATATGAATCTATAAGTATACATGCAGGACTCACTTTGGACTACTTTGGATATATATAGGTGTGCTTATAGACTAATGAAGCCTCGATAGATGTGTCTGAAGGAATTCTTCCTCCGGCTTGCCGTTCTTTGTGTTAAGCGTGGCAGCGGCCATTTCACATCGTGCCGCTTCGTGATACTGGCTTGATACTGTCTTAAGATAAACGTTATGGTTTTTTTGTTCAGAGAACGTCTAATTCCTTCCACCCCACCCAAGTCCAAGCGTGACATGCCACGTTTGTGACTTTATAGCTCGCTTCAGGGGGCACATCTCACTCCGAGCGTTGTTGTTTCAGACCTCCTTCATCATGTTGTTCCGGCAGATGCCGTCAGCTCCTTGGTGTTATCCCACCACAAAGGACATCTTGCCACATGAGGGCTCTGTGAAACAATGTCAAGAATGGCTTTGGGAGAAGACACTCAGGGGCGGGCGAAGCAGGGCACCACCGGGACGATCGGGTCCCGACTCTTTCTTGCAGGACATGACCTCTTTGATGGGACGGACTCCTGGAATATGGGGTCATGTGGCTATGGAGGTAAAAAGACCTGGCTTTGGATGTACCATGAAAAGGGGGACGCTTGGATCGCTGGGACGTTTCGCAGCCGGGCCGTCCCCGTCATGGACCAACTCTCCCTGTGACCTGACAAAGCGGACGGAGCTTGTTGACACGGTGTTTTGGACGAGTTTGCGGGAATGTACGTCCCAGTAGCTGCAGGTCCAGGGAGCTCGTGCACTTGTTATGGCGACAAAGAGCGCTTGGGCTTCCCTGCGTGCGGGCCTGGATGCATAATGGGCCTGGTGACAGGTCATAAGAGCAAGATATTGCTGAACAGATGTCCTGTCCCCCTTTGTATGTATGTGTGTTCGCGCTCCCCTGGTCTGGGATGTGTGTAGATGACCACTGACCTTGGTCAATGTGTTGGTAGTCTCTGGGAACTCGGTGGCCGAGAGGGCTGCAGGCATAAAAGCGAGGCCTTAGGCCTTTTGCTCTCCTTTTCTCCTGTCTGGTCTGAGCATCTCGTGTCACCATCTCCATCACTCCATCATAGTCTACAAAATCATCATGTCCTCGGACATTTCCCCCCAAACCGGGCCTGCCCAGAGGACGAACACGACCGATATATTTGCGCTTCGCACAACCAACGAAGTCTAATAGAAAATAACTCAGAGCGCCCCGATACGGATATGCTACGCCCAGGGCGACACCATTACAACAATGTGAGACGAGCGGATCTTTTATCCATGGCCCGGCGCCAAACTTATTCATCGGGCCGGCTCCGACGCCAAAAGCCTTTACCCTCTTGATACACCAAACTTCCGTCATTTCCGCCGCATACCAAGGGGTTCTTATCGGGGAAGACGAAGAATGACATGCATGGCGCAAGGTTCCCCTTATCCTGGCTTGCTAGGAGGCCTACTCGAGGCGAAACATGGGCCGAATTTCGCCGTCCAGACGAGAGACTAGACAATACCATGTATATCAACGTAGATATTTGCTGCAGCATACCTGTGAGTACTATTGCAAGCTAATTTGCCATGCGCACAATGAACCAGTAACAATAGAAGCGTGATCCCGGCTACGCCGACACATTCGGCATCTTTTGGCATGCGCGCGAGCACGAGGGTGATGCTCCGACCGGAGGAAAGCATCTACGAGAATATATGAGAGAGCAGGAAGAAGCTTCTAGAGGATGTAGAGCCGTCTGTGAATGGACCGAGAAACAAGCACCGCCAGCCATCGTGAGCAGCGGAAACGCTATCCACGGAAATGGGACTGCTCCTTTCGTCTTGAGCGAGCAACCTAGGCGGACGGATTGCCTACCTGGCGTCTAGTTCGATATCATGGAAGATATGGACGAGGAACTTCATCTCCAACGCCGAAAGCTCGGTTCACAAACTTGGACATGCGCGCGAGCACGAGGGGGATGCTTCGACCGGAGAGCGTCTACAATAATACATGAGGGAAAAGGAAACACCTTCTTATCCAACTAGACCCGTACCTGGACGTGCTGTTATTGACAATAGCCCGGGTTTCGTGTAAACTGGCGAAGAATATGGAGCATCTTGTGCAGCTTGAACAACTGGACAAGTGCTGGCTTCATCACGGCTCGAGAACTTGCGTCCTGGCATCATTTGCAGAGAAACTAAACAAGGAATTTGATAGGGAATTTTTGAATGGCTCCATTTTTTAGAGTAGTTGACATTTTTATTTTTACTTTTTATTTTTGACTTGTCATTCTGTCTGCCATTTACTTGCTTCCGACTCCATCGCTGGACTTGAACTTGCCCTGATTTCCATCCCAAGCACATCGACATGCAATCAGAATATGATCAATTTAACAGTCTCCATGTGACGTACTATTTTCGGCCGGAATGGTCTGTACGGGCCTTGATTTGAGCAGCGTACCTGCGCCCATGCCTTCAGGCCGTCAGCACCATGCATCGTCGCCTTGCCGAAATTCTGATATGTCATTCTGTCATTTTCGCTTTCGTCTTTCAAGCGCCCATTAGATGAACACAGATTGATTACCTTGAAGTCAGGGAGACGCCCTGGGCACGCGGAGAGCAAAACAAGGCTGCGTAGACTGGAATCCGACAGGTCACTATGCAGAGGATCACCCGGCGTGCCGTCCTTTTGTGTTCCTTGGGAGTTTTGTTTCTAGAACAGGATTTCTGTGAAGATGGAGTAGTAGCTGCTTATGCATGAGTGAATCAGAAGATTCACAGCTGCAGGCAGGATACGGCCCGGTTCCTCGGCCCGTATGAACAAGACAAGGACAAGACAGGAACAAGAACAAGTCTGCCAGAACACTCTCTAATCCCCTCTTCCATGCCAGGCCTTCATGGCTATCAGCAGGTTTCTGGGTTTGCTATGAATATACCTTTGTCGTTGTCTATGAACTTCTGCTCAAAAACTTCTGGTGCGTTGCCTGAGTTCTGTTCAGGTTTTATTGCGGCACTTGCAACTATAAATGCCCTCCTCACCCGCCGACCTCCTTGGGTTTTTTTCTCATCATCATCGCCATTGTTGTATGATCAACACCTTTTTCTTATTGAGAAACCCCTTGCCTCACGTGGCTTATCCCAAGACATCAAGACATACACGAGCATCAACAACCGGCATCATGAGCGGCGCGTTTCAAGTTACAGGAATTCAACACCCAGCGAAGAAATGGGTGGAAGATTTCGGTGAAGGATGGGTGCAGTTTAAGGCAAAAGGCCTTAAAGAATATGGTATGATCTTGGCACATGTCGGTCCGCACGATCCAACGGTGTTCTGGAACAGCATCCGAGTAAAGATAATTACCACATTTGGAATGGCGAACTTCCATGAGTACCTTGACAGTGGCTTCTTGGTTCTCACCGTTAATACGTGGAAGCGTGAGACTCCTCAGGTACGTATCCTCTTCATGCCGGGGTGAATCAAACCGATCCTAACGTTTAAATAGGTCCCTCAAACCTGCCCCCCTCTTTCGTATCTGCAGAAACGGGTGGTGTTTGAAGTTCTCTTCGAGAATAAAGATTTATGGCGCCCAGGTAACTACGTTTAGCTAAATCAGTCTGGTGCTACTCAACGCGACTCGTGTGTGTCCCTCATCGAGTTCACGACTCTTTGCTCGATCACGATACCTCTCGCGATTTATCGCCATGAATGATGGAACCCGGCCACCAAGACCGAAAGAAGACCGACAACCTGATACCTGACGTTGGTTTATCACGCACCACGAGTCTTGTTGCACATGCAATGTTTTCATGCTGTATGGTTGCATTCCGGAAGACACGAAACAAAACGATACGATGATGTGTCAAGGGCGGGATGGTGTTGGAATTGGAGACGGAGTTTACTTGGAGGGAAATAGGACAAGAACTGCAACTGCAGTGCGCTGGATTTATTGTTTCATTGGTTTTGGATTTGTTTTTGTTTTGTGTTTCAATCTTTTTGCAATGTCGGATAATAAGGGTTGTGAGTGCGATTTTACTTGCACTATACGAAGGACGCTGTTGAGGATTTCTTTTGTCAGTTTTTTGCTAGCACTTCAAGAGGAAGATGTCCTCACATTTCTCACAGTCCGTCAATGATGCCTGTTGATATGATGTTACGCGCCATCTTCAGAAGCTATACTTGCTTCCTCACAAAACGCTGTAATTGAACAGCAACTATACCCCTTTATACTCCCGTCGACATGCTCTCTTTCTGATTGTAGTTGTAGCCATCAACTCATGTTTACCTTGTGGAAACCCATACAACATGCACTCATGTGCTATAGATCCGATTTAGTCTCAATTGTAAATGTGGTTATTGTCTGGCTTTTTGGCCGAGCCGCATCTCAACAACCCTGGCGTTCAAGAAAAATCGGACATGTCTAGCTGAGGTCAACAAATCACGTGTAAGACTTGATCAATCCCAGAAACAAGAATTGACCAGGTATAAGTTATAGCTAGAAGAAGCTTGATAGTCTATTCGATCCTGTTTTGTCTCGTATTGTGTGACAAGGGCTTAATAGGGCTTGGAGCTGATGACTCGATTCAAAGATAATCTCGTAGCATGTCAAACGTCCTTGGTTTTCTGGAGAAGGGTAGGGACGAGTGACTACTATATATACACAAGAATAAAAGCAGTGCCCAAGGTTTCCACCGGGTCATGTGTTCAGTCTGTGTAGCTTCGAGGTCCTCTGTCGACGATGCCCCTTTTTGAGTTTCATTGTTGGATCCTAACCGTAAAACATGTTGAGTCGGAGCTCCTCCATGTCCTTTAGCTCCCATATGAGAATCCAGGAGTCTCTTGTTGCATCTTGACCCGTCCCAAGCCATTCCACCTGGTCCATCATGGTCTCCCATCTTGCCCTTTGCGGTTGTCATCGACCTCAAACAGACGATCCGCGAGTAGAGACTCTCGGAGACTTGATCTCGTGGAAGCTGACCCAGAATCCGCCCCGTCCTGGCACAAACACGATAAATCGTCACCCGTGCCTTACAGTCGAGCCCTAGCGTTTCCTGCTCAGCCGGTCCAACATTGGTATCGCGAATGGATCGTCGTTCCCAATGTCACGATCCCGCCGGATCCACCGTCGGCATGATTAGTGTCGATGGAATGAAACTTTATGCTTGCTTGCCGACTTTGAGACGAACCTACCTCCTGAACAGCCGGGGCCTCAAGTCGCCCATCCAAGTCTGTTGAAACAAAGAACTGGGGAGCGGTACTGTACTCTCCGCATTCGTTGGAGTCGAAACGTGGTCAGGCCATGGTAGCCTTTAAGCCGCCAGGCGCAAAGCTCCAAGAAGACGCCTCCGAGAGACCAGACGTCGTACTTTGGGGAGTGTTGATTCTTTGCTCCAGACAAGGAGCACAATAATCGAATCTGCATCCGAGAATAGTACTGGCCGGCATCAAAGGTTTTGTATCATGAATGAAAGCCGGCTAGCCCCAAGTCCCTTAGCATCATGAAGTCAACATCTTGAGTGTAGGACGAGAACCAGAAGATTATATTTTTTGGACGGACATCCCCATGTCTTTGCCAGATTCTGAGACTTCCCGAGTCTTGATTAGATTGCACTACTCCTCGGCCCGTGAATTCGCCTGAAAACCGGGGCCGCACCTAAATATCGCGTAGCTGCCCATCTGCCCAAGTAGATTTGGCGGCTGTGCACTGGTGTTTCCGGATTTTCCTTCCAGGATTCTCCGTGATTGCCGTCTGCCCGTTTGAAAGGAGGTAGGCTTCATCCTCACGCTTAAAACTAGAGGGTGTCTAATGAGATGCCTTTCCTTTCCTTTGGGACTGGTAAGAAAATCTTGTCCAAAGCCAGCTAATTTTTGTCACAACTTCACCGAGGGCAAAGACTACATCATGGTGGAAGTTCTTCCCGGCGTTTATAAAGATAAACTTTTGGCCCATCTCTTGCCACATCCAGGTGTGGAACAAGCAACGTTTTTTGATATTCGTGAATCAGCGCTGGCTGATTTCAAACCCGGCATTTTCCGAGATTGCCGCCAGGCTCCCTCGGTTTGCTTTCTGGGTACTGGGGAGCAGAAAGCAGGAGGACGGGACCAGTGAGAGTCAGGGAGTCCTCCACGAGCAAAGTCTTGGAAAAAGCCTCAAGCTGCCCATGTATATTAGAATGGCAAGAATTCGTTGTCAAACACCGGTCTCCTAGACCTTGGACCACAGCAGCTCATCTGTATCTTGACTATACTTTTCCTTCATCAACGCCGTCATGGCTGTCTAATACTCCGTACTTTCAACACAATTTTACTACCAATCTCGCGTACTGGGATAGCCGAGTCAGTTCCTCAAAATCAGGGCAGAGTAATCCATTATGGACAGAATTTTCCACAGCTCATGGCTGTCCGTCATCACACTCAGCTACGACCAAATTACAATACAGCTCTCCTCCCCCCGCTTCGTCGTCTTGCCGCCTGGGTGGCAACCGTCGGAACTGGCAAGCCTCAAAATGTCGACTTTCCCCCTTTATATGCAGGCCCCCGTTCCCTGAGGGAGCGCGACGAGCCATCACCCAACCCATCCGTTCCCTCTTGGGCTATTTAAAACACTAGCTCCTGGCGTCCTGATTCGATGGCGTGTACAGAAATAAATCAGGGGCGGGGAGAGCCACCAGCTTCATGCGTCGCCGTCCCCATGATGCGATCTAATTGGGAAGCGGTCGTCCGTTTCGGAGCAAACAAGGATATGGACGGGTGCGAATCACCCGGCCGCACGGCCTCAGGCGCTTGCCTAAACGGGACTGCGGGTCCATTTAGCCACCGAACCAACGCGGCGTGGCTCGGCGTGGGGTCGCATCATCTCATCTCCCTTCCGGGTCCCACTCGGCTGGGCGTTGGAAATTTGACACATGGAGTTGGCCGAATGGGGGTCTCGGTCCAAAGTCTGGTAGCATGAGTGTGTATATTAACGCAACCTGGCCCTGTTTCAAAACACTCCAAGTATCCCATGGTGGCGCGCGACTTGCGAGGGACCGAAGGGAGTGGTCTGCGATGAGGCCACAAGAGCTTCATCATGAGGTGAGATTATTGGTGCGGTATTCGTGATGTGGTGCCTCACACGTCTGGTGACGGTGCGGGCCCAACACAATGACATGCTCCCATTCCCATCTCAACTCATCTTATGGTAGCTCATTTTACCCTTATCCACGTCCATGTAAAACGTGTTGTTGTACAATTCTATTGCCTTGTTGCAGAAAACGGCTGTCTGGGCAAGGAGGTGCTGCGGGGCGGGGTTGTTGACCTACCAGACGGACGGGCCTGGACCGGGCTTACACCGGCTATTTACATTTCAGGTGAGAGGGGATTTACCGAGGAGAAAGGGGACAAGTTTACCCAGCCATGACTTCCGGTGATGCTTATGCTTATGTCAGGCGCGGCCAGGGCAAGAGGTCAGCTGGGAAGGCACACCCGCTCGCGGAGCAGGTTCTCGGTGGTGGGGCGTGGTGGGGTGTAGCAGTGTCAAAAGTGCAAAGGTGGGGTTCTGCAGCTGTCCTAGAGCTTAACGTTGATTGCCCGCACCTTCCTCGTAAGGAATCAACTACGAGTTTGACACTCTGTACCTTGATAGGTTGGCTGGGACTGCCGCGGTAATCATGTGTGGTGCTTAATTTATGCCGCCATCCATCATCCAAATCATGTGATGAATCCCCGGACGTGCTCTTCTATGTACGGAGTAAAAAATAAAGATCGACAACATGGTGTCTGGTTCCTTGATCTCACGTTACATTCGTGACGTGTGGTGGCTTTTGGCACCTCTTGGCAACGGCTTTAGCATGATGCCGGCACCTTGCCTGCGCCGAGCTGGCACCGTCCCTTCTCCCTTCTCCCTTCTCCCTTCACCGTCAACTGGTCCCTTGGCCGTGTGAAGGGACACTGTGATGGAACCACGTCCACTTTTGACACTGCAACTAGCGGCCCACCACGGATCGATTTGACACAATACAACCCCTGAATGGGGTTAATTAGCCCTGGCTAATTACGGAGTACCCAATTCTAATTCAACCAGATCATCAAGTCACCTACCAGTACATGGAAAGAAGAACAAGATGACACACAAGCCAAAGCCCTTTCTCACAACACTTGATCCCCGAATTCTCTTGGCTTTGAAATGGCAAGGATAGCGCGGCTATCAAACTTGTCTGTCGACAGACATAAAAGTCCTTGGTATCCTCGACCATGGCATCCCAAGGTGTTTGTTTGTCAACCGAGGCAAGAGACGTTCACTCTTTTTCATTCTTTTTTTTTTTTTTGCATTTTTCCTGTACCAAGGCTAGTCCTTGTGTTGCACTTGTACTCTCATTCTGTAAGTTGTACCGCCTTGGTCCAGGCGTGACAAGCGAGCCTGTATCGCCTTGGGTGCCTTGGATGTATCATGATTCTTGTACATGTTATTCGCAATGCTAACAATGCTCGTCTTTATAGTACATTCCTTCAAACAACAACCTTTTGTGTAAAGGTTTTCCAATCGTCTGTCTCGACAACACTACTCTCATTCTCGCACTTGACACTCTGGTTTCCGAGTCTTTCGTCTGGTTTACTTAGATTCGCACCGGCTCCTCTCTTCCCAAAATGTTGAACAAGTTTATCCTGGCCGGCCTGGTCGCCTCTGCCAGCGCACACATAAAAATGACCAGCCCTTCCCCCTTCGACAATGAAAACTTGAGCAACGGCCCCATGGAGAAGGATGGTAGCAATTTCCCCTGCAAAAATGCCAACTACCGTAACCGCCCAGTTAAAGAAAACGTCTACGCCCAGGGCAGCACCCAGACGCTCGAGTTCCTGGGTTCTGCCGTCCACGCCGGCGGCTCATGCCAAGTCTCCATCACAACCGACCCGAGCCCCAACAAGGACACCGTGTGGAAGGTCATCAAGTCGATTGAAGGCGGCTGCCCTGCCAAAGATCAAACGGGCAACCTCGAGGGCGGATCCGCGACAGGCAAAGTCCCTTATACGTATGATTTCAAGATTCATGAGCAGATCGGCGCCGGCAACTACACCCTCGCCTGGACCTGGTTCAATAAGATCGGCAACCGAGAAATGTACATGAACTGTGCCCCCATCAGCGTGACTGGTTCCGGCGGCTCCCCGAACTATCTGGACACCCTGCCGGACATGTTTAAGGCCAATATTGGCAACGGCTGCGGCGTCCCAGAAGGCACCGATGTCCAGTTCCCCGATCCGGGCCAGGACGTCGACCAGTTTGGCCTCAAGACCAAGTCGGCTTTGGGGGCGCCCACGGGTAACTGCAAGACGGGCGGTACTCGCCCTACATCTATAAATACGTCTGCCACCTCACAGCCAACCTCCGGGAGCTCACCGCCAACCTCTGCCTCCTCAAAGCCGACCTCTGCCGTCTCAAAGCCGACGTCGGCCCCCCGACCGACAACAGGCACCGCCAGTCGCCCGCAGCCTACAAACACAAACACGCCTGGCGGCCCACGACCGACGACCGGCACCCCTACTCGCCCGCGGCCTTCATGCTCAAAGCGGCCTGGTGGCTCAAACTCGACGCTTGTGCCCCAACCGACGAGACCTGCTGGTGACAGCACTGTCTCCGTGAGCCAAGACGAGACCAAGGTTCCCGCACACAGCCCTACCCCCAGCACCGAGGCCGGCCCTGCTCCCACCCCGGGCACGGACGGCGCCTTCGCTCCCGGCACTAAATGCGAAACGGATGGCTGGTGGAACTGCGTTGGCGGAAAGTCTTTCCAGCGTTGCGCCAACCATAAGTGGTCCGAGACGCTGACAGTGACTGAGGGCATGAAATGTACTCCCGGAACAGGGGAAAATATCGAAATGTCTGCCGCCCAGCCCGATCTCAGCCCGTGCGATATTCGTCGTCGTCGACGCCTCCGACGGCACGCTTTTTAAGCGGGCTGTGCGACAGTCCCTAGCGGGAACGGGCGAATACCCATTTGATGGTACTTGCCGATGTTGGGGGAAAGAAATGTGACTGTAGTATCTTGGGGCTATGGGTTAGCATGGACATTATCATCTTCAAGTTATATATTCGTTGAAAAGGGGGGGGTTTGTTCAATATCACTTCAATACAAGTACATTCAAAGTGGACCAAGTCCCACTTGCCCGTGACGTGCTGCGAAATAATAGCCTGCGCCGGGAGCACAGACTGCTCGGTCCGTGCGAGAGTGCAGCCGAAGATGAGGATTTGCTGGTGGTGATTATTGTTAGTTGGCCCATATGTACATGGAGCTGCACGTGGCTTTGGTTGAACTTGACGTCCGGGCCTGAATGCCAGGGGCGTGCCGCTCGGACAAGGTGCTTGCGCGCGCGAGCCAAGCGAAATGGCCCGGCCCGCAGTTAGCGTTGTCGTTTAATCTCGACGATGCATCTAACCCAGTCCGGCTCTTGGGCTCCACTATGCTAACTTGACATCGGGACAACAATCAAATTAATAGTAGTACTACTTTTAAATTCTAACCGCCATGAGTCATAACCCATACGGCTCCTCAACCAGGGAGCTCTAATGAAAAAAAGCCTTTAAAAAAAGTCGTCGAAAAGCTGACTGATGACTGATAGACCATACCAGTCTGCTTTGTTCTAATGTCGCAAAATGCAGCGCTTTCCTTTACAAGGCAGTGACGGAAACCTTGACAGGTCTTGTCGGTTTTTTCGGGCCATCTAGCGACATACTTATCTAGCACATGTTGTCAAACGCAACGAAAAAGCAGCTATTGGAACTTGTTGAGCCGTATACGAAAGGTGAACAGGGTAGTCTATTCAGTGCTGGGCTTGATAATTTCCTATATTCCATGTACGAGTATATTGCCCGCTCGGGGACTTCACCTTTACCTTGTCGCGACGCATCTTTCTCCAGGCGACCACTGTTGCACGGAAGGGCCCAACAACAACGAGGCCCAACAACGGGGCCTCTCCGATAAAGGACCTAGAGGTTACACAGACTGAACACATGACCGGGCAGAGGCCCTAGGCACAGACGTTCCCTTTATATAGTGGTCACTCGTCCCTCTCTTCCTCCTACAAAACCAAGGACCTTTGACACCCTTCGAGATCAACTTCACAAATCAAGTCTTTTTCTCTAGGCCTTCTATTAAACCCTTGTCACAGCCATCAAGGCGAACCTGGATATACCAGCCCGGTCGTATTTATCGTCCTGCCTGGGCCCGCTATCGCACGCGTCGGGTATTACCCCAATCTCTTGTGGCATTCCGCCCTCGCACGCAGCTAGCTGCACCCGGCACTGTTATTTGCCTCCCGTAGGGTCGATAAATGAAGGTCAGTCTTTTCAAGATCTTGAGTCAATCATCAACCATGTGAGTCATTGCAAAGATGCCTGATAGAGCCCATAGGTTACACGGAAAAGGCCCAACGGATCGTGAAGCCCAACAGAGGGGCTTCGCCGACAAACGACCCGTTGGTTACACAGATTGAACACGTGCCCGGGCAAGAGTCCTAGGCACAGCCGTTCCCTTCATGTATATATAGTGGCCACTGTTCCCTTCCTTCCTGTTGGAAAACCAAAGACCTTTGACACCCTACTCGGTTACCTTTGAATTGAATCCTTTCCAAGCCTGCTATTTACCCTTGTCACACTATAGCATATGGCCTTGTGTGAGTCACCCACATCATTCTGAATAGTACAAATGACATGAATACTAATCCCCCCTGCTAGGCGAATGTGAAAATGTTCAATACAAGGCTTGGAGCAAAGACTCAATTTCAAAGTTAATCTCAAAGGGTGTCAAAGGTCCTTGGTTTTCTAAGAGGAAGGGGGGGATAAAAGAATATATATACATGAAGGGAACGTCTGTGCCTATAGCTTCTGCATGGACGTGTGTTCAGCCTATGTAACCTTGAGGTCCCTTTATCAGTGAAGCCCCTCTGTTGGGCTTCGTTGTTGGGCCGCCATTACTGTGTGACAGCAAATCCATCCGCTTGGGTGGTGGGACGCTGAGAAGGAGGCCTATTCTCGTCTGTGCGCAGATGAGCATATACATATGCAAGGGCATATTGATATCATCTACCAGCTTGCCAACTATGTGGTCTGGTCTTTAAAGAGTACTATTAGTACAGGGCAGCATGTCATACTCCACGGCCGCCTGAACCAACTTCATGCACCTTGTCTTCTTGAGCATGAGCACTCCGTAGCTGTCTTGAAAGCATCTAGTGGCCGCAGATGCCGAATTCGTCTCTACAACCACTAAAAAGGCCCTCTACGCCAACTTTAGAGCCGGAGACGGAGAGGAGATGACGCGCCGCCGCAGCTAAAAGCCGCCACTTGTCCTTGTGTTCTTTCCACCCCTTCTGTAAAAAGTCTCGAGGCTTTACAATAGACACGTCAAACCGTATTTGCCGAGTCTCGAGCCATCGTTCAAGCTTGGAGGTAGGGATTGCCGAGCCGCCCTCCGCCTTCTTTGCCATATTCATCGAGACGGCGTTCCATTGCGCAACAGAGACTCCCTGAGAACGCTCATCTAGTCTTGGTTAGATCGGAGCTGGGTTATAGCATTCCATGTTGCTGGCTCAGGCTACTCTACTTTAAAATCCTTCTTAGCTTCAGCTATATTCCCTTAAACATCGTGGTCCTTTAGTCGCCAGGAGAAATTGTGGCAACACGAGCTGGGGCCATGCAAAGAGCGCACACGAAACCCCGAGGCCAAAATTGCCAGCTACGTGATGAGCTGTAGTTGCGGATTGTAAGCTGACTTCGGTACCAGGACGTGCCACCCCGACCGTTGACGTCGAGTAGACCCGGCCCAAGTCTTGAGCCGGGCAGAACTTGACCCTTGACAGCGTGATTGCTCTCTGCTATCACGGGGGAAAGAGCTCGCTGGGTAAAACTAGACACTTCAACAGCAATTTGTCGCCTGGCATCAAAATAACGTGCCCTCGGTGTGCAGCAGTCCCACGACATTTCACGCCCCTGCAGCAGCTCCAGACAATCGCCATGCGGAAACACAAATCAGCCAATCCTCCGACGCAAAACGACGCAGGCCAAGAGTCCAGGGCTCCATTTCTCTGCATTCAAGAAATATAATTACTACGTCATCATTCTAAAACTACATAAAGAGAACAGAGGTGCCGAATGCCGACCAAACACCATCTGAAAAAACTCATCATCATTACGCTCATCGTCATTCATTCATACACCTACTCAGCCAACTCCCGCGCATAAGCCTCATCCGCCTCCATCCTCACAGCCTCCAACTTGTCCGTCAGGGCCTCCATCTCCTTTTCCACTGCGCCCCTGCCCTCCTCCGCACCCGCCGCCTTGGCGGCCAGCTTGGCGATCTCGGCCTCGATCTGTTCCGCGGCCTTGTACTTGGCTGCGGCCACGGCCCCCGGGGGAGCAACGTGTGATGAGGTGCCAGACTCGTGGCCGTCTTCGGGCCACGCGCCGGGCGCCTCGCGCGGGTTTCCGCCAACGGCCGGACCCCATGGTCCGTTGACGCCGCAGCCTCTGCCGCCCCTGCCCCAGCCGCCCCAACTGCCCCATCCTCCACGGCCAAATGGCCCTCCTCCCCTAGGCCCTCCAAAGGCGCCGCGGTGGCCGAATGGCCCTCGCTCGCCGAGAGGCCCGTCCGGGCCGAAGAAGAAGGAACTTCTCTGGGATGGACCGGTACAGCCCCGTGGCCAATTCGGAGTCCACGGAGGAGGGTTCGGAGCCGCAGTAGGGCCCGGCGGTGCGGGCGGCGCCGGCGGCGCCGGGGGAATAGGAGGTACTGGCGGCGGCTGCACATGGAATGGTCCTCCATGTCTTCTATAATCCTTGTGAGCCCGTCTCATTTCTCGTCTCTGGTTTCGATGCTCCCTCTTCTCCGCTCTGCGCTGCATCCGCCGCTCTCGTCGGTAGGCCTTTCGAGTTTGTCTCTGGGCCTTTTTGATGGACTTCCAGCTCGCTTGGAGACCCTTGATTTGCCCCTTGAGTGCCCTGCGGTTGAAGTTCGGATCTGCAGGTCCCTTTGGGACGGCTTTCAACTCTGCTTTCAGGGCTCGAATGTCGCTCTTGGTGCGTACCTGGCCGGGGTGCGATGTCCAGTCCTGGAGCCGTTCGGCGTATAGTGGAAGCTGGTGGTCCTTGATGTCGTCGTAGTCGGGGAGGGAGCCAATCGACGACTCGGAGCTGCTGGAGGAATCGGAGGAAGTTGATGAGACGGAGTGGGACCGGTCGTGTCCGTCTTTGCGGTCTGGATACCACCTTCTGCCGCGGTCCTCGGAGTGTTGGCCTTCACGGTGGTCGTGCCAATGGTGACGTCCGTGGTGCCTGTCGTGATGCCTGTCGTGATGCCTGTCGTGATGCCTGTCGTGATGCCTGTCATGACCACCGTGGCGGAAATCACGGAAATCGTGACGATGGTGATCCCATCCTGGGCGGCCGCCGAATGCCCACGACGGACCTGCTGGGCCTGCTGGGCCGGTCGGCCCGCTTGGCCCGGCAAAGCTTCGTTGCTGCGGTGCCGCTGTTCCCAAAGGCTGGTTATTATTGCCCATGGAGATGCCTTCATTATTCACAATGAGGCCGTTGATCTTGATGCCATTGCTGTCCAGGACTACAGTGTCCCCGTATCGGATTCCGTCGCTCCCAATGGAGAGCTTGCCGAATATAGAAGAATTGTTCTCTCTCTGTTGCTCAGGAGCCTCCGGCTCCGCCGTCCAAGCACCTGGTATTCTCGCCTCTGGGTCAAGCCTCACACTCATCCCCCTCGGCCCAAAGAAGCCATCATTCCACTGCTGGACAGTCGCCTCAATCTCCGGCCTACTCCTCGTGGTGGCCGCCCCGTTCTCCCGCATCTGCTCCAATTGCGCTTCTGCCTGAGACCTCCCGCTCGTCAGAGCATCACCACTCCTCCCCTCGCTCCTCAGCTTCCTCTCGATCACCGCTTCATTGCCCCTGGTCGTGTGATCAGGCAGCAGAAAGTTCACAAAGGTCGCCCAGTCCTGCGGCGTGACATCCCTCGCAGCCCAGTCGTTCTGATACGGCAAGTCATCTGGAAGAGAGGTACTTTCCACCCTGACAGTGTGAACGAGCGTCTCTGTGGGAGGATTGGCGGGCGGCGGTCGTGAGTCAAAGTAAACTGTGGCGCCGGGCTGCTCTGCAGATTGCCGGGGCTCCAGATGTGTATTCGACGATGTGCGAGGTGTCAAGGGAGGCGTGTAGACAACCTCCCCTGTGGACGAGGCATCGTCCAGAGGCGTGAGGCCGGTGTGGGAGGTGGAGGATGCGGCGGATCGAGGGCCACCCGAGTTGGAGTAGATGTCTGTTTCCGTGTATGGCGGGGGAGGGGCCTCCGCATCGTCGACATTGACGTGCAAATTATTCATGTTCGCATTCATCGCTAGGCGACGTTTTTGTCCCATGCGAGTCCTGTCCTTGTCTTGAGAGGATTTGAGTTGTTCGGTCGCTTGTTGTTCAAATGGATGCGAGGCTAAGTTTGCGTCTGCGGGGCAGCTGATGAAGGCGTCTGGTTCTCTCCGCGCTTCGGATAGTGTTGCCGACTCCGACGAAGCCGCTCACTGCCAGCTGATGGCGCCGCACGTGAGCGAACAAGAACAGAGTGCCCCGTTTCTGTCGCACGGATGAGGACACCGTCAAAGCAACGCCGGGGTCCAAAAAGGTAGCGGGTGTTTGATGAGTGGCAGATGGTCAAGGTGCAGAATGGCGAGGTCACCTCGGCATTATCTATAAGAATACAAATACGTGGTCTCTTCTTCTCGGAACTCCGTACAGACTAGTTGGAATTGCCGCCAGTGGCTGCCTCAAACAAAAGGGAGCTGCAAATCAAGCTATGGTACAAGACGCCATACAATAGATAATCGACAGCTTGCGGCTCCGAGCACACACAACCCCAACGGGCGTCGCAGCCACAGCCTGGACGACTTACGTCTCCCCGGTGCTTCCACCCGCTGACCGTCAGATTGACCGCGTCTGCCTCATCGTCAGCCTGTCCCAAAAAGTGCATTGCCGTTGACTGCGAGAGAATCAGATTGGTGGACACAACAGCCCAACTCCACCAGAGTTCCAGTCTATCGCACTCGCTTTCGCAGGGCTGGGTCCACCATCGGGCCCAGCCTGTGAACCTGCATCCGTCCCCCCAATGGTAGCCTTGCGTTCAAATGTTGCCTGTGTGTGTGGTGACGCGGCCCGCTGGAGGTCCCTGCAACCCTTTATCGACCATCCCCCAGCCCGAATCCTTGACCTATGACACAATTTGCAGGCCAAGTCGTCATCAAGTCACTACTGCGAATGGTTTATTCCATATCCAAACCATAGGCGAGCGTAGTTGTGCCCCTTCTTTTTTCGTCCTGGATGAGATCATCCATCATTACCCTCACACAGAACTCGTTGACGTTGCGCTGGGCGAAGTCGGAGGCAAGCAGTTGCCTTCGACTATCATCGATCGGATGCGTCTCCGAGATGAAAATCAGCATCTTCTTGCTTGTAGTGATCTGCGATCAAGCTAGCAAGGTGATCGCGCGAGTGTACTCCCCTGCAAACCCAAGTTGGGTGTTGTTAGTTACCAATCCACGTTGTTAACTGCAAGATGACGTGGGTTGCCAAGGTACCACTTACAAGTTGGTAATATATGTGTCAATAAACTCGGCCGGTACCAATTCCGTTACGGGGCTTCGGATTCCCACATTGTTGACCATGCTTCCATCGGCAAAACTGACAAAGCTTGAGGAGTCTCCCCACTCAATAAGAGCGTCTTCGTCGAATGGATTCACTGGGCTCAGCTTATACACACCAGCCAACACGACAACAGCATTGCCTTGTTCGCGGGCGGCCCTGGCGATAGCTGCAGCGCCGGCGTCTGTGACTGCACCTCCATTGGCAACAATGGTCCTCGCGCCGAGAATCACTTTGTTGACCCTTGACATGTAGGCCATGGAACCAGAGTTCATGACGTTGATGACAGTGATGCCGGCAGTCGACAGTTTCTTGCGGAAGGCAGCGTGCTGTACTTGCTCAGTTTGCTTCCGTAGAGGCTCCGTCACGATCAGGACCGTAAATTTTCTCTTGGAGGCCGCTCGAAGGACGAAGCGCTCAACTGTGGGCGAAGGCTGGTGAACCAAGATGTGGTCGCCTGGGTGAATCTGCACCTCGGCATGGGCAGCGATCTGGTCATCCACCTGACTAATTTCGTCCTTGATCTCCTCGATTCCGTCAATGACCTCGGAACGCAGGGCATGGACTTGGCTGCTGGTCTGGTATGCAACACGTGTAGGCGTCGAAGTGCCGGAATGTCGGTGCGGCGAGCTGAAGCCATCAATATTGGAAGGGGGGGAAGCCGAAATCAGATGGAAGAGAGATTTCGGGACATTGACTGAGCTATATGACGGGACCGGTCCGGGTCTCGTTGGGGCCACAGCTGGGTTGGAGACTACCTCTCCAGCCGAGTCTTGTTTTGTACGTGTCGACGGAGGAGACTGGACAAGGGGGAGGTGTGTGGGATGTTCGCCCTGGGGAGTCAAGGGAGCCTCGCTCTGGGTCTCGCTGGAGGGTTCATTCCGATCTTCTGCGGCCTCGTCACGGATGAGGGCGAGAACCCGTCGCACAATATTGCCAATGACTAGCTCTTTTGGTTGTGCCTCGACCAGGCGTCGACCAATGCGCGTGATATTATCAATGAGGCCGTCGACGTCTTGCCATCTCGATCGAGCAACGACTTGTAAAAGAATATGGGCAGTGGCCACGGCACAGGGCTCAGATCCACGGATCTGTCTTCTCTTGAGCAGGCTGCGTGGTATTGTTAGCGTTTGTGTTTGAACCAGTTCCCCCAGAGTCCTCCCTTTGAGGGCCACTCACGAAATGAGGTTCTCGACTGCGGCCTCCAATGGCTGTCCTTTCAAGGATCTGAGGTACTTCTCGAGGTCGGGCGCGTAGCCCGCAGTAGCAGACGGCATCTTGACCTTGTTTTGGGGAAGATGATAGCGTGGGTGTTGCAGGAGTTGGGATCTCTTGAATCGCAAACTGGCTATTGCGCGACGAGGGGCGGCGGGAGCGTCTGGTGGGTTGTGCGGTTGAGTCACTGCAAAAAAAATTACATGTGTACATTTGGTGCTTAAGTAGTGCCTAGGGTAGCTAGCTCCTAGTACTAGCTACTTCAAGTATTGACAACCAGTTGACTTGACATTTTTTCTCCGGCAGGTCAACTGGTGGGACAAGGCGGGGCACGGGGGTGGTCAGCAAGTACCTGCAGTGGCTGACGGCCACGTTGAATTAGCCACGACGACGCATAATAGATGTCGAAATAAGACTTGTATGACGTTGACGATGGCCCTTCGAAAAAAAAAAGGAAGAAGAAGGGGAGGCTGACTTGTTTTTTTTTTTTTTTTTTGGTTTTTTAAGTGTCGGGAGTTGGTGAATGGATGAAAGGCTTGCTGACACATGATTGGTTTGTGGCACAAGAGTCGATGTACAATTGTGGTTTGTGTGAACCAGACTGCATCTACTCGCATGTAGAACAAGTCAGGAATCATCCGAATATGAAGCACGTAAACTAGTTATCAAGGTACCAGTGAGAGTATGCCTATATTTTGGCATGAAACATTAAAACACATCTAGCCCCAGCCCAGTTGCCATCGCTTCGCTGTCTGTCTCTGAACCTATTTCTGGTCCCATTACCCTGCATTGTTGTCTAGCAAGTCAAGTTTGTCGAAACGGTCGACGGTGCTAGGTGCCCAGGTGCTTGAGGGCGTGTTGGACAAAACATTCGTGATACTACTGCCCGCATACACTCAACCATCCGAGGCCCCAACATGCAATGGCTCATCCCAGGCTGCGAACTTCTTGCGCCCTCCGTGAATGGTTGACGGATGCTCCTCGGCAAGTTGTGGCGGGCAACGTTCGGGGACGGAGTAGTCAAGTCTGGTCCGTACGGACATCGTCCAGGGCCCGCGTGCGCCTGCCAACCGGCTTCTAGTGGTCTGGTTGGCTTGAAGGCCGACAGGGCATAGCGTCTGGTGGCACTGATGGCACTGATGGCATGGGCCTTCATGCTCCGTACTCCGCCAAGTGCTCAAGTGCTCCCATGTGCCGTCAGTACGGGACATCGGATAGCCTTGACGCACCTGTGGAGTGAACCAGGTCGTTGCGCCTGACGCTTGACGGGTTGACCTCTGCTCGCCCCTCAAACCTTGCCCAAACATTGCATTGTTCTTCCCATGTCAACCGCTTCCTGCATAGCCATCACATCGCAAGCCTGATCCTCTTGCCGATGCTGAGCTTCTCTCGGCTAACTGCGAATGCCCCATCTAGACATTCACGCTCCTTGACATTCGTTTTCCGTGCTGTCATTGATTGATTTTGGCAAAGCCTAGCGATACCCGACGAATTGACATCATCCCCAAAGCATCCCTTCGGGGCGACCTCGCCTTCCTTCTTGCGACACGCCCGAGCGCTTCTTCTTCCTCTTCGGCCGTGCCTTTCAATCCGTCGTTTGGACAGCCTCGAATAGCCTGATGGCTGGCTGTCCGTCTCCAAGATGAATTCTCTCAACATCATTACCGCTCGCGTTTCCCCCTCGGCCAGTCCCAATCCATCGCGATCCAACAGCCTCGGCAACATCAGCGCCGGGCTGCTCCCCGACGAAAAATCTACCGACGGAAACGACGGTAAAGACGCAGCCAGCTCAGACCCATTTCTCGGCTGCGACTACGATGGCTCGCAACAGACGAACGAAAAGTCCAGCTTCGTAGCTACCGAGGACACGCCGCTCTTGGATGGAGGCAAAGATGGCAACAAGCGAGCTAGCTGGTGGCATTCAATACCCCGACGCCTGGTCTCAAGCATCATCAGTTCCATTCGCTGGGTGCTTGCTACCCTGGCTTCACCTGGAGTCTACCTCATTGCCTGCTTCTACGACGAACATGGCGTCTTTGCTCCCTTGTCACAGGTGAAGAGGCTGTTTGGCGTCCAGAAGGGAGGTGGAATGGATAGCTACGGATCGCACGAGAACCACGCTGCCAACCATGCCGAACCACCCGCCGTGTCTGGAAGCTCGCAGCCTTGGGGTTACCGCCGTATAGCGCCGCGCCCTGCCCCATCCTCTGGTTCATCCACATCAGGCCAATCGTCGGAGTCAGAGGGAGAAACACCCAAGGGCTCGTCCAGCCGGCACGGCAGATCAAAATCACTGAATCCCGCGGAAGAGCTCAGCTCTGCCCGGAGATCGATACGAATCAAGCTTCACAACGACGATGCTCTGCGGCAACGTAAGCAGCACCGTCGCGCGCAGTCTGCCGTCGCACGGACCAAGATGGACGATGAAGATCTCTCTGCGCAACTCAAATCCCCAACGTCGCCGATTGCAGCTCTGACCAAGTATCCGAAGACGCCGGCGCCCCCCCGACCATTGATACCCCGACGCCAACCCTCCTATCTCAAGCTCGATGCGTCTGTCAAGCACCAAAAGACGTTAATCCTGGACCTTGACGAGACGTTAATTCACAGCATGTCCAAGGGAGGCAGAAGCAGTGGCCACATGGTAGAAGTTCGACTCAATACCGCATCATTAGGCATGGGTACTGCGCCAGGCGGCGCGGCTCAACACCCTATCCTGTATTGGGTCAACAAGCGACCGTATTGCGACGAGTTTTTGCGGCGCATTTGCAAGTGGTTCAATCTGGTCATTTTTACGGCCTCGGTGCAAGAGTACGCTGATCCGGTCATTGACTGGCTGGAGGCGGAGCGAAAGTTCTTCTCTGCTAGATATTATCGCCAACACTGCACGTACCGTCAAGGCGCTTACATAAAAGACCTTAGCTCAGTGGAACCAGATTTGAGTAAAGTCATGATTCTGGACAACAGTCCGCTGAGCTATTTGTTTCATGAAGGTTGGTTTATTGGCTCACAAAGCTGCCCTCTGCTCCTCCCAAGACGCTGGACACTGACTGACCTCGGCCAGACAATGCCATCCCGATCCAGGGCTGGATCAACGACCCCACAGACAACGACCTAATGCACCTGATTCCAATGCTAGAAGGTTTACAATACGTCCACGATGTTAGAGCACTCTTGGCATTGCGAGGCGGTGAAGATGGGCAGCATATGGCGTAAATGAAGGTAAATTTGGGAAAGTAAAAAAAACTCACCTGGCGTTTATTTATGGAATGGAGCTGCTGCGAATTTGATTTTTTTTCTCCTTTTTTGGCCACTGACGGGCTCAACCACGTCGGTACAGGGGGGGGGACCTTGTTACAAGGTATTGTTTCGCGTTGACCAAGACAAACCTCTGTCACCACATTGTACAGATAGACTGGAGGGGGGAGCGGTGTTTAAATGAAGGGCTTTGAGGGGGCAATTTGAGCAGATATTGATGGGGGAGGCGGCTACAGGTAGTAGCCGGACGGTAATTTGAGCATTTTCAGCGCCTACTTCCGTGTCATATGGTGCCAGGCCTTTGCTAGTGCGTGTTGGCGGCCTTGCATTGGGGTTCTGCTAGTCATCGTCCATCCCTGTTCTTGAAGAAGTTTAATTCTGTCTCCTCAGTCCCCGGACCTTGGACAGGAACACTGAATGTCTGACACGCAGTGGGAGACGAGTGGACGTGGAAATCGTTCCTGGAGGCGCTGTGGATCGAAGAATCCGCAGGCAGTGCGCCGCCGGCGGTGGGCCTTGGGCATAACATCGAATGGTGTCATCGGCACATGGCGCGATCAATTGACGGGCTGCCGGCGACTTCCTAGGCCTCCGCAACCGTGGTTTCGCGGGTTCCATGTTGCCCAAGCTGTGGTGGTGGCGGCGATTCCAGCCGTTGCCGAGGTGAACGGCGGCTGCGCGGCTGCAGCTTACATATTGACTCGCATCTCTGCAGTTTACGTTTACAACGAATTTCGCGGCAACGTTGGACATGGGCCGCGGTTTCACCTAGACAAAGGGAGCTCGATCATTGGACACGTTACTGAGCCAGTTGCCGACGCTTCGATGGCAACCAAGTGGCAAGCCGCCTAGTCGCTGACGGATAGTCGCAAGGGGCGGGTCTCGAATTCCAAACGGCACTGCCCATCGTCGTCACTGGTCCTTCCTTCCAAAGCCGGCGTGCGTTCTGCAGAGCTTGCCGGAAACCAGTCTCCACAAAGTGGTGACATCATCGCTCGCAACAAACCCCCCCCTTCTCACGGAGCATCACGCATCAAGCCACAAGGTGCATGCGCCTTTGCCCAATCGAGATTTGCGACAAACCTATTTGCCAGCATTTGCTGAAGCAACCAAGGGAGGGCCTGCCCGGGGCTGTCGAAGGTTTAAAAGGAGGGGGAAGGACTTCAACGGGTCGGTGTGACTGAACTTGGACCTTTCATTATCGTCAACCTTGTCGAAAACAAAAGACATCAAAGACTTGCTGAAACTCACCATGTCTCTGCACTGTAAGTTGTGCCGTCGCGACACGCGCTGCTTCTCCCCTCTCACCCTTTGATCCCCCCCTTCCCTGCGGCCGCCATCGTGAGTGGTGTCTCCGAGCTGGGCGAGCACATGAGAGAATGCGAACCCCCGCGACCTGTGTTGCCTCCCATCCACACCTCCCGCTTCGCCAGAGATTGCGGATGCTGATGTGCGCAGACCTGCCCCCCGTGAAGCCCTCTGCCATTGCGCTGGGCACCTTCTTCAACCACGGCATCGAGCTGGCCGTGCTGGGCCCCGTCTTCGGCCAGACCTACCAGCGCGCCAAGCAGGCCAACACCAAGGAGGAGTTCATCAAGTCCAAGGAAGCCAGCGGCGCTGCCATTGCCTGGGGCACCTCGTTTGTCGGCTCGGCCCTCCAGAGCTATGGTGTCGGCGCGTTGATCAATGCCACGGGGACCCTGAGCTATAAGGGCGCCGCGTACCTGGGCGGCTTGATCTTTGCCGCGACGGCGGCCCCTGGAGTAAGTTTGGTTTTTTTGTCCTCCAGTGATGCTGATTTTCTCCCTTTTACTCTTGAGTCTTGATATGCCATTCCTCGTCGCCCACGCGCTGTACGGAGAATGGTGTAGATGGACGATGCTGGGGATGAGATTGTCGTGACGAGTTGCTGACCTGGCCTAGTTCCTTACCCAAATCTTCTCGGAGAAGCGCCCCATCGATACCGTCGGTGTCAGCATCGCCGCCAAGCTTGTGGAAACTATTGGATTGTCACTGTTCCTGACTTGGTGGGGTACTCGTACTAACCCCTTTGACTAAAGGGCCATATTGCTTGGGCGAGTATCGTGTGCGGACGGTTCTTGTTGTTCGCTGGTACAGAAGGAAGTGTTCGGGGGCAGATGTTCATGATTGGACCTAGTTTTTTCAATTGATCATGTATTACACTTTGGCGTGTCGAGCTCTACGTGGCCGCAACGAAGATCCTTGAATTGGTGATTGAAGTGTCGATGACTGGTGGTGTTGATGCTCATGACGTTGTAAATTCCGCGTAATTGGATGCGTCGGGTGTATTAGGCACCTGAGAGGTGATACTCTTGGGGATCCAGGCCCGAGCATTGGTAGTTGCAACGCCTCTACTACGAGGTGCTCATTGACAAAAGGGAAGGGCAAACGTAACCATCACGCCACAAGTTTCTGCGATCTAGCTATCAATTATCACAATACCATGTTGAGAAATGCTTTAATTGATGATGCCATGTACCTGAACGCCGCCGTAACCCAATTCGGCCCTGCTAGTCAATCCCTCTGGTATTTATACACCCAGATCAAACCGAAGCCTCAAACAAGCCCACCCCATTGGCAAACCAGCGACTCGCCCTCCGTCTCTCCATTTTGTAACAAATATGCAGACGTCAGCTTTTCAACTGCCATACCTCTTCCCACCATGGCAATGTTCTTCTCCTTGTTCTTCCCTCAGCACCTCCCTATGCCTTTGACTCCCCCTTTGTCCAGAACGACTGCTTGGAAAACTCCTTCTGCACCAGCTTCACCAACGAAGCATACGTCTCACCAAACGACTCGTCGTCTTCCTCCTTCTCTTCCTTGACCCCGGCCTTCTTCTTGCCGTCGGGCTTCTCCATGATCATGACCACGCTGGTAGGCCGCTTGGTCTTGGCGGCGGCGCCCAGCTCGGCCCGCGACGTGACAAAGATGAAGGGCACGTTGTGGTCCTCGCACAGCACCGGAATGTGCGAGATGACGTCCTGGGGAGAAATGTCGCCGGCAATGACGACGACGCCGGGGAAGGACGTGTTTCCCGGCCCGCCGGCAGGCGACTTGCGGAGCGTCTTGACGACCTCCTTGACGCCGCGCTTGAGGGTGCCGTTTTTGGCGGCTGGCAAAAATCGTTAGCTACTTTCCCGCACTCGACTCCGCTCTCTGCTGCTCCGGGGAAAACGAGGCTCTCTATACGCACCCTTCTTGATGGTCTTGTACACCTTCTTCATGCCCTTGTCGTCGGCTAGCGGCACGGCGAAGGGCACGACGGTCCTCGCCAGCGGCGGCAGCTCGGAGGGGCTCTGGTCCTCCATCTCGGAATCCTCCTCCTTCTTCACGGGCTTGCTCTGGGCGGCGGCATCCTGCTGCAGCTTCTCGTCGAGGGCGGCGGCGAGCTTCTCCTTCTTGTCCTTCTTTTCCTTCTTCTCCTTCTTGGGCTTGCCTACGCCAGACTCTTCGCTGCGCTTCTTGTCCTTCTTCTCCTTCTTGTCGGGTCTTTCGGCGGCCATGGCTGCTTCAGGGCTCGGCTGTCGGCTGGGATAAAAAAAAAACCTTGGGTGCTGGTGTGAAATTTTGCAAATATGGAGATACCAAAAATTTGGCTATACTCAAAGAATGCTGCTTATGAAATGTATATTTCAAAAACGAGCATAACAAAAAACAACCAACAAAAATACCAATTGGGTCAAGACTTGGTCGACAAGGTGGGCGGAATTGGTTTTCGCACCTCTTTCCACGGGCTGGAGACCTCGAAATTTTTCCTGCCAGTCGAAACTTTTACTGGCAATTGAGTGAGCTGGGTCCGAGTTTTCGGCATTACGTGGCGCCGGTTCCGATGCAGAGTCACGTGATTGTGTGTAGCCTGTGAGGATCGCATGATTGAGAAAGAATAAGCGATGCGTGATTGGCACGACAAATTATTTGAGTGTGAGCTCTTGTAAAGCCAATTGATGGTAAGAGCATCTTGAAAGTATTTATTGCCGCGGTAGAGGCCTGGATGGAGCTTCATGAGGGTCACGTACTACTTGTCGCTCGAACCTAGCTAGATACCTCGTGGTGGGAATTCAATGTAGCGCATCACATGGCATACCAAGGTAAGATGAGTAGTAACAAATGGAATGGATTTAAACATGCGCTCGCCGCACATTTGTGTTGGTTACATATCTGCTGGCCCTCCTGTCTAGACTATGATATACAAATGCTTTTTATCGATTGTCCCTGCTCAACCCTTCTTACTCGGCCTCGTCACCAAACTCGGCACGGCCGGCCTTGGACTGGAGGTAGTGGTTTCTACTAATATGTTAGAATACCGTGCTGAATTCCTCATATATTTTTTTTCGGTTACGAACCGCTCAGTAGCCCACTGCATCAAGTAGTATCCAGCAACCAGAGGAGGGAGCCAGTAGAAGATCTGGCCCTTGGTACGACGGAACGTGTTGAAGAAAGCGTCGTGGACCATGCCAGCAGTAGGGTTCTGTCTGTTGGCAGAAATGCCGTAGTGGATGATGCCCTTTTGCTTGGAGCCACCTGTATCGAGTTAGTAACCTCGGTTCGTGATGCTTCGTGTTCCCCTTTCGCTCCGTCGTTTTGAAGTAGCCCAAATGCGCAATTGTCACAGTTCTGAATCAATCCCCTAGAAACATTCACTCCAGAAGGATGTATCCTCGATTGATTGTGGCCAGTCCCACGTTTGGCCATCGGCAACACTCCCCGAGCACAAGCCGGTGATTTCATCGTTCCTCGTACGCTGCGCAATTGTCCGTCGAAAGAAAGGCATCGTACTCACCAAAAGAGCCCCAATCACCCAGCCAGCTACAGAAAGAGAGAAAAAAAAAGTTAGCAAACAGAGTCGACGAATCGAGGCGTGCAGAATGGCGCAGCCGACAACATTCTTGCCGTCGCGGAAAAGCCGCAGGCGCACACCGCACCAGTAACACAACCGAGAGCAGGACAAAAAACATACTGGCCAACCTTCCAATTGGGGGCACCACCGCCGTTCAGAGCTTGCGTCGGTCTCATTGTGGCTGATGTCGAGGAATTGCGTGACGTTGATTCCTGATAGTCGGACGTTCGTGAGGCAGGGAAAGGCGAAAGTCGGGCTGCGGGTGAAAGAGTTGCAAGTCTTGAAAGGCGCTCCCCCGTCGTCCCGAGCTTACCCGAACAGGGTTAGCGCCACAACCACCTCCCGAAAATCAGCCTGCTGTGGAGGAGCAAGCTGGGGGATGGAAACGACGAAGCTCGGTGCTGCCTCTTTTCTGCCAGTCCGTCGCATCCGCCCATCGCCAAGCGAAAAAAAAGAGAGACCAATAACACCACCACAGTTTGAGGGTTGTGCACAATGGCGGCCGCAGCAAGAGCTCTCAATCTCATGTACCGCCTGGCTGTGCCAGCCACGGCGGGCGCATTCCTCGTCAGCCAGTCCATCTTCGACGTCAAGGGCGGAACAAGAGCCGTCATCTTCGACAGGCTATCCGGAGTGAAGGAGGATATCATCAACGAGGGGACGCACTTTTTGGTGCCATGGCTGCAGCGAAGCGTCATCTTTGATGTGCGTACGAAGCCGAGAAATATCGCCACGACTACGGGAAGCAAGGATTTGCAAATGGTCAGCTTGACGCTCCGTGTGCTGCACCGGCCGAATGTCAAGGCCCTGCCCAAGATTTACCAGGTACAATCACCCACCCGCGGTCAGCCCGATTTCAAACCATGATGTGCTAACCGTTTTGTAGAACCTCGGCGTCGACTACGATGAGCGAGTTCTGCCCTCCATCGGAAACGAGGTTCTGAAAGCCATCGTCGCCCAGTTCGACGCTGCCGAACTCATCACCCAGCGAGAAGCCGTGTCACAAAAGATTCGCACAGAGCTCACGCGCCGCGCCGCCGAGTTCAATATTGCCCTCGAGGACGTGTCCATCACCCACATGACGTTTGGCCGGGAATTCACAAAGGCCGTCGAGCAGAAGCAGATTGCGCAGCAGGATGCGGAGCGAGCTCGCTTCATTGTCGAAAAGGCCGAGCAGGAGAGGCAGGCCAACGTCATCCGAGCCGAGGGCGAAGCCGAGTCTGCGGAGACTATTAGCAAGGCCATTGCCAAGAATGGCGACGGGCTGGTGCAGATTCGAAAGATTGAGGCGAGCAGGGAGATTGCGCAGCAACTGTCGTCGAACCCCAACGTGGCGTATTTGCCCACGGGGAAGTCGGGTAATGGAGGACAGTATCTGCTCTCTGTTGGACGGGCTTAGAAACGTGTAAGGAGACTTGGAACAGGAGGGCAACTTCTCCGCTTTATCGCTGACGGAAGCGACCATGTAATTATATATCTCGGAAATACCAATGATGATATATTTCCACCCCCATGTTTGCTTTCACCTCTACTACCTCGTGCATTGGGCTTACTGCTATGCAAATGAATCGACAGCTCGCTTTATATGAAAACCGTTGTTCGTCCCTCCTCCCTTATTTCTCGATAAATGCCTCTGTCAACCCGCCCGGTTTCCCAGGCGGCCAGAAATGCCCACCCACCAATGTCCATCCCGCCCTCTGCATATCCTTCCATTCATTCATGACCTTCAACCGCACCAGCTCCCCCGCCGCCCTGGCGTCCTCTGCAGAATCGTGACCCAAAACTTTTGGCCCCGTATCCTGCTGAATCTTCTTGTTCAAGTGCACATCCATGAGCATCTTCAAGCCATGGCGGTATGGTAAGCCGAGTTTGTGGGGGTACAACAGCACCGTGTCTATGAGAGTAGGGTGAACGATTCGCACGGCGTTCAGGTCGTTTTCCAAGCCGTGGCCGATCAGGGGCGTCGACGGGGATATCAGCGAGAATAAGAGACCGCGAGCAACTTCCGGGGAGGAGACTATCTTGAGATCCTTGGAGTTTGACTCGTTCGCCGTACCAGTTCGAGGTCCCGACTTTGGCGGCGCCGCGTCGTCTGACACCCAGGGTTTGGCGTTTGCCAAGTCGTCTGGCCAGACGCCAGAGTAGCGAGAGTTGAGATCCAGTATTTCACCCACCGGCTGGACCAACACGTCGAGGAGCTCCTCGCCCAGAGGCCACGACGTTGCGGTGAGGCGGATGAGCTCCATCCCGTGGACGGTGTAGCCCATCTCGCAGTCGAAGCAGACAGCCCTGTCCTCGGGGATGCCGGGGTTCTCTGGTGTAGATGCGTAGTTGAGCACCGCCGCCAGCCGCTTGGGGTCGCCTGCTTTGAAGACGTGCTTGTCGTGGGTGGCACAGCCTGCCGAATCGCCCACCTCCTGTCCACAGCACCGATATCGTTTCGGGACCCTGGCCGTATCGCCTGGAGCCTTTTCGGGGACGTACGTCTTGCCCCAGTGGAAGTTGCATGCGCCCCCGGACACAAGCGCCCCGTCTTCCGCCCTTCTCCCCGGGAAGACCTGGAAGCGTTGCTGGCACCGGTCGCACTTCTCCCATCCCTTGCCGGCCTCCTGTCCCGCCCGGGCTGATTCTACCACGTCCTCGGCCGGGACGGAAGACACGTAGCCGTGATTGGAGAGATCGTCCACTCTTGTAACGATCCTCTTCAACAGTTCCACCTCCTGTGCGGTCGTGAGACCGGTGTTAATCTCTTTCGGTATATTCCCTCCATGCTGCTCCTTGGGTCGAGGCGCCTCTTTGACGCGTAGCTCCTTCCATTGAGCCACATTCATCTTCTTGTGCTGCATAATCTTGTTTTTCATAACGTTCGTATAGACGGCTGGCTTCTCCAACGCCGTTGCCTCCTCCTCGTCCAACGCTCTGAAAATCAGACCCTGCGGGGACAGGACAAACGAGGGTTCACCTGCTTTCATGGCGGCCATTTCTAGTGCCCGATTGAGCCGGGCATATTCGTGGTGTAACATTTTGAGAAGTTTCAGTCGGGTTTCATGACTTGCTGGCGAGCTCTTGAGAAGTCGTGGATTGAGGGATTCAGGCTTTCTCCTTTTGGTCGATTCACAATCCGCCTTTGTCACGGGTTTGCCGATGGGCACAGGCGACTTTGAATCCTTGGTGGCAGCTGTCTTTTGTGGTGTTGAAGAAGACGACCTCGCCTTTGTGTCGGCTGTTCTTGTGTTCCGCTGAAGAGGTGGTGGTGAAACGGACCGAGTGGCACTGCGAGGCTTGGTGCTGAGGGTGTGATGTTTGCTGGCGTTGTCGTGTAAAGAGCTTGCTTTGGAGGGTGGTTGAGATGGGGCAGAGTTATTCTTTTGTTCTACTTTGATGCGTTTACGGGGTCCTTCTTGGTAGGGAGGGGAGCGGTCACGAGAGATGGATGATGAGGCGTCTCGAGACGAGCCTGGCGGCGTTGGCTCAACTTTGGCCTCGGTAGCGTCTTCTTCGCCGTGGCCGAAGATGCACTGGAAGGCGGTGCAGTTCTTGCCGGCAGGGCATGGTATGTGCCTGAGGGAGAAGCTCATGGTGTTGGTTGCAAGGAGCAGCTCGCAGTGACACTAGGCCATGAGAGTTGGCGCGAGGCGCACTTGAGTATGCTATTAAGATTGAGAGGCTGGGGACGATCATGGACGGAACACGTGCGGCGCGGACGATGCTAGGCGCGTAAGTATGTATATTGGGTTGAGTTGGCGATGCTTGCACTGGAGATGACGGGCATCGTCAAAGCTCGTCGACGTCAATCGGTTCAATGCTTGGCGGTTTGGGCCACCCGGCGCACAGACCAACGGAGCGCAGTGGTGGACAAATTAGGTTCCAGGACTGGAGGCTCTAACAAAGACATGCTGTCTGGTGACATGATTTTGCCCGACTTTTTGTTGAACAGGGCCCGCTCTCTAGTGCCGCCTGGTCAACATTGAACGCGTTGAACCCTTGGCTCCCGATGCCAGATGTCCGGTCCGCCAGGCCCCATTGATTCATGACTGGAGCCTGCACTGTTGGGCCTCGGCGACCTGTCCATTCAATGTTGACCACATGCGGCCAGTCTGTGCCACCAATTCCTCTGCGTCATCCTCCGCCTCCAAAGGTGTTATCAACGCGCGACCTCCCCGACCCTTCAGATGTTGTCCTTACGCAAGACTGCCTTGTATGGTGCTCTGGTCGTCGCTCTGGGCTTCTTTTAGACCAGCCCTCAGAGTCTGGTCGTCGCCCCAAGCTCAAGCTGCCTCTGCCTACGTCCGACATCGCATCGCGAGCCCGTCCCTCAAAGTCCTTCAGGGGCTGCCACCTATCGCCATGCCGCCTCCGACCTATCCCAAGTACGAGGGCGGCACTCCCTCTGCCGACCACCTGTGTGTGCTTGTTCACGGGGTAAGGTCCCCATGTCCCTCGACGCCTTCGATATTCCCTTGAGCGAATGCTTACGCGCTCCGTTTTAGTTGTGGGGAAACCCTGATCATATGAGAAACGTCGCCAAGAGCCTGCGCAGCCTGTATTCCTCGAGCGAGCTGCGTTTGTTGTTTGCAAAGCGCAACATTGGAAGCTTTACCTATGATGGTATTGAGCGTGGTGGCGAGCGCATCTGTTCCGAGATCGAAGAGGAATTGCGCGCCGTGGAGGACAGTGGCGGCAAGATCACCAAGATCAGCATCGTTGGATATTCTCTTGGAGGGCTGGTCTGCCGCTATGCCATCGGCTTGTTGTATGCCAAGGGCGTCTTGGACCAGCTTGAATGCATGGTAATTATGCTACCTCGTCCCCGCCCCTCTGGTCCCCCTTCAACAACTCATCTGACGCTTCTACACAGAACTTCACCACGTTCGCCTCACCCCATCTCGGGGTTCGCACACCCCTCAAGGGATGGCACAACCACATCTGGAACGTCATGGGAGCCCGCACTCTATCCATGTCCGGAAGACAGTTATTCACCATTGACAACTTTCGCGACACTGGCCGGCCGCTGCTCTCCGTCCTCGCAGAACCAACCTCCATCTTCATGCTGGGCCTGCGCAAGTTCAGACGCCACACCCTGTACACCAACATCATCAACGACCGGAGTGCCGTCTACTACACCACCGGCATCACAAAGACCGACCCGTACCGCAAGCTGGACACGGTCAAGGTCAACTACCTCAAGGGCTACAACGGTGTCCTCCTCGATCCTGGCAACCCGGTCCAACCGTCGCCCAAACTCCGCGGCCCAGCCACCATCTCCTCCGTGACGGGCTCCGTCGTCGACTGGATCAAGCGCATCCCGTTCATGATCACCGTCGCCGTCTTCGTCCCCATCGGCGTCCTCGCCTACCTCTGCAACTCCGTCATCCAAAACATCCGCAGCTCAAAGCGGATCCGGCTCTACGAGCAGGGCCACGCAGGCGTCAGCATAGACGGGTACCGCGTGCCCGTCTTCATCAAGGAGCTTCGTGAGGAAGTCGAAAACACGTACGAGGCACTCAACAGCTCCCAGAACCAAGAGTACCTGGCCACCGAGGACGAGGACGACGTCGACGCCATGAGCGTAGAAGACAGAAGGCTGATACAGCGCGAGAGAAGGCTGTCCACGCCAACGCAGCCGACGCTTGCGCTGACGGCGCACCAGTTTGAAATGATTCGGTCGCTGGACACGCTCAAGTGGAGGAAGTACCCCGTCTGGATTCACAACCATAGACACAGCCACGCGGCCATCATTGTGCGCATGGAAAAGAAGGCGTTTGACGAGGGGTGGATCGTGCTGAAGCACTTTGCCGAGGAGGAGTTTTTGGCCTAGATTAATAGACTGCATGTCGGCTCGGGCTAATAGAGCGGAGGCGGGAAAGATGGAATTTGTTTACTGCGGAACAAGAAGAGAAGGAAAGAAGGGAAGACAAGCGTGCACGCTACGATGGGGACATGATACTTGGAACTTTTGCTTGCCGTTGGGACTGATAGATGGTAGAACCGGGGACTGCCCGTACGATCACTTTGGCTGCGGCTAGAATTACCTTTGTGCATCGGCTATTGCTCATACTCCTGCTAGCCACGTGGTTGTGTCTCTCTTCTTCTGACGTGCAGCCTGAAGCACAAGTTTCCCATGGATATTGCTTCTTCGCCTCGGGGGGCAGTCGGTGGTGGCTGGTCACAAGTAACACTGGCGTTTCTTCCACCATGTTCACTATGCTGCGCGACATCTCGAAGCGAGATGGTGTACAACTAGCGCCGAACACGAGAACGGTGCAATATGGGATCGGCGTGCTCGTCTCTGGGGGATGACTTTGTCGAGGGGGCCATTTGGCGGTGCTTGCTCCACGACAGGTATGTTTGTTAGATGGCTACACCGGACATTGGAAGAACGCTGGGCCCGCACAAAATGAATGCCGGTTCGTATATTATAGATAACCACCTATTGGGCACAATTTCCTTGACCATGTCTGCAGCTTTCACCTGCATCGTTCAATACGGCTAGGGAATGCCTCAAGATTCAACGGATGACGCCAGCTCGTCTTGGTCCGGTGGCTGAAGAGCGATTCAACGGCGTTGACACAAGCGCAGGGGTTTCCAGCACCACGTGGGTTGAGCCCATCATGTCTCGGGTGAGCCCGTTGTGTCACTTCTTGACGTAAAGTAGCGGCGAGATACAGATGATGAAGGTGCATGTGGGTGAGTGGCCTATTGAAAGCGTAGCGTGCCGCCGTCAACAAGCAACGTATTCTGCTTCTTTATTCTGGGCAGGCAATGCGTCAACGCGGGTCGACAGGCCCTTTGACACGGGCCTAGTGATGTTGGAATAAATATGTACTATTTGAGCTGCTATATGTATGGAATGAAACACGTAGGCGCTTACACTTTTGCCCTGTGGCACAGTTGGTAAAAAAATCCAGCTAGTGTAAGTGCTATCAATTTGCGGATCCTAGAATATTGACACAACGACCTCGTGCGGTAGGCCTGGGGAACCTGAGCATCTCACATGACGCACTGTCCGATTACTAGGAAATGCCATTTCATCGCTTATATATTTACTTCCCTGGACACGATACATGTCACACGGTCGGCCCATCAAAGGGGGCAACGGTTACACAACAAGGGAAACATGACGAGGCCCAAAGTCGACCCTAAGCGAGGGCTGCCTCATGCACTAGCCCTCACCGACTTCTTGTATTCATAGGACCCTTAGTCCCTCAACTCGTGAGGAAAGCAAGGGCCTTGGATATCCTCAAGCCGAATATTGTAGATTGAATAGAGTACCCCGTTCCAAGCCCGGTCACACGGCCCTTGCCACAATAAGTATCAAATCTCGGAGGGCGAACAGCCACCCTTATAAAGAAAGAAGATGAACGATATAAATACCCGTGGCTAGCGTATGACGGACCATGAATTCGTCGCCATGTCTTCTCCAAGAAGAGCCTCGCCAGTCGTGAGAGTTTAGTATGAGATGCGAGAGATCCTCGTTCCTGCGTCTAGTTCCATCAGATGGTGGGACTAACGGCACGTCGGAGAATTCGATCGGAAGCATGGACCGCATCGCGTAGGAGGCTCCGACAAGGCGTTGTATACCACGTAGTACGATTTAGCCTTGCTGGAAAAGATCGGCACTCGCATCCACCGGGGCGTCATCTACGACGGCAGTTCCCTGTTCACCCGTGCCTCATTTGTTTCAGAATGAATACATACTGCGACTTACAGTACATTCTGTCCAACCCGAGCGGCACGTATCACGGCGTCGTTGCCGATACTGCGCAGGATACGGAGTACTTGGCTCGGGAACTCTCCAGTGATTTGCTGCCGATCAGCATGTAATCTCATGTGCTGACGACGCACGGGGCAGGACTCATGATGCTGCCTGCAAATCGGCGAGATTTGCGTTGCGCAATGGTCATCGAGCGACTGCTTCGTACTCGCATGATTTGCTAAACTCGACTACTAGGCGACGACAGCTCGTCGATAACTAGAGAGTCAGTCGGTCTTATGAAGAAAAATCACGGGTTACAATTACGTGCCTCGGCCTTGCAAATTACCGCCGCCGCCTCCCCTAGGTAGCGCCCGATTATCGTGGCCCCTTTGACGCTGGCGAACAGCCTTGATACGAGATATCTTGGCGTACGGCGAGTGTTGTTGTAGGAGTCTCGGGCAACTGGAGACGGCCATGTGACCGCGGGACACCTTTAATCTGCGGGTTCCCAGGAACAAGGTCCGGGGAACAGGCTCTGCAAAGCAGCAGCCAATTGACAGCGTTCGGGCTGTGGACGGCCTCTGGATGTGCAGTTGCGATTTCCGGAAAGGCTAAAATAAAACATTGAAGAAATCGCCGAGTTTCAGGTGCTTGTACATTCAAAGCTCTTGGCAACTCGGTCAGTGCCCCCAGGTACCGTTTGTTGGGGGCTCGAGCCCGGCTGTCAAGTTCGGACGATTTGGAACACGCTTGGCCACCGGGGGCAAAGCATGCAAAAAGAGCTCAGAATACCTCGAGTGCCGGTACTTGCTGTTCCGGCTCAAGAGATTTTTCCTTTCTTTTTTCTTGAGCGGGTGTTGGGCGCGGTAGTAGTACTCCGTA